AACCCCCTGGGGTCACGAGATTTTATACCTAAAAGTAAATAATATTCTTACTGTGCTTTCTATATGGTGACACGCTACCCCCCACGCCCGAGCGCATCATCTTATCCATCCCTGCCTGTCTTTATTTTGGCGCTTCTCCGTTGTTGAATTATTTGCTTGTTCCCCCTATTGAATCTAGATGTGGGCGTCCTTGACTCTACCGGCGATGACTTGGTATAACTAATAAATTTAAATTACGTGTAGTTATTATGCTGGTCCTGTATACATGGCCATACCGAGGCGCTGTGCAAGATATCTATCTACTGTTATCTAGGACGCAAATGAGTGGGGGGAAAATATCGTGGTACTGTCTGGTATGAAAAGGACCGCCGCCAATTTCAGGGGGGAATTGTGACATAGCATAAATGAAAGCTGCGTTTGAATGGATGTCAAAGAAAAATAATCAACTTAAATTATGCACTGAAGATATTTTTGGTAAAATTCCTGGGATTTTTTAAGATGCCATGAAACTAACCCTTTTCCTCCTTATAAATTAGGGGATTGGCAATGAACTTAAATTAGTTTTTCCCCTCAGGTTTGATTGGGCTATCACTGTCGTTCACTGCTCCCTTTTTTACCCTTGTTTCAAGCCCGATCCCTAGTAGCAGCTTGGGCCGTATTCCTCTTTGCCTCACGCTCCATTCATATCTCACATAATTCATCTGTGTCACCCCCTGAATGCTTCAAGTAGAAAAACAGACCCGAAATTGACATAAAAACTCGCATAATTCATCTGTGTCAGTCAGTGTGAACAGTAACATTTGAACAAGTTCTAAAACGAGCAAACAAATTAAACATAAAAGCTACGGTTTGATGAAAATATTTTTCCCCTTCCCAAGCACCTATCCTCTCACATTCCATCATTGGTTACTGTTTTTTTCATTTAAAAAGTTAAGGTATTTTTTGATGGATTGAATATCAAAAAATAAAAAGCAATGTTAATATTTCAAAGTATAATTAGTGTATTTTTTTAAAGTGTCTATAATAAATAGATCATTTTATATTTATTTTAAACTAAAACACCCTATTAAATATAGAAAAATATAAAAAGATGGTATTATTTTAAAAATGATTAATTACTTTATTAAGAAAGTAAAATACTGTTAAAAATATCTCATATTTTTTAATAGTGAGAATATATAAGAGTATCCTTTACACTTTTTAAGCTGTTAAATTAGCCTCTTGTTATTACTTTCGACTATGAGAGATATTCTAATGGAAGGTAGCCGTGTTCATAAAGGATGAAACTTTCTCAGCAACAATCCCTTCATATTGTTTTTATAGAAATGAATTCGAGCTCTATCTACTTAAAAATATAAGTTACTAAAAATTAAAATGAAATTGAATTGGCTGAAGTATTAGGTCAAAGGTCAATAGTTTAACCAAGGGTCAAACTGAAGCTAGATCGATTATGGTAGAATAACGTAATTAATAATATATAACAATATTAAATTATTTCACTCATTATTAATATTAATTCATCTCAAATTTTAATTTTTCCTTTCACTGTTCTTACTTATTTTTGTCATTTTTAAGCTAGCAATCACGATTTTCCATGTGAAAAATATTATAGTAAAATATTTTTAAAAAATAATAGGAATAAAATTTAAAGAATTGAAATGTAAAAATGAAAAATATATACTATGTAAGTGTGTATAATTTTGGATTAGAACGGGAATTTTCAATGTCAAAATGACTTGAAAAGTTGAGCAAAAAAAACGTGTGGCAGTGATGAACCGATGAAAACTGTCAGGCAAGAAATGACATCGTGCTATCATCTATCTATTTTAAATGAAAAGAAAACAAAAAATCATAACAATGGTTACCCCTCCCTGTAGCCATAGGTAAACACAAAACTCTTCTAATTTCCTTTGAGATAGAAATTGACCCACTCTCCCTAGCATTCCTCAGCTTTGCTGTCTTAGGTTTTTTTTTTAATACAAAGTCACAAAAAATCATATGAAAAGATTAAAATTTAATCATATCTAAAGTCAAAAGGCTTGTACAATCTTGTGATGGTTCATTAAAGATCTAAATATCAAAATTGTTACATATTGTTTGGTAAGCAAAGAGATCAGCGCATCTATTATCTTTTCTATTAACATTGTCAAAGGTGACCTCCCAATCTCTCGTGGTAATATCTCTTATTAACTTAATAATGTCGAATAAAGGGTGATTTTTTGAATAGTTTTTATTAATAAGAGACAAAGCTTCTATCGAATCCGAATAGACGTTAACTTTAAATAATCTCTTGTTGGCTGCACTTTCCTATTGACACTGTGTGTGTTTAGATATGCTTCAAAATTGATCCTTTGGGTAAAAAAATTGATTCTCCATAAAATTATTCAACAACCCAACATTTTGATTAATCAATTTCTGGATCAAAAATCAATTTTTCTTGAAAGCTGAGAATCCTCTGCTAAAAAGCTTGCCAAAAAATATTGAAAAAATTATAAAGAAAGGTAAAAGAAAGTACATAATTTAATAAAAATAAAATTAAACTCTCTTCTTTTTCTTTTTTTTTCTTGATAAAATTCAAACTTGATATCCTCCAAAAATTAATATTTGGTATTTAAGAATTAAATTTTTCTCTTTTGTTAAATTTATTTAAACTAAGATATATCAAGTTATTTATTTATGTAAATTAAATTGTTAATATTGATATAATTTAAATTTTTATAATTAATCAGATATGTAATTTAAAAAATTCAATAATATTATAGACAAATATATTAATAATTTAATTTTAAAAGCAATGTCCTTTATATTAATATATATAGTTAAAATTGATTTTGATTAAATTATTCAAATATTTTTACTTCTGTCAAAATTAATTTTAAAAAAACAATATCCAAATAGATTGCGTTATAATATAATCAATTATGATTAAAATCTACCACTTAATCAATTATTTTTGTAATCAATTATACCCAATTGAAATTCAAATAGGCATGTAGAGGTGTCGAAATCGACGAAGGGCAAGACCTGAGTTAGATTGTCTGATTGGTTTTCTTTTTTTCTTGTTTTTCCTTCTCTGTTCTCAGTCTTTCTCCTCCTTCGATTCTTCTTCTGCTTCATTTTTCCGGTGTTTCTCTTCCCGCCATTAAACTTCAAAACGGCTTTATTGTGGAAGATCCTAAAAAGGAGAAAAGGCAACCATTCAACTTGCCCAACATGAAGGGTTGAACGGGTTATTCTCAATTTTTCTTAAGTCATCCTGGTCAATCTGGTTTGGCAGCCTACCGATTTGAACAAAAAACTGGATTGGACATATAGTTGGTTCGCCGGTTCACTGGTATAACCAGCTGGTTTGGTCCAATTTTTCAAACCATGTAAAAATGTCAAACTTAGCTGATCAAATAAAAACATGGACCATTATAGTATGAAAATAATCCCATAAAAATGCAATCAACTAATAATCTTTTCAAATAAATATAACTAATGACATTATAGACTATACCTCTTAAAAAAAAAATTCTAACTAAACGAGAATATTAGAGGAAACACTCCAAGAAGGCTTCTGGCGTTAATGCTGAAGGTAGAATGAGCATTTTGTTTATTTAAGTTTTCTGGTTAACAAAAAATGCAGGGATATTGTGTTTTGGGATTCATCAAAGTCAACGTGTGCTTCTAGACTCAAAGAAGGTTCATAGAGATCACTTACTAATAAGATTCTCATATTAATAATGGAATTTAATTTTAAAATCTTATAAGTTATAAGTCAAATTTTTATGAACTGAATCAACATTTCTTGATTTATTTATTTAAGTTGTATTTCAACAATAATTTTCATGGCGCTACTTTGCTGGTCATAATAAATGTTCATTATTTTTGGAAATTGGAATTCTGCCTTCTATTTTATCTAAATTTTCTCCAATGTTAGTCAAATTATTTTTTCCTCTCATTCAACCCAAATAAAGGATTAAAGTCGCATCATTTATGATAAGTGGCTTCTAAGTTCTTAATTTAATGTTAATATAATTCATAGAATTTAAGATCAAGTTAGCAAATTTAGAAAAAGTACAACTAAGCTAGCAATTACCTTTTAATATGAGAAGACGTGGGCTCTAGCATTATGTTGAATGTGGGGCTGTATAAAAGACAAAACGACATTGGACTTTACCCTAACCTGAAGTTCGATCTCTTTCATAAAAAGAATTGAGTTAAGTGACCCGTAGTCTGATCTTGTCGAGTGATAATCCGAAAATTAACAAAATCGGACTTAGTTTATAGGATTGAGAGTCTGGTCTTGTCAGTCCAATACTCAATTAGCTTTTATTTTTTCCTTTTTATTCTATGAGAGGCAATAATTCATTTCAACCTAATAAACTCAATTAAGATGGTAAAAACACTTATAATAGTAATAAATCCATAATAATTTTTAATAATAAGACAAAAATATTTCTGTTATAGTCCAAATGATTTAAATTTATAATTTTAACAAATACAGCATTCAACAAAATTCAACAATATTATATTACAACAATTATTTGGAAACAAACTCAACAAATATTCATACAATTATCTCCTTAGCATCAATTACCTTTCAAACATTTATCAAAAATAAATTAATTATAATAACAATAAAAAAATTAATAGGACTGGATTGGACCAAGTGGTCCGGATGTCTAGTCTCTTGTCCAGTCCAACCTAAAAAAATAGTCTAGTTTTTTTAGTCTTTTCGGTCTTGAAGGACCAGTGTCTATACGGATTGAATAAGACTGAGATTATCTTGAGTTAGACTAGGCCAGACAGGATTGAAAAACTTTTGCAGAGTCCTGGTTGAATGACATTACTTTTTTAAATTTATTAATTATTTAATTCAGTATTAATTATTATCATTAATATCAACAACAGTAGCTGATAACTCTGGTTGAAAATTGAAATAGAAGAGATATCTTTTTTTTAGGGGTACAAGAAGCGATATTTTTATTTTCTATTGATATTTGGCTAATTAATCGCTAATGCCGCGGCGCCTTGCTTCAGGAGCCCCGCCCGGCTGCCCTTGTTTCTGAAGAAAACCACGAAAGTCCAACGAGTCCATCGCAGTAGTAGCCGCCCGAAACCAGAAGTGGAGGCGGGTGCTTTGCTGCTTCTGTACGCTTTACTCTGTCTTCTCTTCCTTTTCATTCCACTAAGGAAGTAAATTTCCAATGGGAATGGGAGGCCCCATTTTCTCGTCCGACGATATCGTAATCAAGTCTCCCAACGATAGGCGTTTGTACAGACTTCTGGAGCTCGAAAATGGCCTTCGTGCTTTGCTAGTTCATGATCCCGAGATTTACCCCGAAGGCCCTCCCAAAGCTGTCCTTGGCGACGACGAAGAAAACGAGGACGATGAAGATGAAAAAGATGGAAGTGAAGAAGAAGGGGATGAAGATGGAGATGGGGATGGGGATGGGGATGGGGATGGGGATGGGAGTGAAGAAGGGGACGAGGATGATTTTGAGGACGTGGATGGGGAAGGTGCACACCATGAAGCAGGACGAAAAGGGAACAAAGCTGCTCCCCAGACTAAAAAGGTTGCTTACTGCCTGATTGCTTGTCGTTTTATTTGTTGGTAGCGAATTCTAGGAGATAAATTACGGTGATGGGATTTGAGAATACCGGGAAATGTGATGGCATGAAGTTGAGTAAAAAAAAAAAGAAATTGTTGGGTGCATTTGGTATGATTTCATCATAAATTCGCATGTTTCCTGTGCAGGCCGCAGCAGCAATGTGTGTAGGCATGGGCAGCTTCTCTGATCCATTTGAGGCTCAGGGACTAGCACATTTTTTAGGTCTGGTTATTTATCTCACACAAGCAAAATCTATAATATTTAAAGTGTTCCTATTATTATTATTATTGCTGCTGCTGCTTCTGGTGTTATCTGTATATTTTATTGTTTCAACTTAGTTAAGTATTAAAAGGTTATGCCTCCTGAAGGATTCCAGGCTTTTCTCCCCTTTTTAGCGTTTTAGGTGGCGAAGGCTATGTAGTTATGCAGGATATGTCCAATGAAAGTATTTCATGATTTTATCTCAGTTGATTGCATAATCTTGGCTGTGATGTTTTATGAGGGGAAAGGAAGGGAAGGACTTGTATAAATTGGTACAATTAGTCAACTTTATCTTGCTGTCCATTAGTATATGTCTGGACGGGGAGAATGGAGGGGAGGGGAGGGGAGGGGAGGGGAGGGAGGGGAGGGGAGGAGGAAGAAAGAAATATTTCACCTTCCTTGTTTGGGAGTATGTTATGAAGAGTGGAGGAGAATGAGTGATTTATAAATACCAAAATCCTCCAAAGTGTATCCTCCTTCATTACTCTAAGTTCCTTCATTTGGGCAGGCATTAGAGGAGAAACTTTTGTCAAACAAGGTGAGGAAGTTTTCATTTCACCGTTGTTTTCTCTTCCTTTCTTCTACCTTTTTTCCCTTTAGATTCCTTCCCTTCCCTTCCCTTCCCTTCCTAAACTTCCAAACATACCCTTAATTCTCTCCATCTGCTTATATCAGTTGTCAGTTTTCCTATGCAAACATCGTTCTTTGGAGGGTGGAGGATGCTGTTTTTGTTACGGTCTTTGTGGCAACGCTTGTCACGTCATTATGGTTTTGTACCTTTCCAATTGTTCCTTGTATGCTTCAGGAACAGAGTAAATTATTAAATTAGGTCCCATTCTCTTTCATGTGTGCCAAGATTGTCCATTCTAGATGAACTTTTCTTTCCCTTCCATTATCTTGCTATTTATTGCCTATACAAATGAATTGCCTTCACTTGTTTTGCAGAACACATGCTCTTCATGGGGAGTGATGAATTTCCAGATGAAAATGAGGTCTGTTTGGTTATGTCATATATTTGAAATACTCTCCTTGCAGTAGTTTAGACATTGTTGTGTCTTTGTGATTTGTAATCTAGCAAGAAGACTGATCATGCCTGTAGTAAATCCCATGATGAAATCCTATGTGAGATCTGTTAAAAATGAAAATTTTCTGGAGTGTAATGTTATTGGTTAGAAGGGTGGCTTAGGAAAGATAGAAATTGATCTCAAGGGCATGGTATTCATATTCTTGAGTAATGATACTTTTAGATAGATCACTGCGTGCATAATCCCTTATTGTCTCTCTTTTGTGATATGCCTGGAGTCAAATTTGGGAATTGTTTCTGTTCTCAGTAAAGAATGTCTTCAGTAAATATGAAGACTTTGATGGAAGAATGTATTGTAGATTCCAGGACAAGTATTATTTTACTTTTGCAAGCTGTCTAATTGAAATTGCATGATTTGCAACATGAATTGTGTAATTCAAGTTGATTTGTCCTTCAGTCAATATGGATTGCTGGAGGATCGAAAATGAGAAGAATTGATGCTGGAATAGTGCAAATTTAGTTGGAAATCAGGAATTCTGATGGTGCGCTATCTTCTGGGTCTTGAAGTTGGGTTGGGTCATTCATGGCCTGGTATGAAATATTAGTAATTTTTATTACTTTAAAAAAAGAAAGCATGGGAGTGCAGAACAGTGTTCTGTGTTAAAACTTCCATCCCATCTAGCTTGACTGTCAATTTAAACCTTTAACCACATTTAAAATTCCATGACAGCTGTGACTGAAGTCTTGTTTCTTGTCTCTAGTGTAGGATGTGTTTTGAATTGTGATTTATGTGTTGTTTTACTATTGTGAGACTTATAGCTTAGTAGTTTTGTTTGCTCATTGGTTGTTTTATTATAAGTATTTTGTTTATGCTATAGATAGATATATCATTTATAAAATATGATATATTACATGTTACTTCCTATTTTGTTTTAAAATAAATAATTAATACATTACACGTTACTTCCTATTTTCTTTCTCTGCATGCCACATTGCTGCTGGAGGGTCTTTCTGAAGTCCCAGGACTTGAAATCTAGTGGCAATTTTACTCCTGAAATAAATAATTAATATATTTTTTATTAGAAAAATAATTAATTATTGGATATTTTGCTCTTTGCATTACAATTAATTTGTATTATAAGGGATTCTCTTACCCAGAAAATATTAAGTAATCGTCATATTGCAACTGCTCATGTCATTTTCCCTCCTGTAAAATGTTTATATTAATTAAGGTTTGATGAATATCAATTATCAGATGATTTTTTTTTATGCATGAGTTTAATCACGTCATTAATTATCATCTAGTTAAACTTACTCTGGACATTTTTGGTAGAAGCATGCCTTAAGGTGGATTGGCCTAGTTGTTTGACTCTTTTCATTGTTAGTATGATAGTTATTTGTCCAAGCATGGGGGCTCATCTAATGCATACACAGAGACTGAGCATACCTGTTACCACTTTGAAGTGAAGCCAGAGTATCTCAAGGGTGCCTTGGAAAGGTATATCTTGCTATGCATGCAGCATTGATAGCAGAATTACTGTCGATTATGTGGTGTTTCATGCGTTACAGTTTGCAGATAGCCAGATATTTTATTTTTCTATTTACACCTTCCAAATTGGCAATGCATTTTGTAATTGTTGGCTGCCACCATCGTGATTCCTGTCAAATGCAATGATTCGATGTTCAGTTTATACCCGGAAATTTTGTCACTGCATTTTGCCAGAAATAAATAACACACTTTTAATTTTTTTTCTTTTGATTTTGTAAGATAACATGCTATTTGTGCTATAAAAGCTTGAACAATATAAGAATATATGAAACATGAGACTTCCACACCCTTGATCTATGATATCTTTACTGTATTTTATCTTTTCTGGAAAATAGTGTTTTAATAAATCGTCTGGCTAATATTTATGTAATAATCTATTTTAGTTATTGGTTATGTTGGGCCTAAACTATATTTATCCTGTCTTTATGTTGCTTATCTTAAGATTGCTGTGCAATTCTGTTCTTTTGATGCACTGGATGCAGCTTGTTTAATAAAGCTAAATTATTGTTTTCAGATTTAAAGGTTTTATTTTTTTGGTCTATTGCCTTTTCAGATTTTCCCAGTTCTTTATTTCACCTCTAGTAAAAATGGAGGCTATGGAACGAGAAGTACTTGCGGTAGATTCAGGTACTCACACTTTATGCTGTCCCACTCTTCATTGTAGAAATGGCTTCAATTTTTGTTAGGTTGCTAATGAAGCAATATTTTTTGGTTGGTTATTGTATACCATAATGGTGTGTGAAATTCAACATAGAATTCAACCAGGTTCTCCAAAGTGATGCTTGCCGACTTCAACAAGTTCAATGCTACACTTCTGCACCTGATCACACTTTTAACAGATTCTTTTGGGGTGAGTTTAGAAGTTATTTCTTTGTTGGTCATGAAGTTTTCATAATTATTTGAAATGACATTCTCACACTGTTTTTTTTGGCGTATACTTGAAGGGAACAAGAAGAGTCTGGTTGATGCTATGGAAAATGGTATCAATTTGCAGGAACAAATACTGAAATTATATATGGATTATTATCATGGTGGACTAATGAAGCTTGCTGTAATTGGTGGAGGTGAAGTTCTATTTCATAATTCTTAATATGAGCTTTTTGGCGTATTACTATGGAAAACGAAATGTAGCCTGCAGTTCGAACTGTTTCTTAAAAAACTACTATATGGTGATTTAATCATGATGATATTGTACATGCCAGAATCTCTGGATGTGCTTGAGAGATGGGTTGTGGAATTGTTTGGTGCTGTGAAAAAAGGTCACCGAGCAAAGCCAGAATTCAAAGTGGAAGGTCCTGTTTGGAAAGCTGGTAAAATTTATTGGCTAGAAGCTGTTAAAGATGTTCACATCCTTGAGTTGTCATGGACTTTGCCTTGTCTACATCAAGAGTATTTAAAGAAACCAGAAGATTATTTAGCTCATCTCCTTGGACATGGTAAGATACCTCATTATGCATGAATTCTAGAACTAGGAGGTAAAGAGCCAGTATCTGCATCTATCTGTTATAATGTATGTCCTTGTATACTAAACTATACTTTAGTCCAATGTCTGTATTTGTGGCACGTGTGAGTGCACAAAACTTTTGTTGTGGTTAGATGGATGTAATTTCTTTTTGTTTGACAGGAAAACCGTTTTACCTTGTTGGCAATCTTACACCCTCTTGTGGAATTCAAAGGCAATCAATAGATTTCCTATGAAGCAAATGCCTCTACTATTTGCCAAATGGAGCTGATTTTTATTTTATAATTTCTACTGATGTATGTTCTTGGAATTTTTCTACTGGATAAATTAAATTTTCTGTGAATCTAAATTATATATCCTATAGATTGGTTTAAAATGGATTACTTCTCTAATTATTATTGTTGATTATTCAATCCTGACTTAAAGGCTTGATCTAAAACATTAAGTCTGAAATGTTATTTTTCTGTGGTAGAGTTTTCTCATATTTTTTGGTTATTTTGCTTCATAGCTAACCATTTGAATGTGAAGTTGCCAGCATAATAGGTTAGTAGCAGTATTGATATAGTTGATTTACTTATACATAAATTATTATTCAACAATTCTCCCATTTATTAAATGTAGTCCCTGTGGTTTAATAAAAAAAAATATAGTCCCTGTGGTTCAAACCGTGCCAGTATTTTTCTATATATGGTTGAACTTTCTGTCATGACTTTCATTAAACAAGAACATAATTCTTCAGAGGGGAGAGGAAGCTTGCTTTCCTTTTTCAAATCTAGAGGATGGGCTACTTCTCTGTCTGCTGGTGTTAGTGATGAAGGAATGCACCGCTCATCTATAACCTACATTTTTGTCATGTCCATGCATCTCACTGACTCTGGTATGGAAAAGGTAATTTTTTTAACCAACATGTTTAGGTGCTTCAGGTAGACCAGTGACCTTGGATTAGTTATGTGTGTACATATATTTTATTTGTTTGTGAAGACTCACGGTATATAGTTCATCATCATGTGAGGTCAGTGTCAGTTTCAACTTCAATTCACTTTGCGAAATTTGGTAAATTAACAATCATCCCCTTTAATTCATAGAAATATGAGCTTAGTCGAAGGCAGTATTGATTTTTTTAAACTTTTTTTTTTTGTGGGAGCAATATTTTGACAAATATGTGCTTTCATCATTACTTTCTTACCAAAGTTGTATTTTTTCTCCTTCCCAGATTTTTGATATCATTGGTTTTGTCTATCAATACCTTAAGCTGTTGCGTCAAATTTCTCCCCAAGAATGGATATTTAAGGAACTTCAAAATATTGGAAACATGGAATTTAGATTTGCGGAAGAGCAACCTCAAGATGATTATGCTGCTGAGCTTGCAGGTTTTGATCAGTTCTTTTATCTTGCCATGCTTCTCCTCCCCCCAGCATCATTTCATGATTTTTATTATTATTGATGTTATTGTTATCAAGGACAGTAGGGTTGATGTTGTTCTGACATGTTAGGTCTAGAGAAATAAATAGGAGAGGGCAATGCTTTACTCCATCGTATTTCCCATCTGTTAGTTGTTTTTTCTTTATCGTGATCATGCTCCCTTACATGAAGATGTTGCAATGTGGCCATCGAATGTTAAAGAATAAGAAGAGGATTAACATGTATATTCTTGTATCCTATATATTCACAGCACTGGCTCCGTCTATTTACGGGCCTTGAAGCAAGAAAGAGAAAATAAAATACCTGGATATTTTAATTGAATTTCTTGTTTTATGTACACAAATTCAAACGTTTGTCTGGCCTGGTCTGAATTCAGGCCCGTCTGCTGCTAGATCCAGGAATGGTGCCAGGTGAGGGTGCTGCTATTCCCTGATATAAACTAGATAGGGAGACATTGAGCTTGATATATTTTCTGGGCTATTTGAACATATGCATTTAATTGAAGTGATTAAGTAGTCAAGAATATTTGATGATGAATAGGACCTGATCAAGAGAAAAATATATACTAAAAGGTCAATTTAGTGATTTGAATGAAAAACAGAAGATCAGTTTGTTGTGCTTTCGCAACCCAACTGCTTGATTATGCGTTATATAGAGAAGTCTACTACTCTACTGGTCCCTTGTTAAGGGTTGGATTTTTTTTTCTTGGGCCAAGATGGTCCTATGTGGAGAGAGACAATGCAAGGTGCTAGTATGAGTAATGAGCCTTCTCTTTCTGCAAAGGACTATCCTTGCACAGGATAGAATCCAAGCCCTCTTTATTAGATGCTTATTATATATAATTATTACTCATGTTATTCTTATATTGTTACTATATTATACAGAAAATTTACACTTCTATCCACCAGAGCATGTCATTTATGGTGACTATGTGTACAAAACTTGGGATGAGCAGCTGATAAAACATGTTCTTGGTTTCTTCACCCCAGAAAACATGAGGGTAGATGTTATAACAAAGTCCTTCCCCAAGTCAGAAGGTACATTTTATTTTTTCGCTCATCTAATTGTATGTAGGCCATATTTCTTGTTTTTCCTTGTCTATATCATTGAATTTAGTGTGAAGACCTGGGCAGTTATCTCTGAACTTTAACAATCCAATAATGATATTCTAATTGCAAATTTTTGGTGCTTTTCTCTATTGGTTGCTACAGTATGTTCAAATTTCCATTGTTCTCATGAAAATTGATAATTGTAATCATTGTGTTTAGTAAAAATAAAGGCAGAAGTTGAATTTTCTTGATAATGGTTAAATTACTCAATTTTTCCTTTCTTTTCAGATATCCAAATTGAACCTTGGTTTGGTTCACATTTTACTGAGAAAGATATTGCACAAAATTTGATGGAGTTATGGAAGGATCCTCCAGAAACTGATGCTGCATTGCATCTTCCATCGAAGAATGAGTTTATTCCAAGTGATTTCTCCATTCGTGCTGGTGACCAGTGCAGTGATGACTTTGTAAATTCAACATATCCTAGATGTATAGTTGATGAGCCTTTGGTGAAATTCTGGTACAAGCTGGATTGTACTTTCAAAGTTCCTCGAGCGAATACATATTTTCGCATTAACTTGAAGGGTGGATATGATAACGCAAGGAGCTGCGTATTATCTGAATTGTTTATTCGTCTTCTTAAAGATGAGCTGAATGAAATTATATATCAGGTTAATCACCTATCTTGTTAGCCATAGAACTGATCATGTGTTGATTTTTGTGTTGCTCATTGAAGTGCTGCTAAATCAAGCATTAATTTTCTCATAGTAGATTTTGTTTGGGTAGTATTACCACTTGTCCATTGCTTATATATTTAAAGTATTGGTTGCATCATAGATATTCTGGACGCAAATTGGTATTTATAGATTGCTTGAATTTATGGGTTTGTCATTTAAAAGCTTTCTGTGCCATCCTAGCATCCATTTCCATTTGTTTCTATGCCACTCCATGTGCAGGGTAAATGGACGACCATTGATCTGCCCAATATGAATCATAGATTTCACCATTCAGCATATTTTATAGAGAGTGACACAAATGATTATGTGCGGTCTTTTGGAACTCAAGTCTTTTGCAAAGTACTTTTTTCCCATTTTGCTGAAGAGCCAATGACTGCAATTAGATTTTGGTCTCATCTTGTTTTTTTTTTTTAATTTATTTGGGGAGATCTTTGTCATCAGCATTGTGTTTGAATGATACAACCAATCACATGGAACTCTTTTTAGATATCATTCTGTAAGAGCCTCTGCTTGTGCTTGCAGGCAAGCATTGCCAAGTTAGAAACTTCTGTCTCTTTTGTTGGCGACAAGCTTGAGCTCAAGGTGTATGGTTTCAATGATAAGCTTCCAGTTCTCTTATCTAAGCTATTGTCTGTAGCTAGATCTTTTGTACCGACTGATGATCGATTCAAGGTATGTGGCATGTTTCTTTGATTCTCTTTCAAGTTATGTTATTACTCCCTTTTTTATTCTCATGAAACAATGCTTATTTGGACAGGTTATAAAAGAAGACATGAAGAGAACTTTAAAGAACATGAACATGAAGCCTTTAAACCATTCATCATATTTGAGATTACAAGTTTTATGCAAGAACTTCTATGATGTTGATGAGAAACTGCATGATCTAGATAATTTGTTTATTGATGATCTGAAGGCATATATTCCCGAGCTTCGTTCCCAGGTAAATGACTTGGTGAACATTGTTTCAGTATATTCTTCGTACCAACAGTTGTCTTCCGACTATACAGCATTCCTACATTAATGTCTTTATGTCTTTTGACTGTACTTTGCACAGCTTTACATTGAAGGTCTTTGCCATGGAAACCTGTCTGAAGAAGAGGCCATTAGCCTATCAAATATATTTAAGTTGAATTTTCCTGTACATCCACTCCCTAGTGAATTGAGGCATGCTGAGCATGTTATTTGCCTCCCGTCAAGTGCGAACCTTGTTAGAGATGTTAGTGTGGAGAACAAATTGGAAAAAAACTCTGTGGTTGAGGTAATTTCAGCAGACCTGATTTTTTCTGGTATTCCACCTTTTCCATCCATAATTTCCTATGCTTACTTTGGTTTGGTTATCTATGCAGCTTTACTTTCAGATTGATCAAGATCTTGGGATGGGATCAACTAAATTGAAAGCTTTAAGTGATCTTTTTGATGAAATAGTAGAAGAACCACTTTTCAATCAACTAAGGTGATAATCTGATGCTGCTATAAGTATCTCGTATTTTGCCATGTATTCTAGCGGGGGTTTTGTTCATGAGGATGTATTCTCTTTTTGCCTTGTCTAATCAGCGTTGCAGTTGGAATCCATAAATATGCCTTTAAAAAAAAATTGATTGTTGCATGAGAAAATTTCTCTATATCTGCTTCATCATTACAAACAAAAGCCAAGATGCACTTGGACTGCTGTTGTTGATGCGAATGTGTCATCTGCTTTGAATTGAAACTTTTATTTGGCTCTGGCATTCTGGCAAACTTGTTTCGTTGCATGTAGCTCAAATCAGCCTCATGTTATAGGAGCCCTTATAATGCTTAAAACTTACCATTACTGAAATTACAGTTTCAAATTCTATAATATCAAGCTGCTGTAAACAAGTTGTTTGAAGTTGAGGTTGCAATTTTCTTATTTCTTTTATTTCCCTCCCATATTCTTGTTTATCAGTCTGGGGGGCTGAAAATCAATGTATTTTTGGATCCAGGACAAAGGAGCAGCTTGGTTATGTTGTTGAATGTAGCCCGCGATTAACACACCGTGTTTTTGGATTTTGTTTCTGCGTTCAGTCATCTGAGTACAACCCAATTCACTTGCAAGGGAGAATTGACAGCTTCATTGATGGCCTGGAACAATTGTTGGCAAGTGTTCCTAGTCCCTGCCTCTTCCACATTATAAGTTTAATTGCTTCCTGTGGACAATGACAAAGATGAGAAGTAATTTGTGTGCTCAAAAAGTTATTGTAAGCCTTACCATTTTGGATAAAGGCAAAAAATATGGGCTGAACAATAAAATGCTGGGATTTTTTTTTGGGTGTAAAAAATGCTTGGAGTTTGTAATCAGCAGATTCGGAAATAACAATGGGCATTGCAGGAAGGGCTTGATGGTGATTCCTTTGAGCATTACAAAAGTGGGTTAATGGCAAAGCTGCTGGAAAAAGATCCGTCACTTACGTATGAAACCAATAGATTTTGGAATCAGATTGTTGATAAAAGGTACTGTATATATATATATATTTTTGGGTGGTTTAGAAGTCAGACTTAAGTTATTTTAGCATCATTTTTTTTTATTATCGTTATTTTTTTCCCTTTGGGCCAGACTGTTTTATTTGATTGAGTGCTATAGTTAGCACTTAGCAGCCATTTATTTTCACATTGGTCAAACGCTAGATTTTTTATTGTTGACCTTTGTCATCTTTGGTGATTGTTAGAAGGGAGAATGACAGTTAAGCCTCAATTAATTCAAGTCCAGTCCCAACCAATTTCAAATTGCCGACAAAGTTCCTTGGTCTTTCAACGATAAAATATTAAGTTTAATAGCTCCAGAATTTTAAGTTTGGCTCCCAAATTTGTAACTTTATTTTGATGCATTTACAATTTATTTGCCAACTTTTAACAGAAAACACAAATGTTCATCTATAATGTTGAAAAATATTAAGCCTAATAGCTTTAGGGATTTGCAAGTTCGATTCTTAATTTTGCAACTTTGTTACGATGTATTTACAATTTGTTTCCTAAATTTTAACAGAAAAGAATGTTTATCTTTAATGTTAAAAAATAAAAAGCTTAATAAATATTGCCTATTTTTTAACTTTGTTGAAATTTGAAAAACAAGTTACAAATTTATTATAATGAAATTGTAAAATTGAGAGTTAAACTTATAAATTTTTAGAGCACTAAAGGACTAAGGGACTTTATTGACACTTTGAAATTGGTTGGGACTTAAATTAATTGTTTCTCCTGGAGCCTAATTGTCATTCTCCCTTGATAGAATCAATTATTCTGACTCATGTTAGAGGTTAGGAAACAAATCCTCTGAAGTTGAGATTCATGAAGATTTCCTTTTTTGGTATTTTATGTATTTTATTATTTTTTATAAAACATAAAATCATCTCTCTCTCTCTCTCTCTCTCAAAATGGAAAACTTAATGAAATCCACACACTCTTAACTTCGGAGAATCCATCCTCGAGAGGTTAAGGGAGGGCGACCAATATTAGCTTTATGAATGTAATGCTTTTTTTTTTTTGCATGCTGTGTGCTTCTGTTTGTTACTCGGCTCACGGTTTTTGTCTGATCTTTAGAGATTGGCAAGGATGTGTCTTTTTGTTTTGGTTGGTTTTTGCTCTTAGTTCTTGTTTTGGAGTAATTTGGCTTTTTTCAGGACCGAAAAAGAGTTTATATCGTTTTACCCTTAATCCCTTATTCTTCTTCTGCTTCAGCGGGGTTGATCTCTATGAATAATATTTTTCAAATTGAATGGTTGATGGCACTAGATTAGCATCACGGTGAAAAGAGTTGTTCTCCCAATTTGTTGCTGCAATGAGTATTTATCTGACCAGAAAGCATTATTAATTTTTAGGTACATCTTTGACATGTCGAAGAAGGAAGCGGAAGAACTGAGAAGCATAAGCAAGAAAGACGTCATCGACTGGTATGAGACGTATCTTAAGCGGTCATCACCCAATTGTCGGAGACTCGTTGTTCGTGTATGGGGTTGCAACACAAACCTGAAAGATGCTGAAGCAATTCCCAAAAATGTACAGGTCATTGGAGACCCAGAAGCCTTCAAGATGTCATCCAAGTTCTATCCTAGTGTCTGTTAAAAGCTGAATATTCCTTGTATTCGAAGCGTGGTGTGGCTTCTGAAATCACATGGAGGGCCTTCATTTCTTCTGAGGAAGACTTGCTAGTTTCCCGGAGATGAACTGAAAGGTTCAAACGGATGAAGAATCTCTCAAGTCTCATGTCAATGATGCCAAATTACCTTTTTTATACTCAAATCTAATTTATACATAAATGGGCTGCACTGTAAACGGTGCGATTTCATTTCACGGCCAATGTTGTTTCCCCATTTTTTTTCTTGTTAGCTTTTTAACATTTGAATGTGTATTATAGGTTTTGATGCCATTGTTATTGCTATTTTATCAATAAGTTGTTGCAGTATTTAGCTAAATGCGCTTTGAAATGAATGTTCTTTGTAATTGATTGTTTTTTTCATTTTGGACCAGTTCTTTGTAATTGACAGTTGACCTGCGCTTTTGATAGCAATTAAATTGCTCAGGATGCTTGCTCTTCTTAAGGGGGAAAAAATATTTCTGTAGTGTCGTTATCTCTGTGAGTTTTTCTATTGAAGTTATATTTTTAAAGATTCAAATATGTAAATTTAATTTTTTATACAATTATCTAATATTTGATTATTATTGAATTCAATTGGGGTATTCAACGTGATTACATCAACTTTGCTGAAGATTGTTTTCCCATACACAAGAACTTGGCTATGACTAACAGAGTAACCCGTCCACTAAATTTATGTTAAGTGCTGTTAATTATATGATTCTTATATTTAGTTTATCTATATATTTATATATAATTGAGTTGATTCACCATTCAATGAGCGGTGACTGGTGAGGAATGTATGCATTACTATGGCAATAATTTATAATTATAAAACCCGACCAGTTTTGATCGCTTCATTTTTTCCCTCTCATTCTTCGCTCTTCAATAGATTTGTAGAATTGGATCTGATATCAATTGCAAAGCAGATGAGTTTGGCCTTTTTTTTTTTTTTTGTAAATTGACCTTAAAAAATGCTCTCTCCGTAACATATTCAGTTTGTTTTCAACCTCTGCATTCATTCATTTAAGGTTTTTATTTAAATAATATTAAGAAATTTCTAAAATAGAACCTTCACTCAATTAATGGAAGAAATAAAAGATTTTGAAAGAATTGGAAAAGGAAAGAGAATATGAACAAGAAAAGAAAAAATGAAAATAGACTTTAAAAATAGGCTATAAAACGTTTTTAAAAAATGCTTTAAAATATGATTAAAAAAATGAGTTGAACGTGGAAAAGAAAATCAAAACTATATAAATGTAAGATAATAGTGTCTTTATAGAGAATTAATTAGGGGAAAAAATCCCCATCAAAGGACAACCTCGTCTGGCAGTAGAAGCAGATACATTTTTCCTCGTCGACAAGCGTTCCACACTTGGTCGAGCTCGCCGTCGCACACCGTCCACCGTTGTCTGTCCTGCGTGGTTGTTCCGCAGCAAGTATTGAGGAAGGTTCGAACCGGTCTTTGTCTTCGCCCAAAATCCGGTGAGATTGATTTGTTCAATCTGACTTTTAATCTAGGTTTGAATTTGTTCCCCGTATCATCTGTTCCCCGAGTGGTTTTCAACCATACTAAATGATTTGGCTTGATTTGTGTCTGGCGACTTAGAATCTTGAGTTTAAACCATTTCCTGCGGTGGTCTGTGAATTTAGAAGCTATTGAATTGGCAGATGCCCCCACTGAATGTAATGTAAGTCCGCCTGTGTATGCTGATGCTTGAATACACGGGTTTCGCTATTTGTACCTGTGAAATTATGCCTATACTACCAATGCATGAGTCAGTATGCAAATGAATCTATTTCGTTTCATAACATTTGCCATTTGGTATTGTCATTGGTTCTGATTACTTGTTTCTAGAGTGTGATTGTTTAACTTCCTCTTATATGATGTCATGCGGCAACTTTTTTTGGAAATATGGGAACTATGCAAATACGGCAACCCTCTTATATGGGTTTCCTAGAAACTATGCAAATTTGAAAGCTTTTGTTGTTTGATGTTTTTGCCCTGTGCGGAGCAGAGGCAATATGCTTTCACATTTATATTATACATGAAATATTATGGTCAGTTTGTTTTATTTCTTTCAATAAATTCTCCAGTGGAATCCTGACTTCGAGATCAATTATTTAAACAAGGATTTTTATAAAGTAAGGGAATTAATTTGCTTTATTCAATAGCTTTCTTTTCAAAAGTACATGGGGTTTTCTTTTACGTCATTTAGAGATCAAAAGTGATTGATGAAACTATTGTTTTGCATGATAAATTAACTTCTACATATATATATAATTTCTTCGGTTAGATACTTATGCCTTGGAATTTTCCTTGTATGCTTCTATGCTCACCTTTAGATTCTGGAAAGGGATTTTGGAATGGCTGCAATCTACAGCCTTTACATCATCAATAAGTCTGGTGGATTGATCTATTATAAGGTACAGCATTAGTTCTAAATTCCCTTTCCCTTGCACACTCAAGCATACGTTTAATTTTTTTTTTTTTCCTTATAACCCCTGAGAAGAAATTTCCTAGAAATTCTATTTCTGCAAATATGGTGGGATGAAATGTTACTGTTTTGACTTCATTCTCTCAAGGTTATGGTTTCCAAATGTCAGACTGTTAAACTGATCATTAAGGTCATAGTTGTGGACTGAAGCTTCTATTCCTACAAATATGTTTAATGAAAGAAATGAGATGACTAAGAACTATGGTTGCATTTTTTGTGACTTTGTTTTTTGATTCTTGCCTTCTCCAGAAGATTTTCATTTCTATATGATTAGTAATTTTACTTGTATGTTTCTTACCATTGCCAATGTGTTTGATGTTTCAAAAATATGTTGAATGTTGATAATTCGAATGTCCGATAAATGATGATAGACACTGCCAGGGTATAGTCTAAGCAGTTGGAAGTACTAAAAAATAGGAAAAAATCTCTGTAGTGAAAACTCTCCCAGTTGTAATTACTCACTGATTACTTTTCTTCCTTCTTTCTTACCCTCACCCCATAATACACGCTGCACTCTCTCTCTCTCTCGCATCTTAGACCTCATAACCAAACAAATGAATAGAAATAGCTCCAGCTTTATTTTCTGACTTTGGCAAAATAAACAAACAAAAGATAATTTCAAAATTTCATTGGTAATTTCTGAGGATGAAATTGTCTATGTATAGGATTATGGTTCTGCTGGAAGAATGGATACCAATGACAGTTTAAGAGTGGCAAGTTTATGGCATTCAATGCATGCCATCTCTCAACAGTTATCACCGGTTTCAGGTTGTTCAGGGATTGAACTTCTGCAAGCTGATACATTCGATCTTCATTGCTTCCAGTCACTTACAGGTATTTCCTTACATTCACGATCCTCAACTCATCATATTAAGCATTTGAATTCTTTGATATGATCAGATTGTTTTGGTGTTTTAAATGAAAATTGAATTTTGGACACTAGAAAATAGAGAATTTCGATTAACGTGTCTGACCGGTATATTCGAAGACCAGCCTCCTTATTTTTTTCCCTTTTGTTCTTCACACCAGTATGATGCCTGGCCTGTAGCTATGGTCTGGCCAGAATAAGTAAATATGTAATTTCAGTTTGTCTGAAGCTATTGATAACCAAGTTGTAAGCTAAATTTTGCTAATCCTGGGTGCTTGCTTAAGGTGTAAACTTGATTACTCTGAAAATTTTACCTATAAAATCATCTTCCAGATTTTAATACTTTAAGCCCCATTTGGATAAATTTATTATACTTTGTCAGAGTTGTATATGCTTCAAATTTAATGACCATTATTTGCATTTGTGTTTGTTTGTGGCCTTCAGAATTATTTAGGTTGAAATGGAGGCTGGTGTAAGTTTGTTATAATCAACACAACTTTCTAGAACATGACCTGGCATTGAATATGAGAGGGGTGGAAGACAAAAGTTCCATATTTTTCATTATCTTTTAATTCCATTGAATCTCTGCATGATTCTTTATTTGATTAATTTTCACAATCCTTTTGCTTTTGCATGCCTGCATCAATTTTCTATGCACCAACTTTTGTCAAATAAACTAGCCAGTAACCATGCATAGTTCATTTGTTTTTTTTTTTTAATATTACTTCTGCATTTATATTACTTCTCCTTTTCTGTTGAGCAGTTTCTTGTTATATTTCATTTCTCAAAAACTGAAGCTCCATCGATTGATTCTCTGACCGTTGTTAGTTACTAGATATTGATGCTAGTCCAGGAATCCCAAATTAGTTCTTTTCTTCTCCATGCAGGGACAAAATTTTTTGTGGTCTGTGAGCCTGGAACCCAACACATGGAAAGTTTACTGAAATTCATATATGAGCTGTACACTGATTATGTTCTGAAGAATCCATTCTATGAGATGGAGATGCCCATACGTTGTGAGCTCTTCGATATCAACTTAACACAGGCAGTGCAAAAGGATCGGGTTGCATTGTTGGGCCGATAAATTGCCTTCCCCACCCAACCTTTTCTCAAGTTTTCTGGTGCATGCAGGTTCTGAGGATTGTCACTTAGCAACTTGTACAATATTTTCTCTTGTACTGTTCGAAGATTAGGTGCTTGCTTTTTATCAGAAAAAATCCCCAGGAGAATCCTCATTTCCTGACTAAACTCTTTTTTCCCCCTGGACTTAAAGATATGCAAAGTTCCCACAGTCCTACAGAGAATATATTGCAGTTGGTTTGACTAATCCCTGATGGTGGTATTTAAACTAAAAATGTCAGACCTTGTCCATAGGCTGTACTCTGTTGCACAGAGCGTGATGCAGTGTGGATACTTCATGCTTTGGGAGAGGCTTTTTGTTCTTGCTACGTTTGATTTGCAAAAGCAAGGAGAATAGGCATAATTATGTTTGAGGTGGCACTCAAAAATGCATTTGAATTCCTTAAAAAAAAAAAAAAACCATTGCCTTTGGATAATCTATTTTTGGGAAATATTTATAATTAGTTTAATATATTTATATTTATTTAGTAGAATGGTTCCTTCGAAACAAATTGTCTAATTCATTGAAGAATGTCGGGGCATGAAATATTTTTGTAGAATATACTTAAATTGAGAATTGCGAGAGTAAATTGTCTTGTGTATGTCTTAACAACCTTGACAAAAAAAATTACTTAGTATGATTACAATACAATACTTCTAAAAAGTCTTGTGTTTTAATATGCAAAGTATTTTACGGAGTATTAATCATTAATTTTTTTTTAAATGGGAGGCAAGTGATTTTGATATATTTCAATTGAAGTTTTAGATAAAAATATATTAACTGTTATTGGAATTTCACAAAATGCCTTGATATTAAAATATGGGAATTTTTAAGCAAGGAAGACGTTGGATTATAGAGCTTTAGCAATTCACATAGTATAAAAATTGGGGTCAACTTGCCCGATTAAACTAGTAAATTAGTATCCAAGATCTGTTTTGTTTTCGTTTTCAGTATATTGGCAATTTATTTAACTCTAAAAAGCTCTGAGGCCAGAGAACTTAAAAGTTTCCTCAATGTAAGAACCCGGGAAACGCCCAATTGAGTGCTTGATAACCAGAAAATTAGGCCTTCACGAGGCAACAAGTCTTGTCTCTCGGAGGTTTATTTCTGCAACAATGGGACCAAATTAGGGACAAACAAAGTGAGGTATTTTCATTGACTCCTAAACCAACAGCACAAGCCGAACAAAACTATTAATGGGTTTTTCTTCAACTTTTATATTAATTAGTAGCGATCATGTTCCTTGTCTACTTCCTTATCATCTGTTTTTCTTTTCAATGTGAAAAAATTATATCATTATCATAATCTTTTTCAAATAAAAAAACAAATATGTGTGCATCATTAGTTTTTTTTTTTTTCTTTTTTAACTGGCCGTCCTTTGTTAGAAATAATCTACTGTACTCTGTCATGAAGCTAACGTAATGAAATAATTTGGACACAATTAGACAACTAAATAGTGAATTACTCTGTTTTGATTCAATGAACACAATGCAACTTTTAAAAGATTGCTTTTAATCAAAACGAGAAAAGAAAAATAACAAATGGAAACCCTTTTGTTCTTTGTTTCTTTCACTGTCCATGTCTACCTTGCAATCATTATAGGCTTACATATATAAAAGAAGCAACCATGTGTTCAAATTTTAATATGCATTATAATACACCATGCAAGGCAATCCTGGGATAACAGGTGTCCAGGAAGATCTAAACCTAACAAGGAATCATATATTCTTTCCCACATGAACAGTCAAGAGCTGGGTTTTTAGAAATAAGTAAAAAAGATTATGAAACATGATTCTATTCGAAGTTCATGAACACATTCGTTAAAATAGTGCAGAATATTGCAGTATATATCCTTATGATCTGATTGATTCTGCAACACTTAAAAAAACAAAAAGAAGGGAAAATACTGTGATAGGTCATTATAGTTTCATGTCGTTTTGGTTTTAATCCTTAAAGTTTAATTTTGTTGTTCCTAGTCCCTATAGTTTCATGTTGTTTTGGTTTTAGTCCCTAAAGTTTGTTTTCATTGTTCCTAATTCCTATAATTTCTGCCACTCAAACTTTAGTCCCTCCCATCATTAAAGTTGTCAAAAATGCTGAGACGTAATTAACACCATTAATTATTATGCATAGGTGTTATTCTTATGCTTAGTTGGCACATACTTGTGATTAAGAAACCTTACATAGTTAGTCGTCACAGCGTCTCCTTTGCCCTGTCTATCTTGTGATTAAGAAACCTTACATAGTTAGTCGGCACAATGTCTCCTCTATATTGGCTATCCTTTCTGTGTCTCTTCCCAAGTTCACCCACTGTATCTTCTCGTTGCGTCTTCCAAATGAAATAGTTGAGTGTCCATCTTTGAAGCAGTCATTCGCTTGCGTTTGTAGTTTATCTTATGGGTTGGGGAAAATAAAAGCCTAATGACTAATAACTCGTATTGACAACTAAGCATAAGAACAACACCTTTTCATAATAATTGACGGTGTTAATTACGCCTCAGCATTTTTGACAACTTTAATGATGGGAGGGACTAAAGTTTTAGATAGTAGAAATTATAGGGACTAGGAACAATGAAAACAAACTTCAGGGACTAAAACCAAAACAACATGAGACTATAGGGACTTATCACAGTGTTTTCCAGCAAAAAAAAAAGATGTATATATATATATATACACATATAAACATGAATTATTGAATCGATTAAGAAGCTACCAAGCTGAAACTTTGCATGTGCTCCCAACATTATAGGCCCCATTTGTAGTTTCACGGCCTTCTTGGGTCTTTCATTTTAGCTTAGACATACCACAGTGTGACAATCTATGGAACTCTCTTGCTCTCATTCTAAAATTAGGTTTAGGCCTCTTCCTCTTATATATGTACCCATATAAAATCATGATGATCAGATCATGTGGAAAGGACTTGATTTTCTTGAAGTATAAGATAAACTTTGAAATAAAAAAATCATATTAGGAGAGTTATTCAAAATTAGACCTAATAAAGCTTAGATTTAACCTAATAATACCAAACGTGCAAGTTTTTTATGTTAAGTCAAACACTTGTTGCCAAATTATGACATATAAGGGTTAGTCAAAACATATTTAGTTGTAGTTGATGGCTCTAGTTTAAATGTCATTTTTTAATGATATAGCTATGATTTTTGATTAGAAGTGATGGAGACAAGGTGCTTGGCATGGCAAATATTTGTGTGGGTAGTTGAATAAGGAGGTCCACGTGAAAGGAAGGGTTGGTTGAATGATGAGATTCAGTTAAGAAGGGAAGGCATCACTGAAAGCAAAAGAAGCACAAGACAAATAGAGACTTTTGCTCCATGCTTGTTCATTAATCCAAGCTCTCTCTTCTCTCCTATCCTTCTCTAAAAACTCCCCGAAATATAAATTAATTCATCAACATGCAAGTTCACTTCTTACCCATGTCAGCCTCAAGCTATATACATACAACTATCTATATCTAATATATAGTATTACTGGGTTATATTTGAGTATTGTCAGGTTTTATGAATGGCAATCCTCTCGGACATAGTAAAAATTTATATATTTTCATCTAACATTTTTCAATTTAATCTCTTATTCATTTATATGTATGCTTTGGGTGTTATTTTTCAACCTTATCTCACTTTTGGCATGCTCAATTCAAAACAGATACAAAAGGCATTGATCAAATTTTTTTAATAAACAAACAAAAAACAATAAGTCTTATCTGATTAGGTTGAATTGACTATATGGTATTAAAAAATATAAAAAATATGAATTCTAACTATTATTAATATTCATTTTGTGATCTTATAGTTTGAACTCTTCAAAGGAAAAAACTAGTTTTTTTACTTTTGAGACCACCAGGGAAGTTTTAGAGTGTAATTGAAACTTATAATCATACATGAATTAAGCTTGCATTAACTAAATTAATTATTGTGTGAAACTGTATATGAATTTGTAAATAGAATCGGATTGAGAATTTGACATTTAAAATATTTAATGAAGAAAAATGAAATTAAAATTTATTTTGAATGCGGTGCATTGATCATATCATGTGACAAGCATGCATGGAGCAATCACTAAACCAAAATCTTTTGATACCCTGTCTGCCTCCTCATTTCAGTGTAAAAATCCCTTTAAAATATGAAGAATACAAAAATGAACTTGAAGAAATTTGGAAATCCTCTGATTCTAAATCTTTTTTTAAAATTATGTTTCATGACTAAATTGATACCGCCTGATCACTTGCAGTATTATCTTGTAACAGATTAAAAACTATATAGTTTTGTGTAAAAAATTGAGAGAGAGAGAGAGAGAGAGCGGTCCCAATAAGATATGTCCTCACATGGTCTTTTTTGTGTGTTGAATCACTAAATGATAGTTTAGATTAATGGGTATAATTGAAAACATTAATTGATCCATGCTATGCATATGTCTTTTGATTATTTTAATGAGAAAAGGTGAAAGTATGATAAATGCAATAATTAACTTGAAATTGTGTACCAATAATTATTTTTCAAGTGAGTAGGTCAAGTAATTAGCACACTTTATCTAACACTCATGATTGTAATTACAATAGATTGGAAGTAAGGTTGTTCCAAATAAACTCTCACTCCTAAACCAACTTTAATTCATTGAAGAAACTACAAAAAAAAAACTAAAAAGCATGCCCCTTGTTACGTGGTGCATTGTCAATCACAAATCCCTTTAAAATATGAAGAATAAAAAAATGAACTTGAAGAAATTTGGAAATCCTCTGATTTTAAATCTTTTTTAAAAATTATGTTTCATGACTAAATTGATATCGCCTGATCACTTGCAGTATTATCTTGAAACAGATTAGAAACTATATATTTTTGTGTAAAAAATTGAGAGAGAGAGAGAGAGAGAGAGCTGGTCCCAATAAGATATGTCCTCACATGGCCTTTTTTGTGTGTTGAATCACTAAATGATAGTTTGGATTAATAGGTATAACTGAAAATATTAATTGATCCATGCTATGCATATGTCTTTTGATTATTTTAATGAGAAAAGGTGAAAGTATGATAAATGCAATAATTAACTTGAAATTGTGTACCAATAATTATTTTTCAAGTGAGTAGGTCAAGTAATTAGCACACTTTATCCAACACTCATGATTGTAATTACAATAGATTGGAAGTAAGGTTGTCCCAAATAAACTCTCACTCCTAAACCAACTTTAATTCATTGAAGAAAATACAAAAAAAAAACTAAAAAGCATGCCCCTTGTTACGTGGTGCATTATCAATCACTCACAAAGATTCATTCCTCCTTTCCCTCCAAGGGGATCATGCATCATGTTAGTGTTCCGGTGATTTCTTGCTTTTCATAATCCTAAATTGCCAGATACCTTCCCATACGCTATAAGATTGTGTTATCTTCTTTTAAAACCCTACACCCTTTCAATTCTCTTACTACTCTTTATCTCAGGTCACTTCAACTCTTTTCTCTTAACTCATTAAACGACAAACTTGAGACCTAATAATGCCCGTCTTAGTTCTTGTCCATTACTTGCATAACTGAAATGTGGCTTTATACTTTGTAACGAATTTGGCACTACTTATACCATCTTGTTCGTGGCTTATAAACAGTGCAACTTCTTATATCATGTATAGATTTAAATGAGATAAATAGAATAAAGGTGATGGATATAAAGAGAGGGAAAATTTACTGCATATTCATAAATGTATGCTTTAACTTTTATTTTGGCAATTTCACATGAGCTTTTTCCATAGAATGGGATACTGTAATATATTAGAAGATTTAAATAAAGTGACACTGGTCGAAGAGTGGTGAGAAAGAAAAGTAGGTCTTGCAATGGGGTTATGGCCCACAAGGTTAGGTGTTAGGAACCCCAACAAGAACAAGCACATGTGTACTTTAATTTGTCAATGTTATGTGAGTTTTTAGCTAGATGAGACCACCACCCTCCTATCTTCATATTGTTCCTCTCTTTGTATATAAATAATGGGCTTCATTACAACCACATAAAGCACACCAAACAGCTTACACATTCCTCAATTTCTTCCTTTTATCTCTCTCTCCCTACAATGGCACACCATACATTTTCTTCTTCTGCAATGATGCTCCTCATTGTTGTCTCCATCAGCATTCTCCTTCAAGGCTTCACCGCCATCGATTATGGTGATTGGTAAGGCGCTTATGCCACCTTTTATGGCAGTGGTGATGCCTCCGGCACAATGGGTAAGTATTTTCTTAATACTATTTTACATAAGCGTCTGAACTGGACTTATGGTTTGAACTTCCGACGAACAAAATATATTGAAAAACTAGTTGAGTCGAGCCATTTTGTGTTTTTGATATACATGAGGGGCATGTGGGTATAGGAATTTATACAGTCAGGGCTATGGAACTAACATAGCAGCATTTAGCATAGCTCTGTTTAACAATGGATTAAGCTGTAGGGCTTGTTATGAGTTAAGATATACTAGTAATCCAAGGTGGTGTAAGCCTAGGGCCATTATTGTCACTGCCATAAACTTTTGCCCTCCAAACTTTTTAAATATAAATTATAATGTTAAAAATTTTAAAAAAATAATTTTAATTTTGATTATAAAGTATAAATATATATTTAAGAAATTAAATTCTAATAAAATGTTTTAAATAAATAATATTCCCAACCAATTTTTTTTGGGCCAACAATATATGATGCAAATTTTCATCTCATAAATTTAGTATCATTAAAACTTCATGGCATGATGTCACTGTTGGTATTGATTTATAGTGCAAGAAATCTCTTAAAAAATAACAATACCACTTGTGATAGAAACACCATGTGATTGCTGCAATTTTCCCCCCAACCATTGCTGTAAATTTATTGGACGTTACTTTCATCATTTCGAAGCTGATCAAGTTTGTCTTGTAATTAAAGATTGGAGGGTTATGAATACACACACACACACACACACACATAAACTGGAGGGATATGTTTTCCATTAAATGACACAAATTTGATTGTCCTGGCCGCAAAAGAATATTGAAGTTATAAATACAAATAAGTAAGTATTTATTCGCTTTATACTCAATTCATAATGCCATAATAAACAGTGTACAAGGAAAAAAAGATGGCATACCAAGTGACTTCAATATATTTTAACCCTAGAAAACAGCCTTATTTCTGTCCTAATAGAAAGATTAAAAATTGTTAATTATTTAGGAATTCAATTAAAAAATTGTCCCAAAATGTCCATATACGAAAACGCGTGCTCTATCATAAATGAAAGATTAAAAATTGATAATTTCTCAATCGCTTAGGTTGACTGATGAATTGGTGGGCAATCGAGGAGAAAAAATTCGGTTGTGATGTTTTCTTTTCCTTCCCGATACTGTAAAACCGAAAAACTGATCCGTTTACATGTATCAGAATCACCAACTGTTTGACTCGGTTTAAGTTGAGTAGGGCCTAACTTTGCCCCCCTGTCTGGGTCGCCAATTTCTGAGTTTCATATTTAGGGTTGCATTTCTGGAGATCGAATTTTCCCTTGTTTCGTACCACATAACCCATCAATATCTGCCAATCCAAGCCCCCGGTGTCTGTATCCTTCGTCACGTTTTGATCTCTCAGTTTTCTGCCCTTCAAAATCTATGGATTTGTGATATTATACGTGGCAGTTGAATTAGGGACCCTGTTGCTTCTGCCCCGGTGGTTTCATACACCGATTCTGGGGCGCTGGCTTCTTGAAGCTGTCTTGCGGGTCGTCAACATTTCCGGGTCCTGAAACTGAGGCGGTGTCGTATAGCTTTGCATTTGCATTCCCGTTGTGGGCATCATGGCTGATCTTCAAGTTAGTTCGCCGCGAATGAACGGCGCCGTAATTGCGGAGGATCGCCTGTGCTCGTCCCCACCATCGTCGCCGCTACCTCCGTCAAACCCGGATCCTTCGTCGGTTGAGGCAGAAGCTTGGTCAAGAGCCGAGAAAACGACCCGTGACATATTGTGTAGGATACAACCCACGTTGGGCGCCGACCAGAGAAGGAAGGAGGTCGTTGGTTATGTACAGAGATTGATTAAATTTGGTGTTGGATACGAGGTGATGTTGCTTTCGTTGTGGCTGCTATCCCGCCCCCCCTTCTTTCAATTGAACGTCATATCAAGATTGTCGAGCATAGACGTCTTATGTCTAACGTTGTATCAGTTCTGTGACAGCTAGGCTCATATCTTGGTCATTAATTTTGGAGGTTGTGAACATGAGCTTTTATTCATCTGTTTGCTTTTGTTTATTCTTTTAACTTGTAAGACTTATCCAAGTATATATCTTCTGATATTGGACACATATAAGTTGCTTGTGTTATGCTTATAGCGATGATCTGTACAGCATGATACTGCCTTAGAACTCTGGGAATTCTTTCTTGGCTGAGTACACTATCACATTGCTTCGCTGCTTTATTTATTGAACCAATTTCTGGATAGGTTGACATTGGAAATATATAGGGTTCATGTTCCTTGGACTCCTTTGCTGTTGCTCACTAAAGAATATGTGCAGCTAGAAGCTGAGTTCACAAGTTCTTCTTCTTATAGCTTCATAGTGGTGATTTGGGTCAATTAAACGTGAGAAAAACATAGTGCAATTGCATCTAAGACGTAACTGATTTATTTTGTCAAGTAAGATTAATGCGACTGTTACAAGTTGAACAAACTGATGAGGGCCTATTGTTGTACACTGGCATGATTCCCTTAATTGAGTGGTTAATCAGGTGTATGCTATGGTTTCTTGGATTTATTTTATTTATTTATTTATTTTTACTTTCCAATAAAAGGGCTATGATTTTGTCACAATAGTTTAATGATTGTACTAACAAATTGGATAGCATATAATGGTATTCCTTTGGATGAAGGCTAATGTTCTTTCCAGTTCATGCCATTTCATAAAAAGTGTTTATCCAATTTATTGCAGTGGATAAGTGCAATGACTATGTCTCTTGGCAACTTGGAGTAAACTAGTGATATTTAAAAAATAATAATAATAATAACAAAATGCATATGTTACCTTGACATTACCACTTTTCATCGTTACAGGTCTTCCCGTATGGATCAGTTCCATTAAAAACATATCTTCCCGATGGAGATATTGATTTGACTGCACTTAGTGGTCAAAATATTGAGGACGCATTAGTATCTGATATTCATGCTGTCTTAAGGGGAGAGGAAATCAATGAAGCTGCTGAATATGAAGTGAAGGATGTTCGTTTCATTGACGCTGAGGTGCTTGCCACCCTCCTTCTTGATACCTTATTGGCAAAGTAATATTTTTGTTAATGTAAATTAGAGTTTCAGGGTGGCTATGAGCCTTAATATGTTTAATCTGCATTTTTTTTCAATCTAGAGGGTAATAAATTTTACTCTCTAGAATGGGGAATGGAGGTAAACCCCCTCCCTAGTCAAAAATGCCTTCAAATTAATGCACAAGTACGCTTTCCCTCACCCTCCTGCCCTTTATTCAAGAAGTGCTGGTGTTTTTTACTTTATTTTTTCTTAGCGAGTGATAGTAATTTAAAAAAAAAAATCATTTCTTTGGTTATTGTAAATTAGCAAACTTTATTTTGGTAACTTCGGTTAGAAGTTGAATAGGTCCTTCCAATTTTGTTTTGTATGAAATATCAATCAATTTGTGAAATATTTTATTAGAATATTTGTATTTTATAAATGAGGAGAGCTCTATTATACTGCTTTTCCTGTTCTCTTTTCTGATGAGCAGCAGCAACTTGTGAAAAAGATGCCATGCAGGCAAAGCCATTTCCTTCTTGCAAGCATTAGAAATAAAGTTCTATATAATTATCCTTGACTTATGTGAATGTGATTTTATAATATCCCGTGTCCTTCATGTTGATCAAGGTCTCCTTATAATATTCGTGGCTAAATATTATTCTTCTCTTTTGTGGGCTTCTAAACGTTCCTACTTATGCACACATATCTGAAGCAATATGTTTGGTTATTTCTGCCAACCATGTTTTTTTTTTGAGCTACTTTTCATTTGCATCATTTGTGTTAAGAAGTAAAGAAGCTTTTTATATGCTGAAGAAGCTAAAATATGAATTTCTGGGCAGTTATTTTCTGGTGATTCTCTTTGTTGTTAATTTTATTTGTCTTACATTGAAGCGTTGGAGTTATTTTTCTGCAGGTTAAGCTTGTCAAGTGCATCGTACAGAATATTGTGGTAGATATTTCTTTCAATCAGTTGGGAGGACTCTGTACATTATGTTTTCTTGAAAAGGTAGTACTTCTGAAGACCACCAACCACTTTTGAAATATTGGGTCATGGACACTTATCTTCTTTTTCGCTTAGCACATGAGAAGGCAGGATGATGCTTGTTCTTTTCTTTCTTTTATATAGTAATCTATTTGAAGCCCATACAGTTTTGAGATAAGCCTTAATGTTTAATGAAGTTCACCACTTGTATGCATTCATAAATGATAGCTTGGTGTGGTTATATTTTGATGCAGTTTGGCTTTTGCATTTTGTTGTTGTGTTAATTGCATTTGTTGTTAATTGATTTCTGCTTTTATGATGACAGGTTGATCGTCTTGTTGGCAAGGATCATCTTTTCAAGCGTAGTATTATCTTGATAAAAGCTTGGTGCTATTATGAGAGTCGTATCCTTGGTGCTCACCATGGTCTGATTTCAACATATGCTTTGGAAGCACTAGTTCTTTATATTTTCCACCAATTTCATTTATCCTTAGATGGTCCGCTAGCAGTAAGTTCTTCAGCAAATCTCTCTGGCTCCTGCTTTGTCAGAAAAATGGGGGCAAATGGGGAGCAATATTTAAACTGAATGGTGCTGGTGATGCATCCATTTTTCTGATTTTTTTTCTTTCTTCCCCATGTTTCAGGTTCTATATAGATTTTTGGATTACTTCAGCAAATTTGATTGGGACAATTATTGCGTTAGTTTGAGGGGGCCAGTTAGGAAGTCTTCACCGCCAGATATAGTAGGTGCGGAATATATTTATTTGTGTTTTTATGATCAAACATCTCCATAGTTGTTTTCCTGATTCTCTATTTGTTTTGGTGAAGCCGAGGCGCCAGAAAATGGGAATTCTTTGCTTCTAACAGAAGAATTTATCAGGAATTGTGTGGAATCATTTTCAGTTCCTTCAAGGGGGCTTGAGCAAAACATGCGAGCATTTCCTCAGAAACATCTTAACATCATTGATCCATTAAAGGAAAATAACAATCTTGGGCGCAGTGTTAATAGAGGTATTAAGGACCTTGACATTTAGTCCGAATGGTGGGATTGTGTTCCAGCAGATGAAATTAGTCTGTGAAATGATTTGTTTTCTTATTATTAACTTGTAATTCTGTATTTAGAATCCTACCTTTGCTTAAAATATCCCCTCAATGTTACGGGTCTGTTGAGGTTTTTTAGGAGATTTAAATGTGAAAAGCTAGTCGATCAATCTTAACAACCGTGCTTAATACAGCTGAGTCACTGGGTATAGATCCTTCTGATTCAGGAAAAGACTCTAAAGGATTGTGTTGAGCAAGGTTGTTAAGATTGTGATTCAGATTGCAAGTTCTCTTATGGTGCCACCATTTATCTCAATTCTGAGTGGGACCCAGATACGCCATGATTGCAATGGGATCATGGTCCAGGTCATAGAATCTTATGGTCAAGTGCGATGAGCGATCATGTAAGGAACTTGATCCCCCCCCCTTTTTTTCTCCTTCATGTCAGAGCTGAATGCACCATTCCTGGAGAGCCAGAATTGTGTGTTCAAGAGTTTCGGCAATCCAGGACTCTGCAATCTAGTTGAGGGTTTTGAAGATCTTGAGCTTTTGACCTAACCTCTTTTTTTTTTTTTTAAGTCTTTCATTAATGCATCTTCTTCATGGAGTTCATTCTCATCTTCTATTGGCCATTTCTACTTTGCTCATATGATGAAGCTTGCACTGTACCCCTTTTACTTTGAGTGAAGTGATAAGCTCATGGCAGACTATTTTTTTTCCTCTTGTGACCTCAGTGAGAGTAGCACTTCTGCATAGAAGTTAGACCATTGCTTTACTTTTCTGAAGTTTGCGACACCCCATTTTGAGTGGCAGTACTAAATTTTATCTTATCCTGGCAAACCAATCTTGAAAACGACTTTTTTTCAATTCTTTGAATTACAAGGCACTGGCGATTTATCAGTAGTGTTAATTAAATCATTACTTTTGTTATTTATTATTGGAAGAAGACGATCACTTCTGCAGGGCTCAGGCCTCTGTGTTTCTGTTTCTCTTGTTGGTACAACCTAGTATTTGTTGATTCATTTATTATTGGAATTTGACTTTCAGCCCACAACACCATTCATCTTGGGAAAACTTGTCTTGAAAAGACTAGTAACAAAACCGTAGCTGTGTTTTCCATCAACATACATCTACAGCTCTATGAAAAGGGTTGTTGATTCTTGCTTTTAATAATTTGACCTTCCTTTTACCTTTTCTAAAGTCTCTTTATTCTATTAGCCCCCCAAAAAAGAAGTCGCCATCCATTTTCTTTTGTGGACACCATCAGCGCTGGAACCATATTGGTAGGATCCTCACTCGCTCATACACAGTTTACTGTGGCAATAGTAGTTAGTTCTGACAACTGATTGTGCTTTAAAGATCTATGCTGCCACTATACAGTGTTTTTTACTTCTTTTGATATTTTTCTTTCGGTAGCTACTGTGTCTTCATTTAATAATTCCATGCCGTTCATTTTCTTGTAGGCAATTTTTATCGAATACGCAGTGCCTTTAAGTATGGAGCACGTAAACTTGGTTGGATTCTTATGTTACCCAAGGATAAAATAGATGATGAGCTGAATAAGTTCTTTGCAAACACTTTGGATAGGCATGGAAGCGCACAGTGGGGTGACTTTGCGTTGCCTAGTCTAGCTTATAGCACAAGAGCTTTTGACTTCTCATCCTCCTCTGACTCCAAATCATTATCAGAGGACATGGCACTTCTTAGTTTGTCAGGTGGATTTAATAAAGATACTATGATGGGAGGTCCACGTAACTCTGAAGTCAGAGATGAAAGGGAGCAAAATGTAGTGAAAGATGTCTCTGCCCATGCAGGGCCATCATACGACTCCAGTCAAGATAAAAATGCAGTTTCAGGGTATTTTCCTGGTGAAGATGTTAAGGATGTTGCTACTTCTGGAGTCTTGTGTATGTCGAGTAATGGTTCATCATATTCACATTTGAGGACTCTCTTAAATAATTCAGTGTCAGGGAAGCATTTAACACATTTTAATCTTGGCTTGCTAAGGGAAAATGGGGATGTGGAAAATGGGATTTCTTGTACCGAATCAACTGTGAATTCTGTTTTTGATGAGAAAGAGAAGCATAGTATGGTGAGCAGTTCAGTCTGTTCAAATAACAATGAGAAAAGCATGCCATCTTATGGTTTGGGAGTTTTGCACAATGCTGCTGATAACTTAGACAACGAGAAAAGCATGCCATCTTCTCATGGTGATAGATGCACTGAAAGTGTTTCTTGGGGCTCTGAAGCTTCGAAAGTTTTGTTGGACCTGACTGGAGATTATGACAGTAACATTAGGAACCTACAATATGGTCAGATTTGCCATGGTTATTCTGTCTCTCCAATTGTGGTACCTAGTCCTCCCATGTCTCCAAAGTTGCAGAATAGGAATCCATGGGAAACTGTTCGTCAGTGTTTACAGATTAATCACAACATTCTTCCTCAGACAAACTCTAACGGTATTGCTGTGGGACAACAACTTTATGTTGTAAATCAACCTACGCTACCCATTGCCTCGTTTGGTCCTGAAGAGAAGAGAAAACCACGAGGGACAGGAGCATACTTCCCCAATATGGTATTCGTAAAAAGTTATTTAGATGTAATATTGTCCCCATAGATATGCTTTTAAGCTATTTGTGTTTGTGTGTGAACTTTGCAGTTGAGATCTAACTGTCAAGCTCATGATTTTGCAGGCTTCCCGTCCGTACAAGGACAGGGCAGCACCAGGAAGGGGTAGGGGGCTAGTTCCTGGGACTCATGGACAGCTGCAGAGATTCACACGTAAATATGGAATGGCTCCAGCTCCGCAAGAGGTGAATGTGTCTATGGACGGTATCTTTGAGTCTGCATTAGAAGGGTATCCAGTTATTGGCAGTATTAGACCCAGATTGTCAGAAACATATTTCTCTCAACCTTCCTCACGGGGATCTCAATATTCTAATGGTTTCCTTCATCCATCTGAGAAACATGAGGCTGACATTTTTAGCTCTCAGCTGCGTGGACCACCAAGAACTGAAGCAAGCAGTCATCCAGAATCTGGCATTTCTAGTTCTGGATGTCCTGTGCCTAGCTTAGGTGGCATGGCAGAGGAGAGTTCTAATTCAATATCTGGAGCTAATCACATGAGGTAAATAAAATTCTCCATTTCTGCTTTTTGAAATGCTGAAGAGTTATGTTAAATTACAGGCACCTTTGTTCTGAGATTGAAGCACTGTATGGTTAGTTTGTGCCCGGTAGTTTTCCTTTCTTTTAAGGGGATGTCTATGGTTTGGGATTCAGGATTGAAGCGCAAGCCTATCATTTGAAGAATGAAGATGACTTCCCTCCACTTTCTCACTGAGTACTACTGATGAATGGGGAATATGTAATAGCATTAACAGTAATGGTCAATGCATGGAAACAACAATTATGAGTTGCCTCCCTTTCGGCGGGTGTAGGATGGCGATTTTGTAAGAATGAGAACAATGTGCACTCATATGAAAATGGAAGATAGTTTCCCTCCACTCCGGGAATATAGAACTGCTAGTTCCAAATAAGTAGAAATATGCTGAGAATAACAATAGATGCTAACAAACTAGGCATAGCTTTGATGGAGACTAGGTTTCCTATTCCCTTTGTTTTCTTGCCCCAGGTGGTCCATTGTACAGAAGTGCGTGTAAATACTGTTTCCTTTTTCTTTCCCCTCCAAAGTTTGCAATTGTTGCCATTAGTTAGGGGTGTATATATCAGGCAATGCTTCTGAAATTTTTGTGTTCCTAGTTCTGTTATTGTTTTTGTAAAGCCGAAGATGTTAGATATCTCATGGGAATGGATATACAGGATTTCTGGCAGTTAGAGTTTATATGTTTTAATTTGGTTTTAATGCTGACCTTTGGGTTTAGTACATGATTTCATGCATGACCTGACTTGATATAATCAGATGTGGAGAAACAATACAGGTTTCTACGCTTCATATACTTGTTCTGAAGTGATGAAATGCAAGACTGGGCACCACTGGCACGCCCGGTCGTTGTAGGCCATGTTCTACATGCAGCTTGGTGAATGAGCATTGGCTGTGCGTCCAGTGAAATCCATTAGTTGCTAAACTGTTGTGAATTCAATGAATATGTGCTAGGCTACAAGCTTAATTTTAGATCAAGTTCTGGCCAAAAAAATTTTTTTGGTCATCTAGACTAAAGATGTGTCGAAGTTGGACGTAGAGTGAGGAACAGATTAAGGATCTTTGTGCAGTAATCTAAATTGTCTCCCTTTTTCTTAATCTTTCTTAGGGCAGTTTATTTCAATTACTTATTTATTTTTCTCTGTAAAACGAAACTGTTTTGTTAATTTTATTTGATATTTCCCCCTTTGTTTTTCATGGCAGAAGCAATATCTATGGAGTCCATGGCTATCCAAATAGGTTTCCACGAGAAACATAGTTTCCCCAATGTAGCTCATGGGATTTCAGTATAACTTGTCCCGACCCCCCCCCCCCCAAAAAAAAAAACAACTTGAAAAAGAAAAGAAAAGAAAAAGGAAAGGAAAGGAAAAACGTTATATTAGTAGCTGGAAGATGACCCGGATGATCCATCTCTACCCCAATCTGATTTTATTCAGATTGGAGGTGCCAAAATGGAGCAGGTACAAAATAGGTTTTCATAAGCTAGGTTTTTTACAAGGTCATCTGTCCCAGTTATTTTGTTTTTGTATTTTTTTGATTTAGTTGGCCCCATAGTTGGTATGTAATTATAAGTAATTCACTTCCAAATAGTTTAGGTAGGACCACTGGAATTCAAATGACTACTGTAATGGTTGTAAGGATAATTTATTGTGTACATAGTACGTTCCTGTTTCTGATGAGAATGACAAATGAGCTAAGAGGAATTTTACTTGGGCGATATATGGGGTGTGGTGGGAATTCGAGACTGAGAATGATCAGCTTGATTTAATAGATTAATACTATTAAGCATAATGAGGTATCATATTTTTACGATTTAATGAAAAGAAAAATTTAGTGTAGTGTAAATTAAGTAGAAATCCACCCATGCAATGATGCATGGGATGTAATTGTAATTTTCAAGAAAAAAAGTGAGATAGCAATGGAATTTCTGACGTTAAAACATTTAATTAGTTTTCTAACTTGAAGAATACAAATTATTGTAATTGGTTTCTTAGATTAATATATTGCAGTCACAAGATTTATAAATATAAACTCCACGCCCATTAGGGAATCAAAGGCACATCAATGTCACCAAGTGCGTCACAAGAACCTAAAGATGGCACTGGACCATCGTAGTAGTTATTACAAGCTCCGCGTGATTTTATAACTATTAAGAACAATTTTCGGAAATGGATGTTTTAGCAGATACTACTGTTAGCCAAGGTTAGTGGCTAGTGCGGATTATTATGTTCAAAGTTCAAACAAAATGACTCTGTTTAATTCATTTTGAGAGATTTAGATCTATTTACAAGTTATTTCTAACATGTTTTAAGATAGTAAAAAAAGAAAACCCTTGAAACTCATTTTGTTTAAAAATTGAATAAGTTTTTTAACTTTATTCATATTAAATATATTTTTTTAAAAATGAAAAAGTGTTAAATTCACAAAGATTACAACTTAAGCAGCGTTTTCAAACAGTCTCCTTTCATCATTAACTTACTTAGTACAAAAAAGTGGAAGTTGAAGAAAACAAAATAGTTAGAGCCATTGACGGCATAAATAGCTAATAGATGGATGTAAGAATTGGTTCCTCTGAATATAAAATTCCAACTAACATTCCAATTCTTGTACGATAAGGATTTAGCATAGTCAATGACATTTCTTAAAGGATGTTGGGCAATGTCATGACGAGTGAGGATTAATTGCCTCAACACTATCTGTGAAAACTTGGACATTGTGTGAATTCTTGTCACAGCATAACTAGAAGCTATAGATAATACCAAACACTCAAAGGGGCTAATTACCAATATTAGCATTAAATTCACAAAGCCATAGACCATTGAAGTCTCTAATTATACCACCACATTTACTGATCCCATCGTTAAAGATGAAAGAGCGATCATTATCAAGTCCCACATAACCAGGCCCACCCCACCATTAATGTTCTACTTGCTTGATCCAAAAAAAACATACTTTGTTCGCTGATATTTAATGAATGGGAAAGTGAAAATTTTGTAATAAAAAATTAATAATATAATTTATCAATAAGATTTAAAAAAATTTATTTCTCCACCTTGTAAATAGAACCAAAAGAAGTAATTTCTAAAGAAAACGTAAGTTGTCAACTAAATTAATATTTAATACCCAAGCGATTTGCTTGCCTTTCGTCAGCTTTGACATTATGCATGCATCACCAAATTAGCAACGCATCTAAAGGAGCAAGAATCCGAGGCCCTACCGGACCTCAAATCTTCAAAGCAACTATTAGACGACGCTGGCAGTAACATTGTGTGTGTGGATCACCAATTTGGGCGATAGCCTTCAAGTTTTTTTTGCCTGCTCGAATTTAGTGGCCTCCTGAACTTCCCATCAACGGACACCAGTTTCGCGGAATAAAAATTAATGAGAATTATAAATATCCTATTTCTTTTCAATATGAAAAGTAACAAGCACCAGTGGTCTAGTGGTAGAATAGTACCCTGCCACGGTGCAGACCCGGGTTCGATTCCCGGCTGGTGCTTCTTCGGCAGAGCGGTGACGACTATCTGCGCAAACTGTGATGGATTATTCTGTCACCACCGTCAGATCTTGGGACGATTAGCGGCGCATCTGAGCTCTCCCTTTCTGTCCCCTCACTTTTTTGGATACGCTCTCATTGCTCTTTAACGAAGTATTGTCTTGCTAGCTATATGTGATTAGAGAAGATTGAATATAATTTCCATGTGGTGTGTGTTGGAGAGTTCAATGACCGCAAATAATGAAACAGGTCGTCCCACCTTGTGTTTGCAATGTAACCTCCCCCACAATACCAACACACTGTCCCGTAGCAGTAGTGCTTTTGCCTGTTCCACCTACTCATCTACAGGGGTGCTCAATTTGGATCCAGATTGATTCGCTATCGTCTCAATATGGGTCTTGTCTCGGCTTAAAAATAATCGAAACGAGACTTTACGGGACAGGACAGGGAAGGAATTTGGGAGGAACGGGGTTACTATCGAGACGTCCCGTCCCGAATATTATATATATTATTTTTTATTTTAAATATATTAATTATATTAATATAATTTATACTTATATTAATTATATCAATTATAATTTAATACTTGCAATTCTTATTTAAAATTAAAATTTTTTTATATTGATAATTTTAGTGGCATGGAGTAAACATGACGATATCTTTCTTTATAATATATTAATTATATTAATATAATTTATTCTTATACCTATTTATTTAATAAATTTTATTTATAACGTATTTCTTGTTTTATTTTTAAAAGAGTAATTAACTTAGTACATCTTCACTAAAGCAGAAGAACAATGATTTGATGTTATATTTGACTTGCCTATTGTTGCTAATCTTATAGCATAAAGATCACTTGTATTTGTTATTATAATGTGTACTTGTGATTAATATAATTCAATAATTAATTTTAAATTATTGTTATTTATGTCCTTGTGTTGTTTTTTATTGTAAACTTAATAAATTATATGATTTAAAATTTTAACAAATGTTATTATTCAAATCTTTTTTCAATATTATTGCATTTATCGGGACGGCGAAACGTCCCGATCTTGTCCCCATCCCGTCCTAACTCTTAACGAGACGGGACGGGACACGGGATCAAAATTTAATTCCGATTTTTTTTTTCGGGACAGGACACGGGACGGGAGTGTCCCGATCCTGTCTCGTCCCGTAAACACCCTTACTCATCCGCACCCAAATTCTAATTCTATTTCATATATACTCATCACTTTCATCAATTATTTGGCTTCATCTTTTCCACTTAACTTCCTCACCTACCCTGTTTCCCCTTACGAGCCGTGTTTTCGCACGTGTTCACATACACACAAGCAAAGCAAATTATAGTGCAGTTGGATAGTTTTTGTGCTTGTATGTCAGCTTCATCATCAATTATTGCCATCTTTTCTCTGTTCATCGAAGATCTTGAAATCTCAGTAATGGAGTTCTGCCTCCCACTTCCTTCGTGGTCAGATCCAATTTAATATCAAACCAAATCATACTCTCTCAATTTTATTTTGGATTCGTGGAAGAGAAAGTTCTAGTTAAGTATCATTTAAGTATACATTAAATCAACTTGCGTGAGCTGTAAGCGCAAGTTTAAAAAGAAAGCGCTCCTTAAAAGACCAGTCAATTAAAAGCTTTGCAATTGGAGCCTTTCATAAGTAACGTTCTTTTCATAATATTGACTTCTCAATAAACTTACATGTGCTTTCCCTGCATAGTGCCCACAACAAGGCGTGTGGGAAATGGCTTCTCTTCATTTAGTGAAGAGTCCTTTGTGACTATAAATCATCTAGTTTAAATTTGTTACTTAGATTTAATAGTTTTTTAAAAAATGCAAATTGATGTTTGGTTTTATATGTATAAGTTATTTTCAGATATTTTACTAAAATCAAGAAAATTTTTAAAATTCACTAACTCTTTCTAAAATTTTAATAATTATGTTTTCAATTTTATCTTTATTAGTTATATATACTTTAACATACTTTCTCTTACCAATAGCTTTTATAAATATAAGGAGATATTGTTTGAATAAGGGTAAAATGAAAATTTTGTCATAAAAATTTAATGATATGGCTTGTAAATAAGATTCCAAAATTTATTTATTTGCTTTATAAATAATATTGGAGAGAGTATTTTTACAATTTAATTTGAGTTATTTAAATTTGTGGTAGAGGTAGCTCATGAAGAGAAATCAAATATCCGTGCAAGAGAGATTGATATGTAAATTTATGGTCACATGTAGGCTGGAAATTTCTTAGGAAGAATGGCACCTAAGACTTCTAAACCAAAAAAAAAAAATTGTAGACAAAATCCAATACATTTTGAATTGATTCTACAGGCCCAAAAGCCTTAGATGCAAGTATGTTTTTTTAGTTAAAAAACTTATTTTTCCCTTATTTGAATTGTACAAATTTTCCATGTGTATATATAACAAAATATTTGCATATAATATGACAAGATTTATACATTGACAACACAATATATATTCATTATACATAGTCCATACAGTTTTAGATGAAAAAGTATACAAGTTTTCTGTGTGTATAAACAACAAAATGTCTATATATAACGTAACACGACAAAATCCAAACATCAAAAATATAATATTTGTTCATTATACATATCTTAGATAGTTTAGTATTGAACAATAATGTATAGATTTTTCATGAGTATAAATAACAGAATGTTCATATACAATATAATGAGGTTTTGCACATGATGTTATTTTCCAAGCAAGTGGTAAATGAGTTTTTTCACCACAAAATATATTTGTATAAGGTCTTTGAGTCTGTAGAATAAATTTAAAATATATTAAGCCTTCGGTGCTCATTTCTTTGATCCAGGGGCTTCTGTGTCATTCTCCCAATTTTTTATTATAAATATTAGTGGAGGGAAAGCATCTTTTTGTTGGCAAATGAAATTGGTGGACTATTTTAGATGATGAATATAAAAAATTCAAGGAAAAAATGATATTTACGCTGACATCTAAGAAAACAAGTCAAATCTGCTTCTGCAAAGAGATAATTTAAAGTATGAAACGATAGATCTAGTTTTCGGGTAAGAACGAAGCTAAACCAATGAAGGATCACTATCGAGTAAACGACATTTTACGTGTTATCAGTTTGAAAATGTTCGTATATTGTGATTCACTCCATTCAAATCTGGTCAACTGTCCGATGTACATAAGAACATAGTTTTTAGGTGCCCACTAATTTTTTAAAATTATTCAATTAGCGAAAATTACTCTGTCAATTGTCAAGTAAACAATGGTTATATGGAGACCGAAAACCACCATTATAATATGTTATGATTCAGTCCATTCAATTTGGTCAACCTTCATATGACAACATTTTGATTACATTTAATTGATAGTATATTATTATTGGACGACTATTATATTCATTTGTCTTCAAGCCAACCCAAATATATATATATATATATATATCTCATAAAAATATCGGGCATACATTGATCTGTCACTCTCATGTCACATGCATGACTTATATATTTCAGACTTTTAAATCTGCATGTACGTAGGATCGATCATCAATATAATCGAACCGTCAAAAGTTTTAACCTTTTTAAAGATTAATGTGACAAATTTAGGTAAGTAAAAGACTTATTATCTTTTTATAAAATAAAAAGAATTGTTAATATGTAGTTGTTGTCAAATTGAATCGTAAGCTTAAAACTTCTATATGTATATATATATATATGATTTGATCACCTGCGCGCGTTTCCTTCATGTCGCTCGTCGTCACAGTGAGCAATTTTTAATTTGTTCGTCGTTGACGAAATTATATATGTATCTCAACAATTATTTATATAGAACTGAATGATCATAAAGCAAATTTTTTTTTTTTTGCGTGTGCGCGCGTGTGCGTGTGTGTTTCCTTTCCTTTCCTTTTTTTTTTAAAAAAAAGTTTAAGTTTTCACAGAAATTACAAACTTAAAATCTGAGTCAGCTTAGCTATGCAATGTCTTAAAAACCCAACATGGAACCTCCTTGGTCCCTTAATTTAGTTATAGAAATTATGCTGCAGAAAGTCGTTTTATACTCTTGTGAATTGTTTCATGCATGCTTAAAATATGTTTGAATCTCTCATTCTCACTAGATTCATTTATTCTCAATCATTATAGAATCTAGGACCAGAAAATAAAAGGAAGAACAAAACTGAAAATATGGGTGGCACAAACATAGCCTTAAAATCACCTGAGACGTCTCATTCAAACCATGTAATCTGGACAACTGAATTATAAAGCATCAAATGTAATAACTCATCCTACACTGATTCGTAAATCACCTCTATCTTTGTTTTTATTTCTTTGTATAATAGAAAGATGATGTAATTGAGATTTCTTGAAAAAAGTTTTTTGAACGGCATGAGACTTTTTGTGGTTCAGTCAATTAAATATTGGTTCTCTTTCACCGATGAATCTTTGTATATATATTATTTTATTTTAAACATACATCTATATTATTGTAATTGAAGTGATGCTTTCCCCATTGGCACCGGCATGCATTTGACAGAATTATATTTAACACAGTAGAGTTTTGATGGAAAACGGATGACAAGTAAGTCAAGAATGACTTATATTTTAAAGATTGTTTGAGTGAGTACCCCTGGGCCTATGCAATCGCAAGAAGCAAAACTTTGACTTGATCCGCAGCATGAAGCCATGAGGGGCTTATACTATTAAATATCATATTAAGTGACTAAGATGCGTTAACAATCTGTTTGACATTCGGTCGGTATTAAATCTTTTTATAAAAATTTAAATTTCACATAGTCACGTTCTGAAAGTAAGATAAACGTACTTGTCAGAACAAGAGAATTTATGGCAGTTGAATGACGTTTTGGAGAATAGAGAAATGCATGCATCTTATCTCAAAAGGCGGCGGATCATCTCTGCAGGAAGAAACACGTAAGCCAAATTCCAAAAAACTTGTACGTAACTATTTTTTTTTAAAAAAAAATCGACTTCACATTGAACCAAATATTAATCAATCGAAAAAATTATATTAAAATTTTGCAAAAATTTATAATAATTAATTTTTTTACGCGATCTAATTGTAATTCTCTCTAATCAATTAGTGTTGTATAAGTATTAATTAATATCTCTACAAACTGAATCAGTATACAAAACCCTAGATAAACAATAATGAGAGAACTTTATTAAAGTCGATTAAATATGACATAATTTTAGTTGAGTTTTAAAAAATTTTAAAATTTCATTATAAATTCAAAACGGTGAAATAAAATAAATTTGCTTGTTTGAATAACAAATTATTTTTCAATTATAATTGATATTATTAAAATAATAAGTCAAGCTATAATTTTTACAATAACATTACTAAAATAACAATTTAAGTTACATTTTTTATAAATAACGTTATTGTAATAACCAATCAAGTTACAGTTTTTGTAAATAATATTAATAGAATAAAAAAAAGTTACAATTTTTACAAATAACATTGTTATAATAATAAAATAAATTATTATTTTTATAATTAATATTATTAGAATAAAAATTCAAGTTACAGTTATTACAAGTAATATTATGATAATAACAACAAGTTACATTTTTATTTTATTAATATTAATTGTGAAACCTATAACTTGATGTGTTATTCAATGATATTATTTGTAAGAAACCTAAGTTGACTTGTTTTTTTTGATAATGATAATTATAATTGAAGAGCATTTTAATCATTTAAGTAAAAAATTATTTCGTTTTAATATTCTGAACCTACAGTAAAAATTTAGAATTTTTTCAAATTAGCCCATTTGTTTAAGATTAAAGAATAAATAATTTTTAGGTAGTTTAAATATTTTATAAAAAGAGATTTATTCTGTGGAGATTTTATAAAAAAGAAGACATTATTTTATACTTAGTTACTATAATAAAATAGTGATTATTAGTTAGTTATTTTTTAAAATTTATGACATTTTTTTGATTTTTTTTATAAAAATAATTTATTATTATATTATTTTAAAATTTTATGATATCTTTGTATATTTCACTTCTTCTTTTTTTTATCAAATATCTTACCTCTTTAAAATACTCGTTCTCATCCATCACATTAGATCATTTTCAGAAGCTACTTAAAGTAATTTTTTAAAATAATCTTAAATAATAATAAATATGTTTTTTTATTATTTTCAAAAGTTTAAATAAAAATTTACAAAATATTTTTTAAAAAAGTAATTTTTTATGTCACATCCAAAAAAGTTTAATGAGACTTTCCCGGCAATAAACATAAATAAAATTTAGGCCTCTTTGACAACTCATAGGAACATTTTGTTTTTTAAAATAAAAGAATAAAAATAATCTGTTTAAAAATGTATTTTTAAAAATTATTTTTAAAAATAAAAAATAAAAAAATTGTTTTAGAGAACAACGAAACAAAAATATTTTTTAAATATTTTAAAATTATTGTTCTGAAAAATAAAAAATAATAAACAAATATATTTTTATTATTTTTATTTTTAAAATATATTTTATAAAATATCAATTTTAAAATAATAAAATAAAAACAATTTTAAACAAACCCAAAAGCTACAAATTATTGGATTTGGGAAAAGTGAGTATCCAAACACATTATAAATAAACGATAACCAAACGTGACTGCGAAATGAATAATAATGCGAATAGAAGGTGCCTCCACCAATTTGATATCACAGATTCACAGCCATGGCAGGAAGAGCCAGCTGGTGGAGCCAGAGTCCATTCTCCAAAGTCAACCTTGTCATCTATGACAGGAACGAGTTTGGGTCATAAGCTGAATCATTTAAATTTTAATCTAAATAGTTTAAATTTTAAATATTATTATATATTATATTTATTAAAATAAAAATTATAAAATAATTTTAATATTAAAATTATAAAACAGTAGTTAATCTGGCATGTGCAAAATATATCTAAATAGTCAATGTATATCAATTATAAAAATTTTAATATTAAATTGAATCATTTAAATTAAATTTAAATCATATTAAAAATAAAAAATTTATTAAAATTATTTTATACTTTTATATAATTTTATTTTAATAAATATAAAAATAAAAAATATATTTTTTTAAAAAATTTAAATCATTTAAATTAAAAGTTGAATGGTTTAGATGTGATCATAATAACGAGTACCATGGTGCATCCAAACCGGACTTTCTATGACGCCCCAAAATTTGGAATCTTCTTCTGCGTGACATTATCACAAGCCCTTCGATGCTGCCACCTCACTCAATGCGGCGCCCACCAAATATTTTAATCATATCGTATGCCGTTTACTCTCTCTGCCCTGCATATGTGCTCAAGCTATATACATCCTCAGCTCTCCACCTTCTCCTCGGCCCTCAAAAATCCTCTTCCCTTTTTTTCTCAGCTTCCAATCGTCTGATTTTGCTCCGCGTTCTGGCTGTTGCCGAGTTCTGATTTTTATTGTTACTTTTGGTTTTTCTGGGATACTCTGTTATCCACGCAGATGCTCGCCACAAAACGTGGCCACGGATTCTTCTAGTTCCGTGCCCGAGTGCTATCAGGATTACCTCATGGTCCTATGCAAAGCGACGGTTCTTTTTCGCACAGTGAATACCCGAAACTGACCCTGCCCAGAATCCAACTGCGTGATACGACCCCATCAAACTTATTGGGGAAAAGGGGATTTGCAGGAACCTGTCACGTTTGTGCGAGAATTATCAGCTTATGCTTTCACCTCAATTGTATTGTCGCGTCAAATCTTGCGTCTGTGATTTTCGTTTTCAAAAGGAACAAGAAAAGGAACAGCAAATGGTGGCTAAGGACTACGACCACTTTACATGCGCGGTTGTGGAGGTGGGAAAAATAATGCGAAGTATTGAGTTGTCAAGGCTCTTCTGGCTATTCTTTGGTGTCTTCTCCTACGCAAGCCACGAGACAGAGCCTCGGATTTAAGATTTTGCTCCAACAGGATATAATTTTTCTGCTCTTTTTTTCCTGCAAAAAGTTTTATTTGCTAATTAGAAGTGTTTGAAGTATAGAAAGTGATTGTTAGTTGGAGCAAGTAGCTGAGGATCAAACATGTATGGCGGTAAAGAACACAAGGATGATATTAAAGGAGACCCCGGTTACGTGGAAACCGACCCAAGTGGTCGCTATGGGAGGGTAAGTTCTAATGTCTCAATCCCATGTTTCTGTCAATCTTTCGTTATTTTTCTGCATTCGTTTCTGGCGTTTATTATGCTGATTGACTTAGGTTAAAAGTTTCTGGTCCACGTGAATGGGATAAGCGAGATGAATCATTATGAGACGGTGATCTGTGTACATGTGTGTTGTTGAATGCTTTTTGCCGTTACTCTGCCCGTATATATTTTTGTGCGGAGGCTGGACCTTGTGATATTGTGTTTTGGTTAGATTCTTACCAATTTTGGTGTTTCTTATGGTGGCTAAACTTTTAAAATTCGTTTAGTTGAAAGGAATCCTGGCTTAAACATAGCACTTATAAGCAACTGCAAAAATTATAATCTCGTTTCAATTTCTTCCTTCTTTAGGTATTAAAGTGATACCATCAATCTTTTTGAGAACCACATATTTTGTGGGTTATTTTTAAAAAAGAAAAAAAAAAAAAAACTTTCAAGTACTGAAGTAATATATAAAATCTTTGAGTTAACAGATATATCGGTCATTTTTATGGGGTTGTAGTCTATTGTTTACATAGGTGTTGTGAAGTCTAAAGCAATCTTCATGGAACTACTAAAGTTTTGAGGGTCAGGTTTGTATGAGGGGGCAACACTTTTTGGTTTCCTTTACCATTCGAATGACCGTTAAGTGAATCTACCTGGCTCTATGCTTAGTATTTTATTCCAATGATGCAATTAAGCATCTAGAAAACTTTGGTTATGTTGGAAAGTAAAGACCATGAATTTTTTGTTGTTTTCATTTGAAATGACTAAGGAATTAAGAATTCATCATCCATCTCATTTGTGACCAAGTTCTTTGATCTTTGTCATTAGTTTGGAGACATTCTTGGAAAAGGAGCGATGAAAACAGTATACAAAGCTTTTGATGAGGTCCTTGGAATAGAGGTGGCATGGAACCAGGTCAGACTCAATGCGGCACTTAGCACACCTGATGATTTGCAGCGGCTTTACTCAGAGGTTCATCTTCTCAGTACCCTCAAGCATCAATGCATCATAAGATTCTACACCTCCTGGATTGATGTTGATAAAAAGACATTCAACTTCATAACAGAAATGTTCACTTCAGGGACACTGAGAGAGTAATTTTCTTTCTGACAATTAATGTATTTCCTCAGATTGGTCGTGCTATATCTTTGTTAGCCAGAATTTAAGCCACATACCTCTTTCCTGACAATTAATGTATTTCATTAGATTAGAACTTCTTTGCATGAACATACACGAATTCTATATTGTTTGATTTGTTTGATGTTTAGACTGACAGTCAGAAAATGGATTTTGTCTTATACAGTCTTTGCAATCTGAAGATTAACTTATTCATATGATTTTATGAAGCATGTACTGGAGATTAGAAACTAAGAAAGAACACTATAGTGATCTTGTGGGATTTTTCAGTATGTTTTGCCTCCTGGCTGCAGTCCTTGACGTGAAATGTCCATTGCATTATTTTGTCTTTTTAGGTACTCAACAGATGGTTGATAATTTTCTGGCCTATGTTTGTACAGATACAGGAAGAAATATCAGCAAGTTGGCATACAAGCAATAAAGAATTGGGCTTGCCAAATCTTACAAGGTCTTGTTTACCTACACGACCATGATCCTCCAGTAATTCATAGGGACCTCAAATGTGATAACGTATTTGTCAATGGCCATCTTGGACAAGTGAAAATTGGTGATCTAGGACTAGCAGCTATTCTCCGTGGTTCCCATTCTGCCCACAGTGTTATAGGTACTTATTTTGATAGTTATGGGTGTTGCAGTAACTGAACTACTTCATTTTTCATGGATTAAAATTCTGTTCTTTATGGTAGGCACCCCAGAGTTCATGGCACCAGAATTATATGAAGAAGAATACAATGAACTTGTTGATGTGTACTCATTTGGCATGTGTGTTTTGGAAATGCTTACATCTGAATATCCATACAGTGAATGTGCTAATCCTGCACAGATCTACAAAAAAGTAACATCGGTAAGTTCAGAAATTAGTGCAAATTCATGGTCATTTGTGAAGTTGAGTTTTAATTGGGCGCAACTTTTCATGACCAGGGAAAGCTACCTGCAGCACTTTTTCGGATTGAAGACACAGAAGCACAGAAGTTTGTTAGAAAATGCTTGGTAACAGCAACAGAAAGACCATCAGCAAAAGAATTATTGCTTGATCCATTTCTTTCATCTAATGACACAATATCAAATACAAAGTTTGAGATTCAAAAGCCACTGTTGAATGACATTGAGATAGAGAAATTGCGTTTGACCGATGGTTCACACAGGACCGGGATGAAAATCACTGGGAAGCTGAATCCGGAGGATGATACATTATTTCTCAAAGTGCAACTTACTGATAAAGATGGTACCTAACCTTTTCATTAAAGCTCGATGTCTTCTCCCGTTTATTTCAAACAAAGCATCTTTCAAGCCTATCAGAGTGCATGCTTACGATTTGATAGTAACATCTTAGTTTATAAGTGGATTTTAGTCATAATATTGGCTAAAGATATAACTGTAAGAAAGTATAGCAAGATAGCTCGGGAATAGTTCAAGCCTCCAGGCTGAAGTGATGAAATGATTTTCCTTCTCTCTTTTCCTACAGGTTCTGCAAGGAACATTTATTTTCCCTTTGACATTTTAACGGATACTCCCATTGACGTTGCAATGGAGATGGTGAGGGAGTTGGAGATCACAGATTGGGAGCCATTTGAAATTTCAAGTATGATTGAAGCAGAGATATCTGCTCTGCTGCCACAAAGGAGGAGGGACTGTTTAGACACCTCTCATATGTTCAATTATCAGAATGATGACAACAATGAATCTCGATATCATTTTCACTCATTATCATCTTGTTCATCATCCCAAGAATCAGTATCAGGCATAATCACAAAAGCTGAGGAACTGCCCAATGGATATTACTGGCTTCATGGTTTGTTTCTTTCGTCCCTTTGCTCCTTAGTGCTATTGCCATGGTAAATGTCCTTTTTGAGGTGGTTTACTTCTTGAGTAATTAGTTTGCTATTCGTGGAGGGTATTTGCTAGGACTCCCTTGGGAAAACAGTGTTCCTGAGGACATGATTACTTCACGTTAGTTTAGTTTGCTATTGGAAATGACACTACTCAAAACAGGAGGTGTGGTGTTTTAAAAAAAATTAAATATAACAGAGAAAGGAATTCAATATATATCTTCTCTTGGTATTGAAATAATACTCCCTTCCCCATAAATCGCTGTTTATATAAATTCCAAGTTAAACAAATCACAGTCTCAATAGTAACATTGCCATGTAATTTGGTTGCAGATGACTTGATTGATGATTCCAGTTCCAGATGCTCTTCACAGGGGACATATTCCAATTTGAATTATGTTTATGCGGATGACCAGGAGTACAGTGTGACTTATACAAAAAAGGATAAACTACCAATCACTAAGAGTCACAAATGTAAAATGTTTTCCCCTGGTGAAGAACTAAGCAATGGATTGTCTCCGTCTGGAACAAGCTGCAACTACTGTAAAGTTATAGTAGGACCGTATGCTGCTTCATCTACTAGCAAAAACAAGAAGATAGACAATCGTAGATTGACAAGGAACAGTTCACTTGTTGATGTACATAGCCAGCTACTACACCGTTCCTTAGTTGATGAGGTAAGCAAGAGACGTTTATTCAAGACAGTCGGAGCTGTGGAAAATATTGGATTTCAGAATCCTCTTGAAGCTCCCAGAAAAAAATCACAACCAGTATGTGGTGCTTTGGATGTGAAATCTCCAAGGAGTGGCAAGGGACAAGAACTTGGGAGTTATTCTTTGAATATCAAAAGTGAAAAATATAGATAGCATAATCTTTTGTTCTTTTGATAGAGAGAATGATCGAGGCGGATGTGGAATCATCGGGTTTTCAAGAACTGGTTGGCACATTGTGAAAAAAAAAAAAAAAAATCCATCTCAAAGTGCCTTGCCAGGGGTGTTAGTTAATAGTACGTGTAAGATGTGGATGGAGTATACTGTGCTGCCAAAAGAAAAAAGTTCATGAAACATAAAGCAAGTCTCCTAAAGGAAAGCTGAACCAGCATGCACTAATATTTTCTATATGAGGGTAAACGCTGAAGCAATTCGACCAGTAATGAGATCGAAGATGGTGGTAGTTTTATTACTTATCCATCTGGGTTCTCATTTGAGGCCACAGAATTGCTTGCTCTTGATGAGCATGTGGACATTACTTGCCTAAGTCAACACCACCAAGTATGTTTGTGCAGTCACTTTTGTACGGTTGTTGTGTTGAGATGCATTTTTCCATATGATGCCAATAATTGATAGATCAGTGCGATATATGCTCAATCTGGCTAAGCATCTTACACAAAAGACAGGATGCACGTGCCTCGTTTTATGTGGTGAATTGACCTTTTTGGAAGCCGCTTTTACGGAAGATAAGTGAAGTAAATCAAAAAACACACACATACACACAAAATCTTATAGCAATATATGAAATTCTTAGGTTGACCTAAAATAGCATCCAAAGTTCGACCAACTTGATCTGTGATCTATCCAAGATATTCTCTTGCGTTAAGCGGTGTTATAACCAAGAAAGGCATTTATAGTCGAAATCATTATTATGACAGGCTTGGAGCAAAACGACCGGTTTTTCAGTATATGATCATGCTTGTAGGAAAACAATTATAATGTTTGTTCCTTGATGATGAAGCCCAATTATGTTGGATCTTTGTTGAATGATACTGTCAAATCCTGTTCTCACGTGAGATTGAGCTCTATCATGAGAGATATATTAATAATATATATTGTATAAACCGAGGCTGGCCGGAATCAGCACTCTCTGCCTCAACAAGATTTCCTTTTTTTTTCATTCTTAAAAAAAAAAAAAAGGAAAGGAAAAGAACGGAAGAACTTATAAATATTTCTGTGCGTAGGGACTGACCAACTGTGCAATAATGGAAGGTTTCCAGAATAACGAAATGACTAGTTCGTGATGATCTTGTGGTCCTCCCTTTCATTTGATTATTTCTACCAGCCTGTTCGCGATGATCATGTGATCATCAATGCTTGCTGAATTTGGTTCCTTTTCTCTATGAACACTTGTGATTCGTATACAGATACTCGGGCAAGGCAATATCTTACGTGTTCTCACCTCTGCTATTTTTTCTCCTCTCTCTCTCTCAAATCGCTGATAATGTGTATAATGACAAAGCTTGTGAGTGCATTTTGGATTGCATTTGTAAAATGCATATAAAGGCACAATTATTGCAACTGCCGAATGTCAGATCATTTCTACAATGTTGCCCCTACTTCTTATACTGCTTTAAGAATTTCTGCTCAAGTAATTTGTCATTGACACGAGACTCTGTGTTCCCACGCCATATTTGAGGTTGTCAAAATGGAGTTTTTTTTTTTCTTTAAATCCCAGGAAACCATAAAAATACAACACAGAAGTGGATCCAAAGTGGTGGAATGATCCAAACGAAGCTTTACTCAAGCACTGGATAAAGTTTACATTCTGAGTTGAGCCAAGTCAAACCAGACTTGCTCAAATGCTTTGATTATGAGTTCATGGTATTCTCTGGAGTTCAGTGAGAGATAGCAAGCTAGCAGATCCTCCAAATCCTCTGATGACCAGATATTGTTCTCCGTGATCATCTCCATCATTGATTCCTTGAAATCTCTTTGTGGATCAATTGAGGACTTGACAACTGCAAAACCTTCAGGAAACCCTGTGTTCCTTGAAACCTTGCATGCACTGGATGAGGATACACTCTTTCTTACACAGGCCTGAACTTTCCTGCTTGCAAGTTTTGGAGAATTGACTCTAAGTCTTATGCCTCTTGAATTAGCAGAGGACTTTGGAGCTGTTGTTCTACTGCTTTCCTCCACTTTACATGAACATGGCAAGTGAGGTTCTTCAATGACCTGATCATCAAACCTCACTGGTTTTGTCAATATAGGAGGAAGGCCTAACTTTGAAATTGCATCAAACCCATCTAGCTTTTCAGGATTCACACCAAATGATTCGTTGTTCATGTCTATGATGATATCATTAGTGGAAGAACTAACCCTGCAACTGCAGTCAGGGGATAACCCATTGAACATGTGAGGAGCTGCTGGGCTATCACACTCTTCAGACTCGGATGTAAGACATTCATAGAGATCTAATTCAGAGGAAGAACTCTTAATGGAAGAGGCATATAAATCCGGAGATTCGGCTTGATTAGGCCGAGTCCAATGGCAGCTGCAAGTGGTTGAGACAGAGGACACAACGGAGGGAGAAGGTTTGTAGATAGTTTTCCTCTGAACTCTTCTCTTGGATGACCTTCTTGGTGAATCAGTGAACGGAAAGTCTGCGACTTTAGTGTGAATTGGTGAATTAAAAAGCATACCAGCTCTGTAAGGTTCAGTGGGGAAATAGTGCAAACAAGCTGGCGGCGACCTCTGGGACATTGCTGGTGAGCTTGCTTTGTTCTTCACAGAATGAGAACCTTTCTGCTTCCTTGATCTGCTCATGTCTTTGAGCTTGTAAAACCAAGCATTTGGTATCATATCTGACAATTTGAACCTGTGATTACCCATCAGATTATAAAATGCCTCTAGCTCGACACGACACACTCTTGATCTCTCAGCAGAGTTCTGTATTTCTCCGGGGTATCTCAGAATTGTACTTATTCACGAGAGTTGAAATCGAAGATTCAATGAACTGAAAGCTAGCCTTATAACAGGAAATAAAATAATGCTGGTGGTCCACTATAAAAGTTTTGACATGAAAGCGGGGGACCAAGTGTGTCCACAAATGACTATATCTATCATTACCATCAGCAATACTCTTGCCGTGTCAACTACAAATAACATCATTAGCTCGGTTTTAATGAACGCACGCACGCACCTACCTTATTATATCATCAATTCCCTGGTAATAACTGTATTAGTGTATTATGGTTGTGCCAGCAAACCTTTGCAATTAATCAACAATTTGGTTTGAGATTTAAACAGAGAAATCTTAAGAATAAAGAGACACATTAGCTGTAAGAGACACATTTAGTAAGACTGAACCATGCCATACCTGCTCATCATATATTTAGTTTATATATGATTTATAGATCATCTTTATCTAAGATTTTTTGAGAAAGATATTACTTTGAAAAGCCCAACAAGTTGCACTGCAGAGTTTCTACTTTTTCCCGGCAATTTGTTTAATCATAACCAAAACTGGAAATGAGAATATAAAAAAGTTTTGCCCCTTGGAAGGTCCAATTTTCAACAGCCACATGCTTTCTCAAATCAGAATTCCCAAGTGTATTAAAAGTTAGCTAATTATGGGTAATGAATGGCTTGAATTAATAATTTTTTTCTTCACGCTTTGTTTGGGGGGGGGGGAGGTAAAGATATAAGGTTAGTGAATAGTAATGATGAACAAAGCGAACAGGTGAGACCCATCTGGAGGTGGCAGCTTAATTTCTGGGTTTAAGAGTAATGAGAGCCATTCCCTTTAAAACAACCAAGTTATTATTCAGAACCCCCAACTTGCCTAGTGCTGGCGTATGCATCTCAAATCAGAGTCTTGTTTTCTTTTTATTCATTATTCCAGGACATGATGTGCATGGAAACTGACCCACCTTCATGGAAATTGGACACACAGCAAAGGAGATTGAGGTGGAGCAAACAGAACAGACTCCAAATTTTCCATGTTGAGATTTGTTGCTAGCGGAAGGTTCCCCCCCCCCCCCCTTACCAAGTCATGAGGGTGACAAAAGTCACGAAGTTGAAAAGTAAATTTTGTATTATGTCATTTTTTCTAATAGTATTACGTTATTGTTTGAAATTTGAATGTTTGATTGTGCATTGATATTTTTTTTTTATATAGCTTTATCGTATCCAATGCCTATTTAAATATAAAAGACCTCATGTTTAACTAATTATAAATTTTCTACCATGACTGAAGTCAATTATATATTGATATGTAGTGTCTAATAAATTTAGAAGAAAGAATAGGAGATGGAATGAAACCTATTAAAAAGTGATAAATAAAAATTAAAAGTGAATAGCAGCACAGTATGAGAAAATTTTGGTTCATAACTCAAGTCAAATTAAGAAAATAGCTTCCTAGATATAATTTTAATTGATGATAAAATGATTTGTTAATTATTTTAATTTAATGTTAATCCTCTAATTAGAATGCGATTTTAGCAATTTTGTGGTCAAAGATCTCGCCAGCGTAGAGTGGAATTCTATAGTCTATGCTCACTGGAATGTATGTGAGTGTGGGTTTTGGGGGGTGTTTTAACCTAGCATTTTAACAATATTTTTTTTTCAAAATATTGAATTTTAAGTATTTAGATTAAATTTTAGTTGAGCGTTTAAAATTGAGGAAAGCAGATGTAGCACAGTGTTTTAAATTACTGCCTTTATTATGGCCAGGTGATATTGAGCTCGAAATATTCCTTTATTATGGGCCACATTGGCTTTCTTTGGTCTTGTATTTGAGCTACTACGGAAGGTCCAGTTCAAATATCTCATTCGGCCCATCTAAAAGTCGCTAATCGAACCTCTTATTGAGAAATTTGTTGATCATTTATTAATTAAAAAAACATTCGAGTTCAAATAACTTGATAACAAATCTCCAATTTAAACTTTGATAACTGGCATTTCATATTTCAAGTGTTATTATGTTGCATGACACCCTCGTATATCTTCAAATAATGTTTGTTTGTATTTTAAAAATCAAAATATATTTTTTAAATAAAAGATAAATGTGTACATATAATAAAATTATACATAAAAAAAGTTAAAAAGCATGTCATTTATCCTTCAAATATAAAAAGGAGGGCAGATGACTGAAAACCAAGTAAACAGCGAAAAAAGTTTGGTAGCAAATAAAAAAGGTCAAAATATATCAATCCGATCAACTCGAACTTCAATCAATATTACACATAAGTGCCTGCCAAAGCATGCCAATGAAACAGCAAGACACTGTCCCGAGTTTGCAAAATATTTTATAAGTTGTGGAGCATACATCATCTGCATCAACCAATACTATGTTCTATAATTAATAATTAGCGGAACAGATCAAAATGAGTAAACGACTGGTTCGCTCAAATGTCTGTTCACAGTTCATATAGAAATGTGGGAGACCAAAATATTACATTTCAGTGAAGAAATTAGAGACTCTGGCAACTTAAAATTATATTAGAAGCCTCTAACAGGAAAGATTAGTAGACTACATAACCTAGTAGCCAAAGCCTGGTGCCAAACTCATGATGTTCTGTCTGCTGAATTACCAGTTAAGAGGGCCCTCCATTTAATTAACACCCTAAGAAGTTGAGACATAAACTTTAGACTTCACCAATGTCTGCCCAATTCTAAACCCAGGCATCACCATGAACTGAACTTTGTAGTTTGATCTTTCTTCATCAGATACACCAGTGAAATTCCTTTCTTCCTCAACAGATTCCATGTACAAACTGCAGAACTCGCTTCCTCTGTTCACAGAGAACATTGTTGCATCAGGATTTATTGGTCTCGCAGAACCTTGTAAGACCCAAATCCATTTCGCCATTTTAGCAAACAGTTGATAGAACTCTGTCCTAGGATGTTTCCCGCTCAGTACGAATGTCCGGTGATCTAAGTTCCCAAAGAATTTCTCTTCCATTGTCGGATGAATGACCAGAAGATATTTAGCTCGGCAGAACGTGGCAAACTCTGAATCAGGATTCTCCATCAGCGCATCAATTGGGTCTTCAAACTTCATGACACCCCCGACATCGTAAGACGTTAAGCGGATCCCATGAAACACCCTGCGAGCAATGTAGGCCTCGAAAGCGTACTTCTTGTCGGATCTTTTGGCGTAAACGGCTTCATTTTCAATCCACTTGGCAGCCAAATTTAGGTCCCAGCCTGAAGCTTTCATCAAACTAATCAAAGGTTTAGCAAAGTCATGAATACACTTTGAAGCTGCCTTGAAGAAATCTTGGAACTGAGCAGCGCTCAAAACACTGGCTTTCCTCTTCTCTAGATCGATCCGCTTGATCTTCTCTGCCATTGCTTTATTACCCATCTCCAAATCATGAAGCTCTTGCCTCAGCCGGAGAATCTCAGAGCCTTTAGCACTATTCTGAGACTTCAGCTTCCCTAGCAACGCCTCTTTGACCTTCATTTCGGTCCGCAGGAGACGAGAACGCTGCGAAACATTGAAACGTGCTTTCCTGCATTGTTTCTGCTTATAATCGCGCTTGAACTTGCATAGCTTTTCGAGCTCAGCAACTACTTTATCATCAGCAGCAACAATCCCGTGCGGATCATAAGGGATGTGAGCTTGCTGGAGCAGAAGATATGCCTGTTTCAGGGCAGAAACTGTGTCAAATATCTCCATCATCTCAACATTAACACGAGCATTATCATACTCTTTCGCCGGCACTTCAATGGGCCGAGGATGAACTTTCTCAACGTGGCTTTTAGTCTTTTCCTCACTTGAACGATCACCGCTACCACATCTTCGGATTTCACTTGCAGGAGCATCATTGAAGATGGGTTTGTGCATGTGAGGGAGGTTGGGCATTTCAGAGGAGAAGACCCCAATGGATTTCAATTTACAGACTATGGCGAACTTGGAGACGATTTCTGACATGGTTGAGTTGGATTTGATAATGGACTTACTAGTAGCATTTGGGCATTCCATTGCTGAGGGAAGATCAAACCCTGAAGTCATACTACGCGATTTGAAAAACCAGGGGAGGAAGAAAGCGGGTTTTTGGATTTTAATTAGCCAACATAGCATAAACCCCAATCACCCAGCAAGACCCGGATTTCCTGGTAAAATGCCAAAAACGCAGGTAATGGAGGCAAGTAGCATCTCAGATTTATTAAAAAAGAAATTAGCAAATGGCAGATATTTTTCCCGTTCAAGGACACGCAATAGTAGAGCTCAAAGAAGTTGCTTTCCCAGTTCCGAAATGATCCAACGGGGATGAACACTCTTGAGTGAAACGCCAAAAGAAGAGAAAAAGAGGAAGGAGAACAAACGGGGCTGTCAGAGCATAGGAAGAATGCAGAGGAGCGGCAGAAACTCACCTAAAGGTGACGCAACATTTGGAGGGGGAGGAAGAGCAGAGAACGACGGTTTTCAGGGGGCTCAGGGACGGAGCGTCGGAGAAAAGCGTGGCGGTGAGAGGGCGTAGGGGAGTAGCAGGTTCTGACATTTGAAAGTTTGCAGGTTCCGTGAAGGCGAGCGCGTCTGGTTCAGTGGGAGCTCCGGAACACATTGACTGCTGTCTGCACAATACTGACAAAATATTACCGCCTTTTCCAATGACCTATTATTTTCGTTTTAAAATATTTGCGCCTCCCCCGATAAGCCTCTAGGATCGTCTATATTTTGATCTTGAAGGTAGCTATTCTTTTTTTTTTTTGGACAAGAAAGCAGTTTTTATCAGAGTCGATAATTTGGATCAACGAAGTTAAACCAAACACACCCAAAAAATTTAAACCAAAACTCAAAAAAAAATATTTTTTTATTATTCGAGCCTATTTAGGTAATCCAAATAGGCCTGAGAAAGTTTAGACTAAACCCGATCAGGTTCGGCAATACCCAAATAAAAAATAAATTTTTTAAAAAATATATAACTTTAATAAATACTAATTATTTTTAAAGTTTTATATCATTTTATTCTAAAATACCATAAGTGTATTATTATTTTATTTTTAAAAAAATAAAAATATTTATATTTTCTTATTTTTATTATTTTTAATTAAATAAAATATCTCAAAATAATAATTAAAATATATTTTAATATTAATTTTTATATTTTAAGACTCAATTTTTTTCAAAATAAAAGTTGAGTCATATACACCATTTTTTTGTCTAAAAAATTATATTTTATATTTTTTATAAAATAAAATAATTAATTTTAAATTAAAAATAATTTTAAAAATAAAATTTGGGCATGTATAAATTTCTGACTCTACTAATAAACAAACATAATAAATAAAATAATATTTTTAAATAATTACTTAATTATCATCCATGCCAGATTGGTTAAAAATTAAGAATGAATTAAAGTAAATACTCTTTGTATATATTATATGGGGCTTAAACAATATAAAAGGTTAAAAAAATTAAAAAAAAAATAGTGTTTTACCCATAATTAAATAATTTTTTATATAATATAATGATGGCTATTTTTCTTATATTCTTAAAAATAAAAAGTATAATTTATCTAATAGTTATTAAAAACTTTAAGCTAATCAGAGTAATGATTTTAAATTAATGGTTTAACCATAATTGAATTGAGATTAACTTGATCATAATTAAAATAATATAATTCAATTAAAATTTATAAATATTTTTATATAACCATAATAAAGGTAATATTTAAATAAATAAGACATTAATTTATAAATAAAGGAACCATTCATGAATGAATTGCATATAATATAATAAAATAATAACAGAGCTACTTAAGTACTTAACTACAGAGTTAATAAGTTATTATTTTTTATTCCTTTTAAGTTAAAATAATATTTAATGTTTAATAAAATTATTTAAAAATTAAAATTGATTGAAAAATGAAGAAAAAATATTTTTTAAAAAAAACTTTCAGGTATTCAGGCCGGCCCAAATAAGCCCGAAGCTCGAAGAGGTTAGAGCCGGGCTTAACTATATGGGCTTTTTAAAATGAGTGAAATTCTTTAAGTCCGATCTGAATAAACTTAACCCGCCTGAATTATCGACTCTAGCTTTCATTGAACTTAAACAAGCACATAGTGCAACTACAGAAGCAAACAAACGAAATTAAAAAATAAAAACGCAACGGAGATTAAAAAAAATAAGATCACCCGACGCTATTCAATTCTTTTTATCTCATTTGTTTAATATACTTCATATTCATGTTATAAGTGAATTCTAAAAAAGAATGAGTTATTTAATACAATAATTAAAAAATTGGACTAAATAGGATAGTCGAACCGTCGAACCATCCATCAATCAACCAGGTTAACAACTTGAACAATTTAAAAAAATTGTTTGAAAAGTTGAGTTAGGTTGGGCTGTTTTAAATCATTGGTCAGACTGAGAATTAGGTTCATTTTTTAAAACTAAACTATTCAAAAAAGCACTCATTTTTCTTTTTTAAAATTTTTTATCAATTTTTTTAAATGATTAACTTTTTTAATTATTTGATGTTATATTATATCATGTGGCTTGTTAAGTTATAATAAACTTAAAATATTTAGTTTTATTTTTAAATTAAGTAGCAATTTTATATTTATTTTTATATTAAAATCATTAGATATATGTACATAATTTTTTTAATTTAATTATTATGTCACCTATTCGACCATTGGTTTAACCTAGTTGGGCCACACAAATCATGAACCGTTGACCTTTTCGGTTCAATATCCAATTTAGTTTTAAAAATATTGATTTAATGGGTTATTAATTATACATCTTTTTAATATTATTTTTATTTAAAGTCATTAACTCTAAAAAAGAGCATAATGCAAACTTAAAATAAAATTATGAAATTGTGTTCTATTCATATTATAAGATACCTTAAATTTTTTTGTAATATGAATTATTTGATAAAGTATTAATTATATTTTTTAACATTGTTTTTTTTAAATTTATTAATTATGAGAGTAAATTTGAATTTTTTTCCATTTAAATAAAGGCGAAGTTAAATTGTTATTTTGTTTTAAAATGAAATTAATAATTTAACTTCTTTTTTTTAATTATAGTGAAGTAATTATTAGTTTCTTATAATAAACAAGAAAGGAGTATTTTTGTAGAACCATCTTTTGTTTGTTTTACAGTTTTCCCACGTATTTTGTTTACTAGTGGTCGTCTGTTTCTCCTCCAAATGCATGATAGAGGATAATGATAATCACTTTATTGTTTAAAAGAATAGTTAAAACTTTAATCTTTTAAAAAATTATTAATCATTTCATTTATATCCTCATTTAATATTATATATTAGCGTCTTTAATAATGAGAATAATAATAATAATATTAAAAATTTAATTGATCATTAAGAATAATAAATGAAATGAAAGCATAGTTAAAAAAATTATCATAAATGTTTGATACTCTTTTAGATCAATCAGGGTTTTTAAAAGAGGTCTTGTAAAAATGAAGAGAAATTTTACGTTCTTTCTTATGTTGATCATATAACGAAATAACACGCAATAATCACAATAATGTCACAATGTCACGGACAAAAAATAACTGAAGAACCTGATTAAGATAACAGGTCTTTTTTTTTTTTTTTTGGCAATAGCGTAGGATGTCAAATTCTAGTAATGAAGACAAGGCCAAAAGTCAGAGCGTCAAAGCAAGTTCGAAATTTCAAGTGAACCGCGTTATTATAGTATTTATAACTTAAACTTCACATTAATTCATGCCGAGTAAGATTACATGTATCATGCATATTTTGCAAAAAAAATCGTAAGTAAGTCCAGTGATTTATGACTTATAAATAATTAAACTTTCCTTCTACTACATTTCTTGCATCCGAATAAAATGTGATGAAGAAACTAGAAAACCTCTATTTTCATTGAAACTACCATGGATATTTCTTCAATTACAAAATATAAAGTATTTTTTGAGGATTTGAGTATTAAAAAATATAAGACATTTTAAATCTTTTAAAATGTGATCATTATCTTTTTTTTTAAAGTGCTCCATTGATAGTAAATTTATATTTATTATAGAGTATTTAATATGAATAAATATGAAAAGATAGGATTAATTTAAAAGTGTATAACTACTTTATTGAAGGTGAAATTTAATTAAAAATATTTTATATTTTTTAACAAAAGGAATACTGTTTATAAATTTTAAATTGATATATTGAAATTGAAAATGATATATAATATGTGTAAGTCATAAAATGTATTCACGAGTTCTGTTAAATGACATCTAAATTGAGGTCTGTGTAGTTTGAGCTTCAGTTCTAAGTCTTAAAAATTCATAGAAAAGCCTAAAAATATGTCTGGCTAAGTATATTTTGAAAAAAACTACTAGGGCAGGAACTCATTTACATGAAAACTCGAAATATAGTAACTTATTATCTTCAATTGTGGGTAACAAAAATTACATCAGAGTCACATTTTTTTTTTTATCTCAATTTGGGCCTGCAAAGCTCACTTTCATTATATGGCCACGTAACTTCTAATCCAAACAGTCTGGTCTAGTTGGATATATTGATATCTACCCCGAGGTTAGTTTTGATTTTTGAATGGCAAGTTTATTTGTTTTGAGAAAATAAATAAATTAAAAATAATGTGACGGGAGATTCTTTCATTCTTTTGATGGGATCCGCGTGCAGTGACAGGACCAGGGCCTGGGAATTCGAAATAGGATCCGAGCCGTTGAACTGCATGTGGGCAATCCAATGAGGAAAACAACACCAGCAGTGAAGAATCTGCGACGGCGTTTCCCTTTAGATTTTGAATCCAATTGTACGTTTTTCTCCTCATCAAAATAAAAATTGAAAAAATTAATTTTTAAATTTTTAAATTTTTAAGTTACTTATAAACGATCTCTTAATTATAATTTACTGTAATACACGATCTCTTAATTCAGTCTTTCAATTATGACTTACCTATAACTCAATTCCTTAATTTTTGAATCACTTATAAATTAATCCTTTAACTTTTATTAATTTTTTTCATATTACCTTACATCTCACATTTATGAATAAGAGAAAGATATTTTAAAATAATATATGAGTATTTTTTATCCCTCTTATTTGATAAGAAATTTTTTTAAAAAAATAAAAAATAAGAATTGAGTTATAGGTAAATCAAATGTTGAGAGATTGAGTCGCAGTGAGTTATAGTTGAAGGACTGAGTCATAATTAGTTATATTTAAGGGATTAAGTTATAAGTGAGTTAAAAATTAAAGAATTAAAAAATTAATTTTTTCATAAAAAATTATATGTAAGTTTCACTCGGAATAATAAACAACCGAGTTTAGAAAAACAACAGCATTTATTATTTTCTAAAACTTAATTATTTATGATGTGAGAATAATTAACTATCGCGAGTGAAACCTCAAAGCAATTCTCACTGCAAACAATCAAATAAGCATTTTATTATGAAAACAAATTTAACAAGCAGGTAGAAATTATTGGATAACTTTAATGCATTACGTCATTTATAGTATATTTAATAAAATGTAATATTTAGATAATTTTAAATATAAATTAATTTTTTTAAAGAGAATATAAACTAATTTTAATATTAATCATAATAGAGAAGGAAAAGGTAAAAAATTAAATAGTCAGTTTATTATAAAAATAAATTTATTAAAAATAATTGTTAAGTTTTTTTATTATGAGTCATATGGGCTCTACTATTGAGAGAAAATTATACACTATATTTCAATGAGATAAATAATTTCTCATTAATCAACAGACCTAATATACAAAGTATTTATAGTGCTGTGCTGACTTTAAAAACAATACACAAAAAGTAAATGACATAAATACCTATAGACAAAATAAATCTATTTCCTCTATTTCTCATTTTCTACAATAATGACATATAAAATTTAATTTATATAATTTTATTGAAGAAACTATAAATAATATGATATGATGTATTAGATTTATTTAAAAAATTTCAAAAGGAAAAAGAATCATGATAATATAATATAGGAAAAATTAATCTTTTAATTCTTTAACTTTTAACTTACTTGTAACTCAATCTCTCAACTATGAGTCACGACGACTCAGTCCCTTAACTATAACTTGCTGCAATTCAATTTCTCAACTTTCGATTCACCTATAACTCGATCATTATTTTTTATTTTTTTAAAAAATTCTTATCAAATAAAAGGGATAAAACAATGCTCATATATTATTTTAAAATACTCTTCTCTTACTCATTGATGTGAGGTATAAGTTAACATGAAAAAAAATAATAAAAATTAAGAAACTAATTTATAAATAATTTAAAAATTAAGGAACTAAGTTATAAGTAATTTAAAGATTAAAGGATTAAAAAATTAATTTTTTTTAATATAAAAAGACAACTCATCGGCATTCATAGCATCGTAATATTATTTATTAAGTACGTACGCCTTTTGGCGCATCATGTGGAGTCTAATACAAATCGTACCATTCATGATATGAGGGACTTGCTGTAGGTTTTTTGTATTAATAATACAATAATTATAATTAAAATAAATTTTCTTTAATCTTTTAAATTGGTTTGCCACGTTCCCTGTTTCCCATCATAACTCAAATGCTTTGGCTCGGGAGAGTTAAAATCAATAAGATGGAATTTATTAAACTTACATTAAAACAATGTTATAAATATGATCATCATAAATACTTTAAATTACCTTTAAACTTCGGTAAAATTATAAGCAAATCTCCACAAAATTTTCGGTTTATGATTTTAGTTTGGTGGTCACACTAGTTTCCATTCCGGAACAGCTACATGGGATGTGTGTCTGTGTGTGTGTGTGTCACCAAAAAAATACCATCACATGAGAAAATAATAAAAATAAAGTTAATTTCATTTCAATCTTGTGTATAATGATTTACACACACACAAGTAATGTTCCCTTATTCAGCATTTTTTTTTGGGATCAAAAATACAATTAGGCTGCCTGGTATTATTGGGCCTGAATATCCCATTCGCTGCTTTCTTTTAACAGAGCAGCTTGTTTGTGATTTTTTTTTTTCTGGGCCAAAGCTTTGGACAACTTTGATGTCGGTTTTGTTCGGCTGCGTTTTTTTAGATATTCCACTAGTTCTTTCATTTGTTGATACATTAATATTCTGCTTATATTATTTACAGTGTGCAAGTGCTTGTTAGTTTTTTTTATAATTATTGGAGTGTTTAAAAAAAATTATCCAATTTTTAATATTTAATTAAATAACTATTTGATAATTTCTTATAACCATTAGTACGCTGGATTATTCAGGAGACATCTCATGGGGAATAGACATACGCGGAGGTATAAGTTGCAATACGAGGACACAGCAGCAGAGCAGGTTTCAGATTGTTTGAGCATGTAATCGCGATCACAGCATGTGATTTATACCTTTGATCTGCCTATCTAACATACCTGAGGGGGAGGGGGGGTGGGGGAAGAGAGATCAAATCATAGAGGAAAGAAGAAGAAAAGGAAGGCAGCATCAGCTTTATGAAAAAGTAGAATAATTGTAAGAAAGAAAAAAAAACGGAGGCTATAGAGCAAAGAATAATAGCCTGCACATGTCTCCATCAACCCTCTTACCCTAATCTAACCAGTAACTATCAATTTTACCATACAACTGATTCTGCCTTCACAGTCCAAAATACCCATCTTTGGAAGCAAAAGATTCATTCCATGTCTTCCCATCTGTTTTAAAGATGCTTACTTGTTCTTTCAAGATGAGGTTCAATGCCTCCAGGAGTTTATATCACGAGTTAGGGCATCGCGTGTGACTTTGTCACTTCAAACTTTGAGGTTTTCTTTATAAAAATGAAATTGCTTGTTTGCACTTGATTTCACCAGCTCCACATCGCCATGTTAGAGAGAGTAAATGTGAATATCCACACATCCAGATACATTCAGTACTAATTGACCACGCCTGATTTTGATTAAGGGTCAGCACATCAATGTAGTGCATGTCAGGCCACATGGCGTTTTTCATTTTTAATTGATGCCACTTTGGTTTGCCACAATTGCTCTGTTTGTCCATTCAATCCATATCATGTTCCACCTCAGATCTTAACCTCTGCAGGCCTCCTCTCTGATTGACATAAAGTCTTTCATTTGTATTCATCATTGTTCATTAAATTCCACTACCCATCCAAGCTTTTTCCCTAATGATGTGAAATTGAATTAAAACACTGCTTGGGTCCTTGCCATAGATGCTTCCGATATAGCAACATCCGAATAACAAAATTTTTCAAGATAGTAAATTTTTTTAATCTCTTAAGTTTGTATTAGTTATCAGTTTAATTATTTAAGTTTCATAATCATACACAAATAGTTTTTATAATTTTTTTATATCTACAAAGTCTTGGAGAATGAACTATGTTATTTTTTATTTATTAAAGAAGGCTTTGTAATTAACTTTGTTATGTGGATTGATATATTAATATTTTTATGGAATCCTGAAAAACATAGAGGGCCCTCGGTTTCAAAAAGTCTCCCCCACTTTGCAGGCTTTCACGTACCATCCCTACCAAATCCAGGCCGGAGGAAATAGAACAAACACCTCATGTGATTTCTGAATATATGGAAAGGCTGCCATGTAACATACTTCATATGAGAACAAAGCTCTGATTTTGCGAACAATGAATGATCCGGGAGTAGCAATTGGCTTGTTCTCTGCTTCTCAACTTAACCCACTTCACGAGTTAGTCAGTTCAACAGTTCAGAAAGTCCAGCCCGTTTGAGAATTGCCATGTTAAGAACATTTATCCTCAGCCCATTTGTAGAAATCCCATCCAAAATAGGTGTTCATTAAAACCAACCTCCAAGTTGGAAACTTTGATTCTAATTGTGGTGATGTAAAGAGAACCCGAGTAGCAGAAATGAAAAAACCAGAGCCCATATAGCACAAATATAAATCCCCTGTCGCAAGCATGCTTGACCTTCTTTTTTCGGTAACTTTTCACGGTAAATACTGAATAAAGGATACTTTAGTTTGTTTTATCAGAGCATACTACACTTACACTTCTGAACAGCTAGCTATACACTTCTGAGCGGTATCTACTAACAAGCCAACAGCATCCTTCCTTTTTCCTATCATCTAAACACGTGGAGGAGAGCAGAGGCTATAACTGTAAATTCACAGGTGGATCGTCCTTGTGATAACTGCCCCACCATGTAATAATCAAGGGCTCACAGCCAAGTTGCAGAGGAGGCACCGTACATTTTTGAGCATGATCCACTTTTTTTCATTCCCGAAAAGTCCAGCTCGAAACAGGGCTAAACCAAAAATATTGTACTTATTTGAGATCTTAAGTATATTTCGAATCCTTAATGCAAGTACCAATATATTCCAAAGCACCCCATCCCTCCAAGCCGCCTCAACCAGCATCAGCATAGAACAAATCGAACCCAATTATTTTAATGGAAGGGAATCATGTTCTGATCAATAATTTTTTGTGGTACATGAAGGGATTATTATTGAAATGACAGCAGAAAAAGAACAAGGAAGGCGCAGTCAAAATGAAATATAAATTGTTTAACGATGAAGTGAAGGCAGAAAACAGAGGATAGAACAGGGGAAGCAAGCAAGACAGACCCGTTGGAACGGTGGAAAGGGTGAGAAAGAAAAGTCTGCAAGAGAATCCCAGAACCATACGTGGTAAGGCGTAGGAACTTAGGAAGTGAGGATCCTGATAGTCAATAGATTCTTCAGTCTCTCTCTTTTTTTTAATCTCTTTGTTTCCATTTCTTCGTCAGATAGTGATCCGTACCATTCCATTTTTTCACTCATTTTTTCCCTACACTTCACACTTATCTTTCTGAGCCTACTACTCTCGGGAGCTAACTAGCTATCTAGCATAGATAGATAAACACTTATATCTTTTCCTTGTTAAACCAAAACAGAGCGGGGAAGAAAAAAGTTGAAAAAACACAGAAAAGGATGTGACTTGATCTGAGATAAATGCAGTGTTGGGTGTTATTTTGTTAGCTTGATAATCTGCATGGAACGTACAAGCCCTGGATACTCCAAACCCTATTATTGGTCCTCTTCAGAGGGTTAGAATTAGAGAGAGGAGGGGGGGAGAGAGAAGGGTGTGTCAGGGTTAAGGATAAATCTGCAGCCATATTCTCAGTCATTGCTTCTTCTGCAGCTATTGGTGGTTTCTTATTGTTGATGGAGAGGAAGAAAAAGATCAATCTTAGGCTTATAATTATAAACAAAGTCCATCTTTCTTTCAGTTTCTCTTTCTCCTCTGTCGTCTTCATCTTCTTATGCTGCATAGTACTCCTCAGCACTACATGTCTAGGTATGCAATCCTCAGTTTCTCACCCATTTTCACGATCTTTTAGGTCTCATACACCTTCAGCTAACTCTGACTGCGCCTCTGTTCATTCTGTAATGCAGACACAAGCAGGTTTAGTCCCTCTGTTGCCAAAGCTGATGGAGATTTTCAGGTCGGTTGTTCTGTTTCTTATTATTATAAACTTGTGCTTGATTACATACATGCCATGTTCTAATTTCTGGGGAATTAGCTCTATTTTTTTTTTTAAGCCAATCTAGGGCTTTAGCTCTAACTATCATGATTCATGAAATTATACCGGGAGAAAGAAACAAAGTTTTTGAGGGTGTAATGCTTATCAGGCACCAATAATTGAATTAAAACTTCGAATTTAAGATACACTGACATTTGAAGGGCAAAGAAATTGACATTTGGTCCTGAATAGTGACAAGGCATTTGGGGGTGTTTCCCCCCACTTTTGGGGTGGGTGTGTGCAACCAGAATAATCTAATAGGTACTTTTTTTATATAGTTTTTATATAGTATCTTTTATTTTAATTTTATACAGCATATGAATATAGTAATTCCATGTGGAAAGGTGTAGTTTTATATTAGTGAGGGTGAGAACGGAGATGAAATTTAAGAACACAGAGACTCGAATGGGCACGATCAATAGTAACTGTATACATGCAGCTCTGGCGTTAGCAAATCTCAAAACCTCGTTCTGATAAACATGCAGTAATCTTGAACAAAAGTTTCTATAATTTATTATTATTAGTCTTGTTATTGTTGTTTATCAGACACAATCACATCAACAGTATATGGATTCCACGAGTTTTCGTGTCTTTTATAATATAATTATGTCACTAACACTAACATTTAAAAAAGCTGTAAATTTTGAATTTGAATTTAATGTAATTATTTTTACTTTTAGAAAAAATATAAATTATTATTATTTTTATTAAAAAATATAAGGTATTTTTTAATAAGTTGAATGTTAAAATATATAAGACATTTTTAATCTTTTAAAATATAATAATTTTTTTTTCAAAAACACTTCTATTAATGATGATTTTGTATTTATTATATGATATTTAATAGAGATAAATATGAAAAGATATAATTAGTATAAAAATAGATAATTAATTTATTAAAGGGTGAGATTTAATTAAAAATATTTATATTTTTAAATAGAAAGAATATTTATTTTAAATATTTAAAAAACCTTAAATTGGAACGATGAATAAATGAAGTTATTAGAATATTAAAAGATAATTTGGGGCTTTGGGCGCGGGAGGGTAGAAGGCAGGGGAAGGGAGAGAGGAGATACAAGGAGAAACAAGAAGTCAGATACGGATAAAAGAAGCCAAATTAGGTGCAGAGTCCAGAGAGCAGGTACAGCAGCAAGGTGAGCCGTCGGATGGTAACTGCATCGTTGGATTAGGTGTCACACGTGGGCATTGGTCCCATGTGATGTGCCTCCCTTACACTTACACTTCCGGCGCACGTTAGAGTCACCCACATCATTTCTGTTTTTGTCGTTTTCCTCACCTCCCCTGTCTCGGTAAATTGCGCCGTGCGCTCTCGTGCCGTGCTCAGCGCCTTTCCCGCACACCTCTCTTTCATTAACAATTAACAAATTTTTAAATGCTTTGACTTTTTCTAAACAATAAACGCATCATACCACGTATTTTATGCAATGATGTAAAAATCAGGCCGGACCAGACAGTCCGATCGTCACCTGCTGAACAAAACAGTCTGGTTCAATCAATTGAACCAATTTGACCTTTTGACTCGGATTGAATCAGTCGGTTTTAAAGAACCGGCGTTGACCCGGAAATCGGACCCGGGTCAACCCAGTTCAAAGCCAAAAAAATTAAAAAAAAAAAAAATTTAGGCTGAGTTGTTTAGATTCACAATTTCTCTTCTCTAATCACTAATTCTCTCTTTTCTTTCTTCTCTAATCTCTAATCTCTCCTTCATGGCTCAAATTCAATCTCTAACTTCTTCTTCAACATCTGCCTCCAACTCTAAAGATTTAACCTTTAGCATCAAGATCGAAAGCTTATTAGTCATGATATAACGGCATGCTTCCAGCTCCAACATTTTCCTTTGAGATCACAAGCTTGTAATAACATATCTCTACCTCTAGCTTCAACAATCTAAGCATCTAGCTTTTGAGGTCGAAATCCCAAACACCATTGACAAATTAATGTTTTATTTATATAATTGCGCATATAAATTTTATTTTTTATTTAATTTTTATGTCATCGGTTCGACCGTCGGTCTAACCGGTTGGATCATAAAAACCATGACCCGTTGCTCTTTCCGGTTCGATGTCCGGTCCGGGTTTCAAAACATTGATTTTATGCGTTTACTCCCTCCATATCAAAATATAAAATATTATTAATTAATTTATGATTTATAAAAAATATTAGTTAAAGTTTTAATTTTTTAAAAAATTTCTATCTTTTTAATTATTCTCTCATCAAATATTTCATATAAGTGCTTTGATAATTACAATTTAAATTTTAATATAACATTTAAAAAATGAGAGGAATAAATGATGTGAAAGTAAAATTAAAAAATAATTATAAAAGTTATCCAATACTCTTTATTTTGAATCAATTAAAGCTTTTAAAAGATACATTATATTGTGATTTGAAAAGAGTATAAGATCTGTTTTATTAGTTTAAATTTGGATATGCCAATATTGATATATTAATATACTTATTACTTGAGTTGATGTATATTCGTTTTTAATGAACTTTGTTAATAAATCTGCCATTTGATGTAGAAATTGTTCGTGACTAGACATTTTCTGGTGTCAAAACAATTTTAATATGATTTTATTTTCATTCATAGAGTTGAGTTTTAGACCTTGTTTAAAGAATGTTAGATTTTTCACAGCTCAATTCAACCATTTACGTTTACAATTCAAAGGATATAAACGAACAAGAGAAATGAAATTGGATCCCAAGAAAATGTAACGACTGAGAAGTTACTACCCTACGAGTCTAGGGAAATAATGTCGGATAGAAAAAGTGGTGACCAATTAATGTAAACTCAGGGATGTGTTTGGTGCGTTATAGGAAATTAGAAAGATAAGCTAGCTGTATTTTTTAAACACCCTAAGTAGTTAAATTTGTAAGAAAATTGTTATTATCAAATTTATACTATATTTATATCGGAAGAAAACTTTGAGATGCAAGGTTGAATATGCTTTACCGCCAGCTTCTGATATGGATGATTTTAACGTGTTGTTTGATTAATATTTAATTAAATCATGAGATTGAAAATAACAATGATATTGGTATAACGATTGAAAGTAAACTTTGGTGTGAGTGAAAGCAGAAATGTGTGGAGAGAGATGGAGAAAGCGGGGCAGAGGAAGGAGACATCGGTTGGGGAAGGAGGATTCTGGGTGGGCCCGGGTCAGCGCCACCGCGATGTGCGTCAAAATGTGGGAGTTGCACGCCGTGCAGGCCGGTGCACGTGACGGTGCCTCCGGGGACGCCGGTGACGGCGGAGTATTACCCAGAAGCGTGGAGGTGCAAGTGCGGGAATAAGCTGTACATGCCACCTGAACTCATATTTTGTGGACAACGTCTCGTATTTATTTTTGGGGTGGCATTTAACTACGAATTACTATTGTAAAAAATGAGGAGGAGGTGGGAACTGGGAACATATATAATGAATTATCAATGATGCCTGATAAATACTGAGCAAAATTAGGAGTGAAATTTACGAAGCAACAGAGATGTCTATAGTGGTTGGAAATTTGGGATTGAGCTTCTTGCCTCTGTTTCAGTTGCTCTATAGGTTGTGAAGAAATGGTGTGATTCAGAAAGCCTTGCTGAAAACAAGTGTTCAGGTTTCAACCGCCTAAGTCCGCCACCTTTTTTTTTTTGGACATAAATCAGCAACTTCAAACGACAGAAAACATTTGATCTCTTTATTAGGAAAAAAATGACAGAAAACACAATTATATATATACTCTCTTCTTTTCTATATATAATAAAAAAGACATGTATCACACAGTTTAATAAAATTAGTTAATTATAATAATTATATTTAAAAATAAAAAAATTAAATTAAAATGTCCTATATTAATTAATATAAGCATGTGTTAATTATTTTTATTAAAAGAGTGATTTAAAAAATATATAATAAATATTTATTAAAATATATAATTTTACTTATATAAAAAAAATAAAAAGTGATTTTTTTTTTGTACAAATAAAAACAGAGTAGTGTATATATATATTGAATGATATGTTTGTGTTTTGTAGGGTCGGAGGGTCCTCATGCTTAATTTTATTTTATTTAAATACTGTGGCAAGGAAGAGTATTTAAATATTTTTTGCTGGGATCCAGCGATATTTTAATAATATTTTTACGATAAAAAAACAGCTTCGAGTGCCTTCCGCCGGATTAGAGCCCTTGTATGCTTTTACTCGTAACTTGGATTACTATTTTAAAATAGATGGAACTAGGTCCCCAAAAGGTATTTTAAACATTGTTTTGGCTCAAAATGATCTCACAGTATAAAATTTCTCACTTGCTCAAGCATAATTTGTGAGATAACAAGTAGAATTTTTCCCCCCCTAGAGAATGAAGAAAAAACTTCAAATTTTATAAATTGGATGTCTATCGTTCAGGCAGAGTGATTACCTAGTTACCTTATCCCCTTTTCCCCCCCCCCCCCACTAAAAAAAAAAAAAAAATCAATTTCATATTCGTGCAAGGCTTTACATTAACGGTGACAATTCACTGGCAATAAAAGTAGAACTATGGATCCGACCAACACACAAAAATGAAAAAGTAACTCTTGCAATGGGCTGGCCCGGATTTCTTATTTTGAATTCATCCAAGGCTGTCTATTGTAGTTCAACCAGCGCGGATTAGTTATTACACGAGCAAGCACGCCCAATTTGTCATGATTCGCAACTTCTGTAGTCAAGACACTTTGATTGTAATCATCACAACTCTTAAAACCTGCACTTACTTCATGCGTCAGCGTCATGAAATATAAATTTTATAATAAGTTATATTATTTAATGCAAAATACAATCCATTTTTAGGACACCGTATAACATGCATGATTCACTTTATTCAACACATACCACTGGAACTGGCCCAAAAAAAAAAACACATTCTAACAATTTAAAAAATTTGGAAATTATAAGCATATACGTCTACTATTAATTGAGGGTAAATTGAAAACATTATGTTTTGCTGATAATTAAGTCAGTATTCAAATTTTACATTTGAGACCCAAAGTTATCTTCAAAAAAGTAGAATTGCAGACTCACGCAATGTATAGATTTTACTTTAGAAGTTAGAACGATGATATAACAGTATTGTCCTATAAAAAGAACTCCACTAAATTGAGTTTAACTCCGAAAAACAGCCAGAGGAATTAGTTATTTAAATAATCAAATAAAAATACCAAACTACGTAATCCAAAACAAATCAGTCACATACCAATCTGTATATCGACCAAGTCGCTGCCTAACATTATATTAATTCAAGAGAAGTTAAACAAAAATTAATACATGGAAGATCGGTAATTCACGTGCACGTTTCTGCTTGGAATGCATCGTTGTGAATGGGTAGCTGTAGTCAAGAAAGCATTTCTATCATAACTAACGTCTGGTGAATGCAACATGTCTGGGCTGACGCCGTGACGTGCGTGTACGTGGACCTGACCGCAGGCTAGGTTCGGCTACGTGTCGTTTTGTAGTTCTGCCTGAATCAGTGACCTGGTTTCCGGGAAGGTCCTTGGCCTGCAGCTCGCACGCCGGAAGACAAACCACTTGTTGCTTTGGAGATCTGATTTTTGGCACTAATGTCGTTTGCCCAAGTCACGCGGCGCCATTGTATGCGGCCAATTCGGCCACACGTTGCTTCAAACCAATTTAAAAATAGGGACAATTTCAATAAAATACCCTTGAACATATTTTATTCCATTCAAAGCCCCTACATTTTAAACAAGTGAAGCATGGTAATTAATGATAATCCATAACTAAATAAATAACATGTAGTATAAGAATCAATAAATTATTTGAGATAATTTAAACGCTTAAAATAAAAACAAGTAAAGTAAGGTAATTTAATAATATTTGATAAATAAATAAACTAGTAAAATAAGACAATTAACAAGTGAAGTAAGGAAGACATGATATTAATTTAAATGAAGGGCATTTTTTTATTTTCCTAAAAATTTTAATATCAAATTAATAATCTGGATTACAGTGAAATTTTATAAATTTAAAAGTTTTGAATGTAATTAAGTATAATTAAGAGTCTTTTATTGAAACTCTTCCTAAAAAATAAAAATAAAAGTCCTATGATGTCCAGCGAGTACGTGCCTCGAACCTCACTCCGTTTGCTTTGGGGGGAAAAAAATGAAGTGAATTGGATTTGAAAGTTTATCATGGCCAAAGCATATATTCATGTTCAAAGAACACTTGGACATTCAGGCAATTTAGCGCATGAAAAATAAAATTTAGAGCAGCATATACTCCTCTAGTTTCATTTATAAGGTAAAGAGAAAAAAAAAATTAATCTTATTTATAAACACTTGCTAGTTTTCAATACTCCTCTTTATATTTTTATCTTTATTAAATGCTTTGAATAAAAATATCAGTAATAAAATTTAAAAATATTTATTAAGGGTAAAGGTGAAAGCGTACTAAATTTTAAGATAAAATCAATGAGGTTTAAGATTTTTCTTGATTCTAGTAAAATATGTTAGAAGTGACTTATAAATAAGATTTGAAGGAGTATTTAAAAGTTATGCAAAATGTTATTCTACGGTCAAACTTATATTAAATGTATGATAGGATTATGATGCCAAGAAAATTGATAGATGAAAGAAAATTAATCATGTAATGTTAAACGATAACGAAAATATTTTATATTTATTTATGTTATTAATATTAATCAACAATGAAAATAGTCCCCCACCGTGCATTTATGATGAAAAAATGATAATGACACAAATGGGTTAAAACTTAAGAGAAGGTCGACCGAAGGCACATCATCAGAAGTCTCCGAGCAGAAGGCACACCAGTAGGTTTTGTGAGGAGAAATTAGTGCGAATGAAATTATGATGGCAGTGCCTTAATCGAACTTATTATTCGATACAATCAATGTGGCTGGTCGTGCGTCCAATCTACAACTGCATCAACCTTCTCGATCCGTTATATGTTACTATCTTTAGTTATTGTTTCTGCTCTATGTGCCCTGTGGTTTGAAATATTTGAATTGTTGAAGTAGACAAATATGGTTGGGGTGTTTGATTAGCTTTTTAATGCTTGCACACGCATATGGCTATGGACTCGAGGTATTTGAGCTTCAAGTGTACGTCTCTCTGCTCTTCGCCATTCTTCTCACTGACGCTTTTTTTTTTTTTTTTTTGGGGCAAAGACTTCACACTGACGCTTTATGCCCGCCTCACATTATCCTTGTGTTATCTTGCGATGACAGAGTTTTAAAATACTAACTTTAAATTTTAACTTCGAATGCCAATACATGTATATCCCCATGTTCCCACTGCATGACACTTTCTAAAAGAGATTATTTGATTTTTAATATAAAGTATATGAAAGGTTATTTATTATCATATTCTAATTTTATTTTTATTGTAAATTTAATTTTGTGGCTCATTTTATATCATGTTTCTCTTTTATCCTTTTTTTTTTTTTTTGGCCTTTCAAGGTATCTCCATGGCCAGTAGATATGAGATTAATCTTTCAGACAATCTAAACATAATTTAAGAGGTTACCTTTTCCCAAACAACTCTATTTATATTTGCGGCTAATTTCTTTGTCGTTAATAAGAAGTCCATTTTACTTTTCCTAACGTTTAGTATAGTGAAGCAACAGATCTTGTCAGTTAAGGATGGAATTTTCCTTAAATCTCTCTGCAAGAATTATGTTTATTTATTTCAAATTCAATTAATTCCAATTTTTTTTCTAAATCTCTACTCAATTTTATCTCCTCTTGATTGATTGTATTTTTAATTGTTTCTCAATTACCGATTTCACGTTCAAGTAATGAAAAAGAATCAATTCGAACAATTCATATATTTTGATTTAACCAAGATTCAGTTACAAAGCACGTGACGCTTGCTCTTCATCAAAACACGCATACTCAAGTATAGAAACAATGTTATAGGTTTAGAATAGGGCATCCCCTTGTTAAATCTTCTTTAAATTCTCCAAAAATCTTCTAGTCCTTTTAAAGCCAACGACTTCGCTTTTTAATATTTCACTGCTTATCTTCCTGCTTTGACCAAGCCAACCTTGATCTTGGATTTGAAAATTTACAAAGTCTTCACCCAAATATAATGGCTCATTTTTGTTGTCGTTGTCGTTGTTGTGGAATTACAACTCGAACGAATCTACATCTTTTTTTTTTTTTTGTGTTGTGATATATACTTTGTTTGAATAGCAACAATTCTACAATTACTTAATACTATAATCACTTAATGCTCTCTCATCCTATCTTTAATAGGGGTAAAGTTAATTTTTTTTAAGACATATAATGAGTTGGCTATTATTCATTGGTTATTGTTAAGCAAAAGAGCCTTATAATAAAAACTAAATGGAATACACACACATGTGTGCGTGGTGCTCTCACGTGTGTGTTGATGCTCTAGTAAGCAATGTTTGAATCTTTTAAATTAAAATTGGATTGTTGTATTTTTAATTTTATAGGGAGAGTTAATGACACAACAGTATTGAAATTAAGGATCAAGTCAATAACCGTTAAATTTGTGATTACTTTTTTAAAAATAAATTATATATAAATATTGATTGTTGTGATTTGCAAATAGAAATCTCATTTGTAAATTGAGGGTTGCATTTATAACTTAAATGTCTTGTTTATACTGGTAATTCTTGAATCTGTAATTATTTAAATCAATGTTTGTAACTTATTTTTGAGATAATTTTATAGAAGATGCTTGAACTGTTATTAATTATATCTTCAGGGACTCATTATTCCCCCAAATTTATAGTATCTATCAGACCTGGTTTATGACCACTCAGTGCTATAGCATGAGATGAGTTGGAGTGGAGAGGGGTTCAGAATTAAGCCTCCGCAAATTAATGTCTTGACTTAATTTGCTATAAATTTATTTTACTTCAATTCATATGTTTTGTTGATATTGATCACACTTTCTGCTCCAACTCATTCCTAGCTGCACAACCCACGTATCGAGATACACCCACCCGCAACATATAATTTGACTTTCTCATAAAAACAAGTGGATTTTTTCTGCCTTTTTTTTTTAATTTTAATTGACACTAATGGCAAGCGTTCCTAAGCAGACCTTATCGTCAAACTTAAATAACTAATTAATAATCGTGTTCATTTTGGTCCCCAGCGTCATTTTCACCAGCTTCATCGCCACATGCATAGCTTGCCAGGCCAATTCATCATTAAGGAATTAAATTTAAATCTAGGCGCCTTATCGTTTTAAATTTAAATTAATCGGTCCAATTAATTTAGGCTCTATATTTTCCTATAAACACGTCGTTGAAATTATTAAAAATTATTTGATTGAAATTGTTTCATTTATTTTAATTTTTAATTAATATATAAAAACAACACAATTTGCCAAACTGTATATTAGATTAATTACACTTTTAAACAAATAAAAAAGTGTGGATTGTGGAACCTATTTATAGGCCTTGTAACGAAGGCCGGGCCAAAAAAATTCAATTCGTCCTATATTGCCCGGCCTATTACCGACATTTTAAACTATGAGTGTAATCCTACCTCTTTTAGGATGTGGATGATATATATATATATATATATATATATATTCAAGCAAAAAAAAGTGGGGGAAATAATAATTGATTTCAAATTTGCGTAAGAGACATGCATGCATGGAAAGGGACGCAGTGGAATGTTCAGATGTTTAGAGTTCTATTCACAAATTTGGTTTTTGAATATATTCTCTCAGATATATACGTTGAAGAAATTATCATGCCACACTATTAAATTATTAACTACGATTATTATTAATTTAAAGTGCTAGCAAATGGCAATTATCATATTAAATTGATAATTATATTTCAGCACTGCAATTGGTTTTTTATTTCGAAACTGGTGGCTTTCATTTTCAGCAAATGTAACGGGTGCTGCCATTTCTCATCTACTCCTACAGAAAATTAAATATAGGTTTATACACACACACAGGAATTAATTACTGCCCATAAATTGAATATATTCAAAGTATTTTAAAGAATATACATAAATCCTACCGAACTACACTATAAATTTCTTTGAAAAATATATACCTCGCCATCTTAAAAGTGAAAACCTTCTTCGTTCTCCTCATTTCATTTCATAAGGAATTCAGAATTCTTGATACCCATTTGGGTGATGGAACAAGAGCGGAATTTTTGGGCAGAGAATCACATACTGAGAAGAGGGCCATGCATAGCTGAAAGTGAGAACAAGGACGAAAGTACTGCTAGTCAGGTTATCATTTCATCCAAAGCATCTGATGATTTTTGCAATCACCCCGAGTTATTTAAGAAGTTGTTAGAGATGGGTGTGCCTCTTTATGATTCTGTCGACGCAAAACTGGCATGGCTTCGATCTCAGATCATTGGTGACGACGCAGAGTTTGATTCTCCTTCTGGAAGACGACGACTTCTCTATGCTGATCATACTGCTTCAGGTCGTAGCCTTCACCACAGTGAACACTTCATCCTCCATCATCTCCTTCCCTTTTATGGTACGTATGCAGATTTATGACATCACTTTTTTAATTGTGCACTGTTTGCGTTAATTGTTAACCATTTTTCAATATTGATTGCCTTGTTTGAGTTTCATTTTTCTTAGTACATGAAGAGTCTGCATATGTTATTACCTTTTTCAAAAAAAATTCATTTTCTGAGTTACAGCAAACCTTCCCTATTTGTGAAATTAGTAACCGCGTTGGAGCTGCATGGAGTCTGCATGGTTTCAGGAGGATATCGTAGTTTTTGTTGTTGTTGAATTTATATTAGTTGTATTGCCTCTCAAAAGATCTGTAAGCACGTTTTGCTTCCGTACATAGGCAATACTCACACATGCGATAGCTATGTCGGAAGTCAGACGACAAAAATGGTGCACGAAGCAACCGATTACATCAAGAAATGCTTAAGCGGTGGACCAGACGATGCACTCATATTTTGTGGCTCGGGTGCTACGGCTGCCATTAAAAGGCTCCAAGAAGTAATGGCCATTGCTGTACCTTCGATCCTAAGGGACAGAGTTCTGAAAATGTTGAGCCCACGAGAAAGATGGATCGTCTTCGTTGGACCTCACGAGCACCATTCCAACCTCCTCTCATGGCGACAATGCTTGGCCGAAGTAATAGAGATTGGCCTAGACGACGAGGGCTTGCTAGATTTGCACTCTCTAAAGCTTAAACTTGAAGAGTATAAAAATACCAGCCGACCAATATTGGGATCTTTCTCATCTTGTAGCAACGTCACTGGAATCTACTCGGACACGCGAGCAATTGCTCGGCTTCTTCACCAGTACAATGGCTTCGCATGCTTCGATTTCGCGGCAAGGTATTTGAAATTCTGGGTTTTTCTGTTTGTGTGTACGTTGAAAAGTTGAAAAAAGTGAAGTGATAGATTTTGGCTTCATATATAGTGGTCCATACGCGAAAATTGAAATGAGATCCGGAGAGAGTGATGGATATGATGCTGTGTTCGTGAGTCCACATAAGTTTCTGGGAGGTCCTGGTTCTCCTGGTGTGCTCTTGATGAGCAAGGCCCTTTATAGGTTGGGATCTTCACCGCCGTCGACTTGCGGAGGTGGAACTGTGAGCTATGTCAATGGCTTCAACGAAAAGGTAAAATCGCAAAAAAATTTATATAGAAGTAGGTGCATGATTTATGCATATGAGAGAATCAACCCCAGGAGATCCGAAACTCGAGTTATCTTTTGCCTATCATTTTACGTTAGCTTTGATACCGTGTTATTACTCAGCAAAAAATTATGAGAAGTCTTATTACTTTGTAAAAAAATTACATGTTGTTGTTTACTCCCAACGTGGTATAGACTTTTTTTAACTGGCGCAACCACTTGGGATCATTAACCCAGTCCTGAGGACAACTGGTTACAACTCGTTAGTGTTTCTCCAACCCGGATATATTTCTCAAGCTTTGTAAACTCACAGATGACTGATTCAGTTGATAAAGATTTAACCATAATTTATAAGGTAATAAGTTCAAATTCTGTTGTAATTATGAAATGACGTTATTAATGTATGACTGTAACTATGCAAGAAGTATATGTGCGTTGATTGCACAAAAAAGTAGGGCCTCATATATTATAGTTCTTGTAGTCTAAGCAAAATTATTCTCTTTATCCTTTTATTTTTGCCTCTTGAATTCTCGTCAGGATACATTATATTTGGAGAGTATAGAGGAAAGGGAAAATGGAGGCACTCCTCAAATAATCCAGACGGTGAGAGCCTCATTGGCGTTTTGGTTCAAAGAATACATCGGCTACGAAGCGATTGAAACACGTGAACAATCGTACATAAACAGGGCACTAGAGAGGCTTCTTCCAAATCCTAATATTCGAGTTCTGGGAAACTTGAGCGCCAAGAGGCAAGCCATTTTGTCATTTCTGATCTATACGACCACCAATTCTTCATCGCTAGGTGGTAAAAATGAAGGGAGAGATGATGATATCAAGAAGGAAAAGGAAGGGCAACTTAATCTGTGGGCAGAGAGTGTGAACAAAAGAGGTAAGCCTCTTACAGGTCCTTTTGTTGCAACTCTTCTGAATGACTTGTTTGGCATCCAAGCTCGAGGTGGGTGTGCTTGTGCTGGACCCTACGGCCACGAATTGCTCAACATCAACAAAAGTCAATCTCTTGCTATTAGATCCGCAGTTGAAGAGGTAAAAGGCATCACTCTTTCAGCTAAAAATTTGGAACTTCATGATGCAAATTTGAATGCCATGAACAGGGGTATGTTGGAGTGAAACCTGGATGGACCAGAATCAGTTTTCCTTATTACATGAGCGAAGAGGATTTTGAGTTCATACTAACAGCCGTGGAGTTTATAGCAGACTATGGCCAGCGATTCCTTCCCTTGTACAGCTTCAATTTGAGAAATGGAAACTGGAAACTGAAAACACAGGAACTTGGGAAAGAAGACGATGGCAACTTTTTGATTCATTTGTTGGAGAAAGAAGGGAAAGCGAGAAGGAATGCATCATACATAGAAGCAGCTATGTGCATGGCTAATCGGCTCCCAAAGTTCCCGGCTCCGAGTATTCTACCGGGGAACATAGACCCCAGTGTCCTTCATTTCAGAGCTTAATTCTTGAATACATATTCTGTAGTTCGTGCTCAATGACAATGGGCATCAGGAAAAACAAGTAGTAGTTAAATTTTTTAACTATCTCATTAATAACTTTCACTGATATTAGGCATTATATCTGATCATGCTTTGAATATTATTATTTGTAATGGAAAAACACACGTAAACAATAAAGAAAACAATAATTAAACTTTCAAAAAGCCAAACGCTAAAACCAAACATGCCCTCAGAATATAAGCGTAATCAATAATTGAGTTTAAATATTGGCCAAAGAGACAAGCATGCATGGATGGAAGAAGAAACCGGGCCAGAAATTTTGATTAGGGATTGAGATGACAAAATATATATGTGTGTGTGTGTGTGTGATGATTGAAAAAAGTTTATATATATATATATATATATCATTAACGTAATATAAATATTATGATATAAATATTCATATTCAATTTTACAAATAAATAATAAAAATAAATATATACTTTCATTTTTTAAAATTTTATGTTTGATTTTTATGGCATGACAATCATCAATTATCGTGTTCATTATAAATTTTTTAACAATTTTATTCTTAATCTAAATTATCATTAAATTGATAAAACATTCATCTTTTTTTAACATTAAATAATTTAAATGCATCCTTATGATATAGAGTTGTGTTCAATCTAATAAGCCACCTTACTTATTCATTGAATTTATTATTTAATTATTTTAATTGATAATCAATGACAATAATAAATATATCAACACATTAATGATGCATTATCATTATAAAATCTTTATGTTTATGAGACCAAATTATACAGAAGTACAAACTATTCATGTCATAAATTTTAATAACTTCGTTATCACAAAAGAGAAGTAAATTTTTTTACCAAAAAAAACACCATAGCCACAATCTCTTAGCTGTTGAATAAGTAATTTTATGATAAATATGAAGCGCCTAGCATTCAATATATGTTGGGATTTTGTTTTAGTAATCTCATAATTTTTTTATTAAATATAAAATGAAAGTTAAATTAAATGATATTAATTCTTGTAAAGCATATATATAGTATCATCTCATTGGAAATGATAACTATACATTTATAAAATATTATATATAGATTTAAATTATAATTTCATGTAGTGTCTCTTTATATTTGAAGCATGTTAACTTAAAGGATCGAAAATATACCATCATTATGTCTTGTTAACAAAAAATTGAAAAATGAGGGGACCGGGTCTCCGCCACTGGATGGAAGGGGACTCGATGGGACGTTTAGGTGGTGTCGAGTGCTATTTCACAAATTTGGTTTTTGAGCATATTCTTTCATATTCTAACAAAACATTGAAGAATTGAATGATAATCCGGTCTATTATGACGTGTCCTATCGGTATAATTAAGCACTACAAGTATTTTTTTTTTTTTCCAAATTAGCGGCTTTCATTTTCATCATCTTTATGTAATGGGGGCGATGCTGCCATCATCTCTACGACCGTATAGGTTTATATATTAATTTAAATTAATCTGGCCGACAGTGATGAATGTAAATCACTAAATGCATTTATTCGTTGCATTATTTAGTTGTGGCTCCTTTATTCTTGCCAGTCAATTTGTACTATTGATGCATATAATTTTGCTTCATATATGTTGGATCATCCATGCTTTCAGTTTCATGCCATAGTGAGTTAGGGTTTATAAGCTAAGATTGATTGCCAAGCACCTTTGTTTGATTTCATATCATGCCAGGACATGAGTGGAAATGTACACTCACTGTTACATTTAATATTATAAAATAATTTTAATTGAATCATATTTTTAATGAATTAGTCACTTTTTCATATTTATTTCTCTTTATCAATTACACTCTTGATTATGAACGTTTTTATAGAATTTCATTAAGTGCACCTTGAAAGTTGTAAAATATTTTGTTAATTTTTTAGAATTTTATCTAAAAGAATATCTTATATTTTTAAAGAAGAAGGCATTTATATATGAGAAAAATGTTGGGAACAAAGGAATGTCGGGCGTTATAGCGTAATAAAATGTGATGATAGATGTTTTCTGGCATTACATACATGCTCTTGCGGTTGAGTTTTTCGTTGCAAGACAAACTGGAAACAGCTTGAAAATTGAGACATTAAATATTGATTCCCTTTTGTGATCAGAATTATCTAGGACCAACTTGATCTTAAAAAATCGGCCCATCTAAACAAACTATTTCTATTATTTCTATTATGTTCAATTATCCCTTTTGGTTTCATTTTGATCAGTTTGGCCTTAATCCTCAGAGTTTTTGCTTTATATTTTTTTTTCATTTTTCATTTAAAAATCCAAAATTATATAGTTAAAATTTTAAAAAAGTTATTACATATAATATTAAGTCTAAAAAAGCAAATTTAAATCAATACACACAACAAAAAATCTTAGTCTAATAAAAAAAATAACATTATAAAATCAGCACCGATAACAATTAAATCTTATTAGCATTATCAATCAAATCTTGATAATTTTTATCATCATCAATATCAATATAAATTCATTCTTTTTCTTGTGGAGACTCATTAGTAGAAAAAATGTCAAGTTTTTTATATATTCTTTCTTCATCCTCATGAAAATGAGGCTAATGTTTTGGAATTAGTAAAATATTTAATTTTTTTAATATTAAAATTTTTTAAAAATAAAAAAATTTAAAAGAGTCAATTCTTTTATTTAGTGGCTTAAAAGGGCTCCGATTTGCCATCCTAAATTAGTAACTCGACCTTGAATTATTTTGAATTACCGCCCTAGTTGATGACTTTATCTATGGCGAGAATGTATGAATGACTGAATCCTCCCTCTTTGCGCATGCTACAGTTAAAGACGACAAGAAAAATTATTTTTACATTTTTAATAAAAGTATTAAATAATTACCGGAGTCAAAATAAACATGGCAAAAGACTAGAGGGAGAGGGCAAGGAAATCCTCTCGTTAAAACGTAGCAAAATTAGACGTTAATTGGATGTAAATTAATTACCTGCTTTATAACAACACGATTCAAGATAATTCAAGCATGATGGAATATTCCATAGAAATGAATCACACAATTCTTTTTTAAGAAATTACTCCAAAATCCTAAGCAATAACTCAGATAATTCAAATAAAAAAATTTCATTAAATCACAATTATTCTCAAATATCACGTCCTTTTATTAGAGTTGTGAATTATTGCTTAATCGTTGATAAACAGTGCTGTTTAGCTGTCAATTGATTTTTTTTTATGTGATGATATACTTTTGTATGTTTATATTTCTTGTGGACCTATGAATGATTTTCTCATTCTTTTGAACTAATGAATATCTTCTCTCGTCTTTGTATATGTTTGTAGAGCCGAGGATTCAGATAGGTCGAGTTTATTTAAGTCTGGCCCAATTTTTAAAAAAACTCAAATAGCTAAACCCGACTTGAATACTTAAATTTTATTTTTAAAATCATTTGTAATTAATTTTTTTAATTTGAAATTAATTATTTTATTTTATAAAAAATATAATTTTGTTGATACTTAAACGATGGATAGAACTCAAATATATGATATTTTAGTATAGAATGACCTAAAATTTTAAAAATTAATTAATATTTATTATACTTTATAAAAATAAATTTTTTTATTTGGGTATTTAAGTCAAGCCTGAATTCTATCGAAATTTCAAACCTTGAATAGGCCTGAATATAAAAAAATTATATTTTTTGTAAGTCTAGCCTTAAATTTTTTTTTTAAGCGGGTTCAAGTTAGCTCATCAAGTTTTGCCCAAATTATTAACTCTATATGTGTGTGTGTGGGTGGTGTTTTCTAAAGACTTAATTTGTTATCAAATACAATGGGTGTTGATATTTTTTAGAAATTAAATAATTTTTTCTTATTTTGAAAAAAAGAGATATTAATTATATGATTTACCTATCATTGTCATGATAATAATTATAAAATTATTGGGAACTAAATTGAAAAATTATTTTGATTTTATATAATTTTACCATAAATTTTTACACAGATCAATGTGTCACGTTATTCATAATTTATTCAATAAAAATATGACATTCAAATGACATTAAATATAAATTAATTTTAATATTAATAATGGTTGAGATAAAAAGAGAATGTAAAAAATAAATACACATTTTATTAAAAAAATAAAAACAATTGAAATGATGTCACATGAAATTTTATTTAAATAACTCAAAATATTTTAATTGGATTAGATTATAAAAGATATGATAGACTCAATCTATTTAAAAAATTACCTTCATTTCACTCTCATGGTCTGACTTTTCCTTTGACACATGGCTCCTTTCTCCATCTCATGTTCCTGAATGAATAAATCATACAATTTTGCTAATTTTACGTTTAAAAAAAAATTGTACAGAACAGTAACTGAAGTAATCGGAGAATACTCCTAGTTGCAAGTGCAAATCAGCATAGCTGCCTCTTTTTTGGGAAGAATTTCAGCAGAGGAACACCGAAATTTCAGTTCAGTCAAAAAAAATTCAAATGAAATTAATTTAAATGATGAAAAGACAAGCTTCTATTTAAACATTAAAAAAAAATAACAGTCAAGTTTATATGTAATATTGAAAAGTTAATAATTAAAGTTAAAAAATTAACAATTAAAATTACTTCATAAATTTAAATAAACTGAATGAACAAGTCCTCTCATTTTTCAAGCATTAACAAGTTAAGTAAAATAATTTATAAATAATGTTAAAAAATTAATAAATAAAGGTGCAATATTAACAATTGATATTATTTCACAAGTTCAGATAAATTGATTAAATAAATAAAAAATTATAAAGTCAAGTAAAATAATTTATATGTGATGCTGAAAAATTAACAAATAAATTTAAAAAATTAATAATTGAGGTTGCTTTTTAAGTTTAAATAAATTGATGGAACAAGTAGTTTATAAAGTAACTTTAATTGTTAATTTTTTAATTTTAATTATTAATTTCTTAAGATTACACATAATATATGACTGCTATTTTTTAAATGTCTAAACAAAGATTATTTTGATCCTTTTATCATATTTTCTTAAATTGAATTAAAATTTTATATTTTAATAAGTTTTTTTTTATTATCATGTCACAACTTCAGTCATTTTTTATTCTTACTCGTATAGTTGTGTACATGCGCACATTTTAAAATTCAAAATGTGTGCTTCTTTTAAATTTAAACCTTTTACGCATTGCGGATGCGCAAATGACCTTTCCCGGCAGGTGAATTTAAATTAAGACAATCATTGTTGGTAAAATAAATCAAGATAATCATGCTGCATATGGGACAAAATTAAAGTCAATTAATCTCCATCGTAATAAAAAGACGATACTCTCTTCTTTACTTTTCACAGCAAAAGACAGCTCTTCGCCTCCCACGTTGCCTGGGATTTGAACGGCTAAAACAGAAGAGCGTGTTCTTTACTTCTTTTTGGCTTTTCCCTTTTGGCGGCACCGACGTGGCAATATCTTATTGCGTCAGAATACTACGTTCACCTCCATAGTTAATCACCACGTGTATGGATGATAATATTTTTATTGTTTTTCTAAAAAAATCACAACACGGATTTAGCGAGGCTTCAACCGCGTTAAGGAAAGAGATTGGAAAGCTCACGTTTCATAGTTTCATCTTCTTAGCCTTCCTGGTATTCATAACTTGCGACGACTCGAAACTTCTTCGACTTTCTGCTCTTGAAATTTTTTTCGTCCCAGCGACGGTAGAGTCCTGAACCTTCTTCTTCGACTCTCTCTCTCTCTCTCTCTCTCTCTCTGAATTTTCCACTACATATCTTGAAATCCCGCTGACACTCTGCTATATTTATCTCTACTTTCGGCAAAGTTTACTCGTTATTGGGGGGTTTTGATCGGACAATTTTTGGGGGTTCGATCTCTGGTGGTAATAACTCATGCCAGAGATCGAACGCTTGCCGGAGAACAAGAACGCTTTGTTTGGCAAATATGAACTCGGGAGGATTTTGGGCTGTGGGGCCTTCGCGAAGGTCTATTTTGCCCGTAATGTCCAGAACGGCCAGAGCGTCGCCATTAAGGTCATCAACAAAAAGAAGATATGCGGCACCGGCCTCATGTCTAACATCAAGCGTGAAATTACCATTATGAGTCGCCTCCATCACCCCAACATCGTGAGGCTCCACGAGGTCTTAGCCACCAAGACGAAGATCTACTTCGTCATGGAGTTCGTCAAGGGTGGCGAATTGTTTGCCAAGATTTCCAAGGGACGCTTCAGCGAGGATCTGAGCCGGAAGTATTTCCAACAGTTGATATCCGCCGTCGGGTACTGCCATTCCCGCGGCGTGTTCCACCGTGACTTGAAGCCCGAGAATCTCTTGCTCGACGAGAATGGGAATCTGAAGGTTTCGGACTTCGGACTCAGTGCCGTAAAAGATCAGAACCGACACGATGGTCTCCTTCATACGCTCTGCGGCACGCCGGCTTACGTCGCACCGGAGATTTTGGCCAAGCAAGGCTACGATGGAGCGAAGGTGGATGTGTGGTCCTGTGGCGTCATCCTCTTCGTGCTGACAGCTGGATACCTACCGTTCAACGACCCGAACCTCATTGCCATGTACAAGAAGATCTACAAAGGCGAATATCGGTGCCCCCGATGGATGTCGCCCGACCTCCGGCGTTTTCTGTCGCGGCTCCTGGACACCAACCCGGAGACCCGAATCACCATCGACGAGATCCTCCGGGACCCGTGGTTCAGGAAAGGGTACAAGGAGGTTAAATTTCATGAGGAACACTTCGGGTCTTCCTCATGGATGAAGTTCGATGAGGCGGAGAAGATGACTAATCTGAGCGCATTTGATATCATCTCGTTCTCCTCCGGGTTGAACCTGTCCGGTTTGTTTGATGATCCGGACAGCACAGCGGAGGAAAGCGACCGTTTCGTGTTGGCAGCGCCACCGGACAAGCTTATGGAGAGAGTGGAGGAGATCGCCAAGGTGGAGAAACTCGTCGTGAAGAGGAAGAAGGAATGTGGGGTGGAACTGGAGGGGCAGGAAGATAATTTCGGCATTACAGTTGTTGTTTACCGGTTCACGGAAAGCCTGGTATTAGTGGAGGCCCAATGGCGAGGCAGGGACGGTGTCAACTTGTGGAAGAACAGGCTTAAGCCTCAGCTCTGTGCTGCCACCAGTCAAGAAACAGATTCCCAGGTTGCCTGTGACTAAAATCTCTGCCACTTCTCTTTTCCTCTCCTCTGAGCAATTTAAATTTATAGTAGAAACATTGTGGAGATAAAATAATAATTTAGGATGGCGGTACAACCATGGACATACCAGTTGGTGGGTATTTGTGAAACATGGATCGTGGTTAATGAATAATTGAATATTAAGAGTGATCATATATTGTAGGCATCCGAATGGTTCCATTTTGTATATTGTTGCTATATGTTGTGAAATAGTATGTGTGGTTTATTGAATATTGCTATGATGTGGGGGAGGACTGGGGAATGGTCCTCGTAAACCCACTGAGACTATGAATGAATTTCAGTGTGTTTTATTACCATTGCTTTGTACATATTGAGTTTTCAGAATTCAGAAACAATGGAAAAGAAAAGTTGTTCTGCAATTTGTCCCCTTTAATCTGTTGGTGACAAGAAACTTCTGGAGTTAGAGGCAGTGATGGATTTAACTGGAGCTTCAATTGTTCCTTCCTTCATTCATTCTGTTTCAAGAATGAAATGACTCCAGTCTTTTGGTGGCTTCAATCCTCCCCCCCCCCCCCAAATTGTTTCAAGAATGGCAAGGAAATAGTGCTTAGGGGAGAGCTCTGGGATTGAACAAACCAAGTTATGGGCAAGCTTTCCATAGATGAAATGATTGAGTAGGTTAATTTGTACTGCATTTGGCTTATCAGTAAACAATACCGTAGAAAAATAAAGTCTGACTGAAAATGTAAATGTTAGTCGTTGGAATCATGATCACAGGCTATGTTTTGAGAGTCCTCTTGCTGATAAGCTAAGGTACTCAAAAGTTAGGAATAAAGGTCGCATTTAGGTGGTCGGCACTGAAAACTCTACTTAAATAAGCATTCAGATTTTGAAAATTATTTTTTTAAAAGTAATTAGACTCAAGGTGATCTTAATAGACAACCTTTTAAATCTTGTTATATTATTATTAATTTTTTTTATAGAATATGTATTTAAAGTTAAGAAAGACCTGCTCGTTTGAAGATTTGATCTTTTGATCCGACGTGTGTTATGTTATTATTAATTTTAATTTATTTTAAAATTAATTTAATATAATTTAATAAATATTATGGTGTAACATTTTTAATATTTTTTATAATTATTATGTTTGTGTATTTATAAAAAATAAATTTTTTTAATCAAAATTAAATTTTTTTTATTAGACTTCTAAATGTGTATTGTTTGATTTTTAAAATATTATAAGGATTTTTAATTTTTTAAATTTTAAAATATTTTAATTAATTTATAATATTTAATTTTTTTAATTTATTTTAAGATAAAATTTATAAGTTTGATTTTAAACCTTATGAATAAGGATTAAGTTTTTTAAAAAAATAAAAAATAAAAAATGAAGTTTAAAAGCTCAAAACTTTTAAGGATTGGGTTGGTAAGGATTAAGTTTATATAGGTCGGGCTCATTTTTTCAGCTTTAGAGTGCTATGTTTTTGTCATATTTCATGTGTGGATAAATAATAAATAAAACAGAATAAAAATGAACGAATCCTAAATTTGCAGAAGACAAGTCACCTTCCACTGACTACGTTAGCCTGCAGGCTAACAGTGATCGGTCATCATTTTTGTCGTTGTGTGAGCGTGAGTAGATTAGATTATTCTTCCCAAAATTTCCAAATTCCTTGAACCTTTTTTATCTTACTGTCAAGTAAGGATGTTCATAAATTCAGTTTAATTTAATTTTAATTAAAAATTAAATCAAATTGAATTATTTAATTTATTTATAATTACAAGTTGATTAATTTGTGTGAAACTCAATTTGATTTAGTTTGATTTGATTAAGGTCAAAATCAGACTTCACTACACTTATTTTTTTTTCATCTTTATAATGATACTATGTATTAAAATTAAATTTAATTTTTTTGGCTACTTTTTTTCATAAATAAATGTCTAAAAATATAATAAAATTTTAATGTGATAACGATAATTAATCATAAAAATTGATATAAGTTTTTAAGATTAATTATTTAATATTATATTTTTATTCAAGTCCTTTAAAAATGTTTATCTATGTATCTACATTTTAATAAATAATAAAAAATTTATTATATAAAATTAAAAATAAAATGCTTCTTGTAAATAAATTGAATACTGAAACTTTCAAGTTGTAAATAATTAAGTGATTGTCATAGCATCATTATTACAATTATTTAATATTATGCATTTTCATTGAAGTCCTTTAAAAATATTTATCTATTATTATAAAAAATTCAAAAAAATGCTTCTTATAGATAAATAGTTATATATTTTATAAATAAATAAGTAATATTTTTTTAATCAAAGTTGGCTCGGTTTTTTATACTCAAAATTGAACTTGAATCAAATCAATTGATTCTCATATTATAAAAATCGAAGCAGACTTGATTGTTATTCAGTTTTGACTAGTTTCTTTGAGTTTGGATTGTTTTGAATTTGTTTTTTTATTTGGATCGGTTTTAAACACCTCAAGACAAAGCAAAATCCATCCAATAGGCTCCCTCCCCCCCCTCAAATTCATTTTTCCATTAACATTGACTTTGTAGGCTTCAATAATTCATCATGTTTTGCAAGTGACAAATACAGTTACGAAGAAACCAATATATCAATAAACTTTCCTGAAAGCCAAACAGATTGTAAAGCAGGCCAACTAACAATGCGCTGGACTAATGAGCGATCCTCGTCACAACCAAACCATTTTTAGTTTGGGTTTAGATTCTTTGGAACAAGAGATAGTAAAATTGAATTATATGAGGCCAAGTGCTCATAAAGAATCAATCAACTGCTATCCTCCTCAGTAGTGAAATGAGCATGTTATTAAAAAAAGGTTATGAATTATGCAGCCAGCTAATTGCATGGATGTATTTGGAAACTTAAGAAATCTTTAATAGTTATACAATTTAAGCACATGGGAAAGAATATATTCCATCTGATCCTACATTTGTATGAGCTGGTTTAGAAATTTGTCCTGATTTTAAATGCAAGACTTCAATTCTCTCTTGTCTTCCATGTTTACTATTATTTTCCAAATTGCCCATCTTGACTGCATACATAAATCTGTGCAGCCAATAGAGATAACGATTACGCACGTAAATGATAAAAAAGAAATATTTTAAAAAATCAAAAGACATATTTAAAAACATCATTTGTTTTTTGGCGATTTCATTTTAAAATTTTCTCAAGGGCAGCAAAACAATCGTGTTTGGATGACAAAGGACAGGGAGCGTATGAGTATATCTGCATATGACCCCAAAAAGCTTGTGACAACAAATTTTCCACACCACTCTCATTCAAAATAAACTCAATATTATATTGTGTGGGCAATATTAGCTGGAAGGCGCGCAGGATTCAATGATTTGGACCAGGCTTTTTTTTATTTTTTTTCTGGTCTACTCTCTCCCTTTAAATATATAAAACATTTTTTAAAAAAATTAAATATTAAAAAATATAAAATATTTTTAATCTTTCGAGATGTAATGCTCCTATTAATAATGACTTTATATTTATTATGAGGTGTTTAATAGAAATAAATATGAAAAAATAGGGTTAGTTAAAAAATAGGTAATCATTTTATTGAAGGTGAGATTTAATTAAAAATATTTTATATTTTTTAATGGAAGTAACATAATTGGTAGTTCATGTTCGCAAGTCTTATCTGTAAAGTTAATTTAAATTATATCTAATTTCAGTTTAAAATAATTAAATAAGAATCTGTAATAAAATGTCCAGCAAAATGAGATGTTATTTCCAAACTAAAAATCATTTTCAATTAAGTTATTTTGCAGGTCCCAGCTCAGAAGATAATTATTTGGTGCGGCAACGCTTTTTCTGCCCTTTCGGACCCATCAAAGTGAATAATGCAATATTGAATTAAAATAACATTAATGATGACGGCCATTATGGTAGGAAAATGATATGGTGCCCTTTTTTCTTTTAAAGGGAGACATCAGTGCATTTGATCGACATAACGTGCAATCTACTTCGTCGCCATTGAATCATAATTCACAATTTGACGGAACAAAAATTTAGATTTTGAAAAACATAAATACAACCCGATTTCAACACACAATTATACATATTTTGAATTTTAAAATTTATTTCTAATTCACATATAAATTATTTTTATTGATAAAATTAGTTTCAATCAAATATATGATTTTGAATTAATAAAAATACTAAACTATATTTATTGTTATATTAACAGTGAAATCATACCATATATTAAAATTTAACGATCACTTTCTTATTTTAACTGTCATGTTAATGATAAATAAAAAAAAATCTATATAGTCAATTGCGTCTTTTTTTTTAAATAAAATGCCGAAAATATCTACTGATAAAATAAAAACAAGTAGTTATTAAAATACGATGAAGAAGGACTTTTTTTTTTTTTAAGGATTAAGGTATAGATCTATAGTTTCCACGTAGGCACAAAAACTAGTACCTTTAAATTTTTCCTGGTGTAATGTTATTCCGGTGTATTTTAAATTGGTACAATGTTGCTGTGCCATCAATATATAGAATATGTTGACTGTTATATGTCTTATTGGCATGTCACGTTGGGGCCGCGTCTGAATATGCTCCGATTACTCTCCTCCCTCCTTCGCCCCTTCCACTCCATCCGAAATCGGAAATCCCATCGCCTTCTTCCTCAGGCTTCCTCACTCTTCCTATCCCTCTCTCCGCAGCCTCCTTCTTCCACAAATAAAATAAAATAAAAAATTATGGGCTCAGAACTCAGATTTCAATTAAAATCAATAAAATCCATATATACACCCATCGATTCGAAAGCGGTGGCAATACATGTACTAATTATAAGATGAATCTGAAACACAGAAACTCAAAAAAAAAATTCTAACAAAAGAAACCCATCGCTAGTCAGAAAGATTGAACCCATAAGCCCATCGCTAGTAAAAAAGATGGAACCTAAAAAACCATCACTTTCTGCTTCTTCTTTCTAGTTCTTCTTGAATCTGCTGCCTCGATACATTATTCTTTCTCTCTTTGCGTTGGTGTTCATTGGAGCTGGTGGGTGTTTGTGATCCTCGCAAATGCGTTGCTGCCCTTACCTTCTTTGCCTTCTTCGTATATCTCCTCTTCAATTTCTTGATTATGGGAAATGATGGGTTTTGTTGAAGTGGGTTTTTAAGAGAGGGAGAAGTCAGTGCTTCAGGTCTAAAGGTTTTCATTTTTGTTTCTGGGAGTTGCAGATCCTTTTTTAAGATTCGAAGCTCCGTCCAAAAAAGAAACAAATGAAGCAACTAACGAAGAAGAATGAACAAGAAGCGCGGGAGAGAAGAAGACCGATGACGTGGATGACAATGTGGCAAGGCAGCAAGCAAATAATAGTCAGTTAATATCAACACAGTGAATCCTTGACGATCCGGCGATATTGTATCAATTTGAAAAGTGTCAAAATGATATTGTATCAACTTAAAGATACCATGACGCTTGCATGGAATTTTTGATCGATTTGTACCTTAATTCTTTTTTTTTTAAAAAAAAATTATATATACAAGTGTGTGTGAACTGATAAAAAAAGTCGAACTGCCGTTACGTTTTATCTCCCAGCATTATGTTTCATAATTTAAATGGACTTTTTATACAAGCACGGTGAGAAATTGAAGATTGAGGTTAATTAAAAATAAAATCACAAATCGAAGATCATCTATAGCACTACAGTTGCGATTGATGATTACTGCAATCGAGTTTGAATGTTAAATCCTATTTAAACCAAACTCACACAAATGGACACCTTAGAACTTGTTTATGTGGATTGGGGGTTAGTTTCCCTCCATAAGAAAACTTACAACACTAGTTCGTAATTTTAATTTAATAATTTTTAAAAGTATAAATTAATCTACATCGTTGAAATTTAATATGGAAGGTTTAGGTTTATAATGAAAATTAGGGAAAGGAGAATGCAGTGAGGAGAAACCAAATCCATGTGGACAGAACTATATCTATTTGAAAGTGCCAATATCCTTTTTAGGGTTAAACATAAACTGGAATGAGGTTGCTAAAATAACTGGATTTTTTAAATGGGCATTGATTAAAAATCGTTAAAATTGACCCTACGTTAAGTATATGGGCCATCACTAGAGGCCCATAGTTTGTCGGCCCATAAATTCTCACACTAAGAAATGGCCACCTCGTCTTCGGACTACACCCACCTTGGAAGGCCTTCATTGATTTGTTTGTTTATTTTTTATTTTTTTGTTTATTTTCTTAGCTCAACCTTCGCGCTGCTGCATAACGAGGTTTAGTTTCCTCCTCCTCCTCCTTATAGGTGCTTATGCGTCCCTTTTATGCGTATAGTGTTTTCACCTTCATATTGTTTTGATTGGAATGTTGTAAAGATTGGGATAGGTGTAAAATGCCGACGGAGTCAGGGTTAAAGCTTAAGCTGAACAAGAAGCTCAAGATTGCATCGAGCACTTCTACGAACACTAGGAGGAGTAGGAATTCTGAAATTTCATCGGACAAAGACAGGTCTCACACGAGGGAGAATGGATCAAAGGGAGACTTGAGAAAAAAGGGTAGAACTAAAGAAGCTCGATCAGGTGAAGTTGGGCGTGATGGGAGGTTTGTTGAGGGAGAGAAGACGAGACAATTGAATTTTAATGGAAGAAAGAAGAGAGTATATGCAGAGGAGGAAACGGGACAAAATGCAGAGTTATACAATGTTACTCAAGCATCGAAGAAGAAGGTTTTTTTAAAGAAAGGGGAGAAGAAGATGAAAGAGGGATACGTCTCGGAAGTAAAAAATAACATTCTCAAAGTGAAGGTCAAGAAGGAACGTGATAAATTACCAAAATTTCAACGGAGAGCCAATGCAAAGGAGGCGTGTAAAAGGAACTTGTTATGACTGATGGCAGTGGAGCTAGCTTCACGAAAAAGCATACAGAACAGAAATCTGAATTTAGCAAGGATAAAAGCCAAAATGTTGTGCTTCCTTCCAGTTCCGCCAAGAAAAAAGCTCGAGCTAAAGCCAAGGTGGATGATGATGTAGAAATAACAAATGAGCAGCCAAAGAAGAGAAAAAGAGTAATTAAGATTGACCCGTATGATATCTCAAACAAGCGACTAGATGATGGCATTGTCATAAGCGGTTGGCAACCTAACTTCCTCCCTCTGTATAATCCCATGTGTAGCCTCAGAATTTTACTTGGTTTGCTAATATTTTGTTAGTTATTGCTTTAATAACTCTAACATGTAGTCTAGCATCACCGTATTGCAGATTTGGGGGATTTTGCAAATTATTTTATTTTGTTGTAAATGTTCATTATACTATCTTTTTAATTTTCAGAGATACTTCCATAATGACAAGGAATATATGCTTGATTCCGGTATAAAAGATGTGCCAGAGCTTTACCGAATAAGCATTTTAGGGATGCTAATTGTTCATTTTTATTTTTTGGGAGTACCTTCTTGCCCATTTTAGAACAAGGTCAAGTCTGAGATTTCGTGTTTAAAATTTACTATTTGCACTGTCCAAACTCAATTTATAATTAAAACAAGAATGCACATGGAATTATTCTTTCTTGACCAGTAGTATTTTCTTTTTAACTTTCGAATGCTGATTTTTATTTTCATTTTTTGTGTGGCCTGAGGTTCTGAGTGATTTGATGATTTCTTCCCTTTAATAGTCGAAGTTGATTTTAGCTGCTTTTCCTCTTCCTAACCAAACGAATTCCGTCCTTTACATTGTGTCTTTCTTACTTCAATTTCAGGAATTGCAAAAGAAAAGAAAAAGGAGCCCGAGGAAAACCTTGTAATGTCCAAGAATGCACAATTTCGTGCAATACAACCTTGCCCTTCAATTCTTTCATTTGTGGAAAACAATGTAATTTCTATGACCAGGGACTTTTGATAGTTGGGCCGTTTACATTACTATTTTGTTTATTGTTCTAATTTCCTGTGCTATGGTGATTACTTACAGCTGTTGGGGCGGAGACGCTCGATTGAGATTAGAAGAGCAGGCTACAATATTGACCTTTCTGCACCCTTAGATAATGTCCCCTTCTCAACCAGCTTAGAAAGAGAGAGAATAGAAGACAGTGTATGTATCTAATTGATGCGTTCCACAAGTAACGCAATTTTTAAACAAACAATTTGGAACTAATAGTTGGCTTTCAAACAAGCAAATCATTTTGGCATTTTGTTCATCTGTTTATGTTGACATTCTGTGATGATCCTCTGAGGCAGATATTTAGGAATAAATTGGAATTTTTTGCTGCTGCGAAGATTTCATCTTCATTTCCACCTCCAAATCTTCCTGAGATTGCATTCGCTGGTAACGTCATAAACCACCTCCAATTCAGCTCTAGTAATTATTTCCTGCGTTCTTGATTCACTTTATTGCATCATGGTGTTGATGCATCTATTTGTTCAGGATTGGATACTTTATCGTTAGATGCTCAATAGCCATTGATTTACCAGTTAATGTTGAACCTCTAGGTCTAATTTTGATAGGACTATTTTTTCATCATCATTGTTGTTGCAGTAAGAGACAATTTCAATCATTGGGGTGCAGGATCTTTGTACTTCTTCATTTATGGATGACTAAAGGGTGTGGTTCTATGGCCATGAACAAACTATATGAATTAAGATTGAGACTGTAATCAGTGCAAATGCTTAGCATAATAGTTTAGGGTTTTTTCTTGATTAATAAAGGGTTCTAGTCAACTGAACAGATCTAATCGGAATAAAGAATCATCGAAAGAATTTAATATCTGACAAATTTAATATCTGACAAGGATTTTGATTGAGTAAACATTAACAAATAACAAGTGAAGTTATTGTTTTAACAAGTATCTGATCTATCCAGGTTCTTGTCAGATACTAAATTCTTTCAGAGGTCCTTTGTTGATATCCCCCCCGCTTTTATATATATATATATATATATATAACTGTGAAACTGGATTCTGAGGCATCCATATTTTGGTTGCTTTTTATTGTGGGTTTCCAGAACATCACTAAATAATGAAACATGGGGACCAAGATGTCAGAATATAAGGCCCAAGCTAATATTCAGGCTCCAAAAGTCATGCCAAACAGCACAAATAGCTGAAACAAACTAAGGAAAAGCCTTCAAACCTGAAGCCTATTCTTTGGCATGGCAGATTGAGTACTTTGACTACGGGATAGGATCCAAGTAGCAGGTTACTAAATAAATACCTCACAGAAATTGAATGGAAACTAAAAGGACATAATTATCTGAGCAAATCTAGCTTACTTGATCTGCCAACTTTTCATGCTCGTGCTTGTCTTTGGTTTTCCTTCCCCTGCCATTCTCATTTTCATATCCCAAATCTTCCTGGCATATGACATCACATTGGTGCTGCAAAAAGGTATTATATGCTAACTGGTAATAATTTTGCTTATTAGCACTTCTAATTATATATTGTAACCATGGATTTTTATTTATGAGAACACTGTTCCTCATATCTGAGAGGAAGTGGATTTTTTAGCTATTTATTATACAGTGGACTCTTATTCTGATGGTTGGAATTTCTGCCTGCATCACACAAGCAGCATTCTAAGTTTCTCTTTGCCAAAGCATTCTAACAGTAAATGGATGTTTCCCACTAATTTTCCTTAGATGCAATAGACTACGTTTCTTGTTAAATTTTATAAAGCTTACTCTCATTTATTTGTAGTACATTGCATAAAATCCAAGATCAGATGGAAAATGATACGTACCAATTTGATTGTGGGCTGTAGCCTACTAGCCTTGATGATCAAACCCTGAAAGTCTCAGGGCCATCTCAGTAACCATGAGGGAGAAGACTGGTTTATATTTTCTAATGTGCCTGCCAAGAGACATAAATGAAATGATATGTACCTGATTCTGATTGTCAGGAAGGTCAAATGTTGGGAAGTCATCTCTTCTTAATGCACTCACCAGACAATGGGGGGTTGTAAGGACGTCAGACAAGCCTGGCCTTACTCAGGTATCCTAGATAACTTGAAGTCGGTATATCTGGAAACTTGAAAGATTGAGTAGTTTACTTTTTAAGACGCATTTCCTTTTGTAACTGATGAATTCTCTCCAGACCATTAATTTCTTTAAGCTGGGAACGAAGCTTTGCTTAGTGGATTTGCCAGGATATGGATTTGCATATGCAAAAGAAGAAGTGAAAGAAGCATGGGAAGAACTTGTAAGAGTGGAACTTGAATTCAATTGGTTTAGCCGACCATCATTCTACTTGAGAGTGCAATATTGTGTTGTTTTAAGCCTTTATGTATTGTATTAATTTCTGGATTAAATCATTACATCACATGTCATGGAACTTATCCTTTGGCAAGGAAGATTGGCGTTGTAGGCTGCAAATTCATTACTTCTTGAGCTACTGGGAGAAGGGAGGCAAATAGAATAGAGAAAAGGGGCTCATCTATACTTAGTTTAAGGCTGTTTATTTCAAAATAAACATGATAATTAATTTCTTGGTCGTTAAACTCATTCTACTGGTGGCATGCTGTTGCATGTTCCATCCTTGGAAACATGATGATATTTGAGATCATATTTTATACCAAGCTAAGAATCTTTTCTTGCTTCTTTAATAATGTTTTTGGTTTTTAAGTTGTGAGCATGCCGCCTTTTAGAAGTAGAAGAAATCGCTGTCAACTATTTTATGTAGCTACTCTACTTGGGTTTGTTGGACACTTGGAAAGTCGTTATTTTATATTTCTTCTTACCTTGCTTGTTGTGTATACATGCCTAACCTTGACTTCAGGAATCTAGTTTTCATTCTCTGATTAAAAATAAAACATCTATCTATAGTCAAAACAGAACGTGGTTAACTGTTCAAGTGGTTTTGTTTATACTTGATTTCTGTAAATAGGCTTTTAGCTAGATGGACATCAGGATATAATTCACCTCTCTGGCCCTCTCTAGTGTCTTTACACTGGGATACTATATACTAATTTGTATATTTGGGCTGCTGGAATTTTCCTCTATTCCCTTGTTCACTTGTGTATGGAGTAATTAGTTAATTGGTTTGTATGATAAAACCCAATCAATCATTTCCATTGGAAACCCTAAATGGCAGGTCAAGGAGTATGTTTCCACGAGGGTTGGCCTCAAACGAGTATGCCTATTAATCGATACAAAATGGGGCATGAAGCCAAGGGATCATGAACTTGTTGACTTGATGGAAAGGTACATGGTTAACTGGTATGCTTGCATTCTCTCTTGTTCTGCAGTATGCTAACTTAAAAAAATAAAAATAAAAATAAAAAAATCTTTTGAGGCAGTGTTGCATATACCTTATAATGCATGTGATGAACTTGCAGATCACAGACTAAATACCAGGTTGTGCTAACTAAAACAGATATGGTATTCCCAATTGATGTGGCACGCCGTGCCATGCAAATTGAAGAGGTAAATTTTTGTCATCCAAATTGATCTTTATCTGAAAATTGGTTTTCTTTTGCGGAGACTAACACATTGCGGCGACTGTTTACCTTCACAGAGCCTCAAGGAGAACAAGTCTGTAGTTCAGCCTACGGTAAGCTGGTTCTTTTGGCAGATTTCTTCACAACTTCATTCTTACAGCGTTGTTCTTGTATGCAAGCTATACAATTTGCATTGTGCTTATTGCAGATGATGGTGAGTTCAAAGTCTGGAGCCGGCATTCGAACTTTAAGAACTGTTCTGTCAAAGATAGCACGAGTTGCTAAACTATAGAGGAAGGCGGTGTCCTCAACCTCAAGCTTGATTCCTTCGCAATGAATTTGACAGGCTTCTTGACGAAAGAAAATATATAGGGCTAATGGTCTCTCACTTCTGCCTAATCTGCACTCAATTGCATTCAATTTAGCTTTCATATTAATTTACTGGAAATCGCCTCTTATTGATTCAGCTTTGGATCTGAAGCATCACTTAGACATTCAAGATAGAGAATTCGTTTTTCAAGTTGAAACTTCATTTGAGCTCCTTTTCACTATTCACTGGTAGGATAGTAACCCCAGGCGATGCATTGGTAGAGATTGTTTTGATGGAATATATACTGGTTCAAATTATTGTTTTCCTAATTTTAATTGCCCCGTGGGTGTGTGTGTAACCTATGGGAAACTGCTGTTCACAGTCAATGAGTGCAACCTCGGGCTCACGGGGCCAAGATCTAGTTATCATTATAAAGTCTTATTTTGCTGCAATTTGGGGGAGGTCACAGGTGTAACTTGTCTGAAGTGTTAATTTTTTGGCCAGAGTCTAAAATATTGTTACTACTTTATATGTTCATTGCCGGAATCGTTTGAGATTGGGTTAAATTATAATTGATATAACCTCTTTATTACTATATTACATGAACCTGTTAATTATTTACGTTTTCTTATTTAAGGTGATTTAAAGTTCAACGGCACATTTACTTTCAATATAATGGTTCAAATAGATAACTAATATTCAGACGAGGCTTATTATTCATGAATTCATTCTCAATTTCTGCTTCATAGCTTGCCACCCATTATTCTGGGTTAGAAAATTTTGATTTTTGGAGACTCGTGTGTGGTAAAAGAGAAATAAAAGACCACTTTGGAAATACACCGGGCTGTCGGGATCAAATTGTTAGTTTTAATTGGTTCCAAGCACGGCCAAGTAGCTCTAGTTTACTGTAAAATCACTTCTTTTAATTTTATTTATAAGTTATTTTTAATCTATTTCACTGGAATTAAAATTTAAAATGTATTAATTTTATTTAATAATTTTGTCACGTTGTTTCTGTTATATATATATATTAATAGTATAACTTCTCTTTAGAAGGAAACATTTCTACTAAAAAATTAATGGAGAATATCAATGAAGGATAGTTAAAATGAATTAATATCAGAAAAGAGGATTGGATGCTTATCAAAATTTAAACTTTCACTTATTAATTATTAATGCTGACTTGTTACAAATCTTTATTTGATATTAAATCATTTTAGAGGTCTTTTATTGATATTCACCTCAATAATATGATTTATATACATAATACAAAATCTTCTCTCTTTTAATTTGATAAATACTCCTTTCATTTAATTTTTATTTTTTTAAGAAATTAAATGTTAAAAAATTTAAAGCATTTTTAATATTTTAATGTGTAATTAATGCTTTTTTTTACCCATGCTCTTAATAAATAAATCATTTATATTTATTTTTAAGTGAAACAACATATCAAAGATAAATATAGTAGGATAATGTTAATTTAAATATGGTTAACTAATTTATTAAAAATAAAATTTAATTAAAATACCTTACATCTTCTAGGAACATGAGGGAGTGCATTTTTATCCGAAAACAAAATTATGAAATTTTCGTTAGACCTTTTGTGGTTCAAGTTACGAGGAATTTTATAATAGATCCAATTTCACGTCAAAACTCAAAATTTCAAAATTCCCAATGGATCGGGAAAAAAAAAAAAAGAAGCTGCTGTCTGTGAAACGGATAAAGCAGCCAAATTGCCCGGCAATTATACCTGACAAACCCGAATGACGCTCTCATAATCAAGAGTCTGAAGCCACAACGGTCAATTTTCATTCGGAAGCGGCGACATGCGGAAACGAAAGGGGAGATCAGAAGTCTCCAAATCTCTCAACCCTCACTCACAAGCAGCGGCGATCGAAGACCAAAACTCAATTTCTGATGAGTCCAAAGGCTTCTTCGCTTGTTACCTCTTGGTCTCTCTCAACCCTCGCTTCAAAGGCCACACCTACATCGGGTTCGGTCTCACACTCCTTTTCAACTTAACTCGCACCTTCGTTCTTCTTGTCTCTGTTCCACTCTCCAAGATCGGATACTTCTCATGTCTTCTGATTCACTCATGTTCTCAATCATTGGAAAGTTTTCATACTTTTATCTATAGAGATGTTAGGTGTTTGCGATTTTCTTTGATCCTTGTTGAAACTGAATTCTTTATATCAATTTTGGTTAACGATGGGTTTTTGAATCTGACCGTGTTCATCTACGTGCAATTACAGATTTACAGTGAACCCACGACGTCGGATTAGGCAACACAATGGTGAAATTGGGTGCGGAGCTTGGAGAACGAAGAGGAAGAGGCCTTGGGAGATGGTTTTGTGCATATATGGTTTCCCAACGAATGTGTCTGCCCTGCAGGTCACACACTTTTCTCTTTTATTGCTTCTTTTGTCAAATCCAAACTAATCAACCACATGCTAGTGTCCTTCTTATCTTTTGTCTGACATGATGATTTTTATTTTTTAATTTTATCCCATTTGATCGTTTGGCTAAAGTTTCTCCTAAATTCTTGAAACTTGGCGACTTATCATTTTTACAAACGCTATCTTCCAATTTCAGCATACCGTTAGTCTTTAGCGCTTTGATCACTTACTTTTTTTCCCCCGATTACGCTTTAGCACGCACTTGAGCATGTGAGTTTTTATGCAATTTACTTGAAAAATATGGTTAGTAATAGGCCCAGAGTCTAAAATTATTTACCCCGCTCCCTCCAATTCTTGGTCTCATGCTGTCCTGTATATATATATATATATCTGCACCTGATTGTGGTATGATATGATTTCTGGTCTTTTCTTAGCCAAGAAGAGCCTTGCATAAAATTGTCATGAGAATTATGGTACCCAGAATGGCTGTGTCCAAGTCAATGTTTTGAAGTTGGTTATTTTGACTGGGATTTGCAGTTTGAATGGGCTTGGCAGCACCCTGTGGAATCACTGGCTGTAAGGAAGGCAGCTGCTACCTTTAAATCCCTTTCAGGAATTGCAAACAAGATTAAACTTGCGTACACAATGCTCACTCTCCAATCCTGGCAGAGGTGTGCCTTCTTTCTGAGTGTAGGAATGAATGCACTTTTTTTTTGTCACAGTATAATTGTTGTTTGGATTCTAATACATGATATGACTGGGTCGCAGCATGAGTATGACAGTAAACTTCTTCTCTACGAAGTACACAAAACATTCTGCTGGTTGTCCTAGTTTGCCAGAGCACATGAAGGTTCAGATTCGCTCCATGGATGAACTTCCATGTTATGCTGAAAACATTGAAGGTTTGTCTGAGAATGAAGATGATGATAATGTTGGTGAAGATGGCGGTGCCAGTGAAGAGGAATGCAATATTATTACAAGTAACAGTGATTCTGTACCAGTCGCAGTTGATGGTTCACTCACTCATTTGTTACCACAAGATGAAGAATCTGAAGCAAGAGAACCTTGTCATTCATTTGGTTCTGTCATATCAGAGGTCAGGGAATCACCACCAGTAATGTTATCAGCAAGAGAAGAGATAATTGAAGTCAGAGACTGCACGAATTCAATGAATAAGAGTAGTGATGAAATGGGTGGAGCTGGTTGTATACAATCAGGTACAATATCCGCTTCTAATAAGAGTCAAGAATTCAGATGTGCCTCTAACGTGCCTAATGAAGCTGAGGTAATAGATTTGTCTTCTCCATCCACTTGCTGCAGCTTTTCAGTTAGCAAGAAGAGAAGAGTTTCTTGTGTTGGTACTGATTTTATTGACTTAACAAATTCCCCCAGCTTCATTCAATTGTAAGGTCTTGGCAATAAGAAATTCGGCAGTGTGGTGAGGAATCTACATATGTTGTACAATTATTATTCTCTGATCATATTAGATCAGACAAAAAACGTAAGCAGAAAGCATTAGCCACATCGTAATATTAGTCTTTTCACAGTCTATGTGGAAAATCATTGAAGAACGTTCCTTTTTCCTTCCCAATTTCCTAATTATTCTGTAAAGTTATACTTTTACTTTTTGGTAGTTCTGTTTGGTTATGGCGCTTCAGAAATTCATATGATATAGGAAAAATACAATAATTAATCCTTATAGTTTTATTAAATTTTACTTTCACTTCCAGTAATTTTTGAAAAAACATAATCTTTAATCCCTATAATTTTATTAAGTTTTGCTTTAAGTCCCTATAATTTTTTTTAGTATTTTCACTTCCTATAAGAACTAAAATCACTGAAAAATAAAAATTATAGGGATTTGAAAAACAAAGATCATCTAATCTTTTTAAAACTATAAGAATTGACAATATTTAAAAAAAAAACTATAAGGACTAAAAACAAAATTGGATAAAATTATAAGGACCAAAGATTGTGTTTTCTTTAATTTTTTCTCTAGTGTTTTTAACTCGTATAGTTATATGGACTGAAAATATTAAAACTATAGAAATTTAACAAATAAACATTACCCAATCTCGCTGAAACTATAAGGATTGAAAATATTGAAAAAAAAACTATAAAGATTAAAAAAAAATTAATGAAAGTATAAGAACTGATGATTGCATTTTCCCAATGACAACGATTCACTAGGTAATTAGCTCTACAATTAGAAGAGGCTTTTATTTGCATATAAAGCTCTAAATTTCCAAGGAATGTGATTGATTGGAGCCAATACTAAGCTGTGTCCCCATAATTCGCAGGGAAATGAACAAGAACAAACACTTCTCAAGACAACGCACCTAAGCCTCTCCTATTGATATGGAAATTTTAGTTTTGTAACTTTGTGGGACAGATCTCTTTCTGTTCTTGGACAACAATAAGATGAGCCACGATATTTTGCTTATTTCTATCCTTATAAAATGGTGAAACCAAGAAAACCATGCTTTGATAACCCCCATAATAAATGAGAAAACCTAGGAGCAACTTCTATGTGAATGTGACATCTAGCCACCTTTATCTAATTCTGGTATAAAAATAGCCAGTTCACATTTTGAGTTCCATGGAGAAATATGCAGCAGCAGCTCGTAACTTTTTCAACTTGCACGTTAGAATGCTTCATTCCTGAAAATTATTGATTGAGACAATTCTGCAGAGGACACTACAGCAGAGGCTCAAATTTTAAAAAAAAAACCTTTCTTCTTTTAAGGTGAGAGGTTCAGATTAAACTTTTTGAAATCAAGCATATGTATGCCTCCGTTTTCTTTCGCTTAAGGCACATCAATTTAAGTGAATAGCTTATGAATATTAAAACTTTCTATGGATTTTAAATTATATGTAGACGATATGATATATATATATATATATATATAGATATATAGATATAATTTAAAAAAAAAAATACAGCACCCAGTACTTACAAGACGAGCGAAGATACCACGAACAATTGCACAATATGAACAAGCAACATGGTGGAAAATGGACATATCATGAACTCCAAAAAATAGAACGTATTATTGCTATGATTGCTGTGGCTGCTGGTCATGTCTCTGCAGTTGTTGTTCTGATTGCTGTTCTTGGTCATCACCTTGCCAAACCCAAACAATATCCTGAAGGGCAGGCCTTATACCTTCTTTCAGTATTTTCTGAAATTCCAATGTATCTCCATCAGACTTTTTCACTTCCACCAGATGGAAATACGGAGTAACCTCAAAGATCTCTGCATCAATGGACAAAACACCCTTTCTACCTTCCTTGAGACCCTCTAGTTTTAACAAACCTGCGGCTTTCTTCTTTATTTTCATCTTCAGACGCTTTGCAGTCTCTTCCAGCTTAGAGATGATAGCCGGTGCAGGCTGTCTTGAAGTAAATCTAGCTTCTCTCTTCTTAAAACTGTCTTCAAAGAATACAGAAAGATCAAAACCAGCAGAAAGGGATATGATATCAAATGCATTTATACTGATTGGTACAACTGTCTCCTGCTTTGCTTCTGCTTCATTGCTTCGATCAGAAGGACTTTTATCTGATGAAGAGACAGCCCTCTTTTCCACTACTGGTTTTTTGTGCTTAGAATTTGGTCCTTTCTTAAACCAAGAACAGTCCTTAATCTTTTCCAAGGAAATCCTAGTATCAGGATCTGGATCTAACATCTTGCATAAAAGTTTGCGGGCTTCTGGGGAGAACCAATTAGGACATTCAAATTCTGCTTTGCCAATCTTCCTGTACATCTCTATCAAATTTGGATCATGAAAAGGGAGATATCCTGCCAATAATACAAACAACACTACCCCACAAGACCAAATATCAGCTTTGGCACCATCATACCCTTTCCTTTTGATGACTTCAGGAGCAACGTAAGCGGGTGTGCCACAAGTTGTATGCAACAAGCCATCTTCCCGCTTGGATTCTGCCAGAGCACTTAACCCAAAATCAGAAACCTTCAGATTCCCATTCTCATCCAACAAAAGGTTCTCTGGTTTAATATCTCGGTGGTACACGCCTCTGCTGTGACAAAAATCAACTGCATTGATCAGCTGCCAGAAATATTTATGTGCAGCGTCCTCTTTGAGCTTCCCTTTTTTAGCCAACTTGGTGAAGAGCTCACCGCCTTTAGCATATTCTATAACAAAGTAAATCTTACTCTTGGTGGCCATGACCTCAAAAAGCTGTATGATATAGGGATGTCTAACCTTCCTCATAATAGATATTTCACGCTTGATGTGTTCAGCTTGCCCAGATTTTATAACCTTATCTTTGTCAATTACCTTGACAGCCACACTCTGATTAGTTGCCATGCTTCGTGCATAGTACACTTTTGCAAAGGTACCTTGGCCTAGCAATCTTCCTAACTCATATCTTCCCATTAAAACACTTGATCTGTTCTCCATACCAGACCACACAGTAAGATGAAAAAATAATAATATAACTATAGAGTGTAGCTATATACAGAAAGACATTTCAACCATCTTCACTTAAGTCCTGTATTAACAAAACAGGCACTCTTAAAAGACTTGGGTGCCAGTCATGCATCACGGGAAAGCAAAAAAATGATGTCCAAATTTGTGGTACACTTTTGACAAGCATGGAGGAGAGAAGTACATACAACAATATAACCTTATTGGTCTCAAAGACAGAGATATGATCACTAAAGCACATCTAACTGAGAGAACTTGCTGCAAGTATGATAAGTTGAGGAGCTTCTGAAGTATACTTGAATTTCAGCAGAATGTTTTCCCTCGAAACTCTGAAATGCAAAAGGAGAATGGTGCTGGGTTCAGCAATTGTTCAGGAAGCCCAGTATAAATTGAGAAATGGGAATAAAATGATGAACGTAATTCAGCAGCTAATTTGCAGACGCCCAAGGAAAATATACATCATATAATGGTGAATTGGGTTAAATCACAAGTAAATGGCATTGTAATATGGTTTTGAATGTTATCTTTCACAAGCAAAGAAACTCAGCAAATCTTTCCATTAGAAACACACCGCGTTTCAGAGCAAACAAGGGGAAAAATCAGTTTAACAGAAGAGTGATCTTAAACCACATTTAGGGTTCAAAATTGAGGACCCTCGCTCACAGCTGGACCGACTTACCCTCTGCCACTGCAGTAGCTCCTTGAAGTGACCCAACTCATGCTTAGAAGATACGAACGGCAACTATCCAAAAACCGAATCATTGGTTCAACAAAGTTTAGTACCATGAAGAACCCTACTTAATCCGTATATTCTGGGGATCCACAACAACTATATTCAGCAGCACCCCCAAAATTCCTTAAAAACTAATGTCGAAGTTTCAAAGGCAAAATCGAGGATACACTGACTAGGCAGATACTAAAATCAAGCACATACGCGAATTAAACCTGCAGAGAGATGATTGACGAACCTCATCCAGCTAAGCACAAGCACGCAGCTTCAGGTCGAAGACGCGCCCCCCGAGAGAGAACAGGTAAGATTCCATGGGATTCGGATGAAAATGAATGGAAAGAGGAATCTATTTTTTTCCCTCTCACAGAACACTTCGACAATTATATGGCTATATATAAACGTCTGATTTTACGTTTTAATTGCTTTAAATTCTTACGCGTAACTTATTTTTGCTTTTTAAAATATAATAATTATAAATATATTTTTTTTGCCGAAATATAATGATTATAAATAAATGCTTTTAAATGCTGGGGCCGGTCATGCTTATATATGGCTTTTTAGAAGCTTTTTAATTATTTCCCACCTCGAAATTATTATATGCCCACAATTAATATGGGTGCAAAATGTAGGGGTGTTCAAACTATATCTGTCCTGGCTAGCCTGTACTCATCCTGATCATGTCCGAACAAGTTTGTCCCAGCTTAAAAAAAAGGCAGGACAAAACTTTTGCAAAACAAGATGAAAATAGGGACAGGACGGGACTTGGGCTCACCTTTAGGATGTCCCATCTTGTCCCATTTTTTATTAGCATGTTATTATATTTTTTTTTTGAAATTTGCCCATTATTTTAGCTTAACAGGAAGGGAGATTCACAATTTTGGTCTTATTTTTTACTCAGATTCCTACTTTCCCTTCAATCTTCCATAGACCACAGCTCCCCGCCTCCACACCTCCGCACCTCTGCCCCCATAGTCCACACCTTCACCTTTACCTCCACGACCACACAATGCGACTATGAGACACTTGGTATTACTGCCTCGACCTAGATCTTTGCCTAGCTTTACTTTAAGTCGGATCTTTATCGTTGTCGTTCTCCTCAACCTAGAGCTAGTGCTGCCTCAAATCCATCATTCTCCTCATCGTTCTCCTCGTTTATCTACTGTCATTCTCCTCGACCTAGATTTAGTGCGTTTATTAAATTTTTAGTTCTAAATATAAAGTTTGAGAAATAAATAGATTATGTCTGAAATCTCTAAAAAAGGCCGTGCCCTGTATGTTGTTTGCTCAGTAAATCTAAACTTGTCTCTCCGCCATTTTTAGGATATTTAAAAAAGGTTGTGCCCTAGTTGATTTTTTTTCACATTTTCATGGCTCTTACTGGTACTTGGTTTGCTAACAATTAGGTTGTTCATTACCTAATTTTGTTTAAGAAAATTAGACTCATAAATAAATGTGCTCATCCAACATAACTCAAAAAAAGAGAGAGAAGGAAGTGCATTATTTTCTAATTGATTTGGAGCCGTAGCTTGTGTTCTAGATGAATCAAGTTGATGGGCATAAGGCATTTGACACATCGTTTATTAGTATATTATGCTGTTCTATGTTCTTAATCTTGATTTCCTTGGCTCTTTTATGAATTGTAATGGTTTATCTAGGAAAAATAAATAAAGAAATTTGTTCAGTTAGGACTTGGGATGCTACTGATCTACTGAACACTCTCTCCTGCATTTAAAATTAAAAACCACGTCTTAAAGGTAAAGCAGATCCATATCTTTATGCTTTTGGTGGGACTTGGTTCACTTTAATTTAATTGATAGTCTTTAAAAGCATTATTGATGCAATATAATATTTATTCTATTTTCAACAATATTTATTCTATTTATTCCGTGTGTCCAATATTATTGTCTAGTATAATATGATTTTCTGTTATTCCAACTAATCTTTGAGTGGCATTGCATGTCTGCATTTTGATTCAATTTCAGACACTATATAATCTTGGTTTCATTAGAGAGAAGTTTCAAGAAAGAAAAATGGCCAAGCAAATTCTTGTAGGGAAGATAGCATCATCACTGGTTGATCTCTGTGTTAAGAAATGGTTCAATAATGCATGACTTCTAAGAAATGTTTGTAGACCAATTAAAGCATGTAGAAGTGTCTACTAAAGTAAGATGGACTTATTAAACAAAATGTGAAAAGTCAAGTTATGATTGGGAATAGCAAGACTGAATTTGTTATTTTAATACGATTTTGCAGGGAAGAAATTTGAAGTGATCAAGAATATGGAAAGAATTCAAGTGCCGTTCAAATGGAAGAAATATGAGGTAATTTTTTCTCTCTCCAAATCTCCCATAAAATCAAGACATTGTTAAGAAATATTTTTGAAGAAAAAGATTTGTACTGAGTTGTGAACAAAAATTAATTTACATGGTTTAATTCTTCTATTTAGTCGTTACTTCTATGATCAACCATATTCATAATGATAATTTGCATTAAATTTTTTTGGGGTTCTAATTAATGTAATATATGTTTTTTTCTTATCAAGTAATAAGTTGAAAGATTGTAACAATTTTGTAGATGTGCATTTGGGTTGTCTCGATCCTGTCTCAACTCCTTTTGGGACGGGACAGCTTCCAAGACGGAACGAAACATGGAAAAAATTTTGAGTCCTAATCATTTTTAAGGATAGGCCACAGGACGCCTTCTTGTCCCATGACCACCCCTAATAAAATATTCAAATAAAATTTTCTTATTTCAACAAGATAATAAAAACTTTATAATTGTTAAACCAATTAAGATATTAGTTCAAAATTAATGGTCAAAATTATAGTTAAATCATGATAAAATTGATTATAAACAAATTATTTTATTAAATCAATCAAGACATTAATTTAATAATTTATCAATTCAATTGAAAAGGTTGTCCTAAATTTGCATGCTGTGTTTTTAATGAGATTCCAAACTTATGTCTTTAGTAAGTAAGACTAACATTCTTATCATTTAAAATGATTTCATTTACATGCTTGATTTGACATGTATTATGAAAAAGTAAAATAAAAATAATTTAATGATAAAAGTAATACCCATATGCGTAAAAAAAATAAGAGAGATAACAAATTATTAGTATAAGATACTCTATGCTTTTAATCAAAAGACGTAATAAACATAGATAAAAAAAAAAACGTTTTCAATCGAAAAATTGAACTAAAGAGATGACATTATCTATAATATATCAATAAACAGCGTGTTGTTGTTTTTTTTTTTTTGTCAAATGAAAAAAAATCTCCTACCTCCATATAATCATATATGTGTGTGTGTGAAGGAAATTTACATTAAAAATTTTTTATTAAATTTGTGAATTGTGTAATTTAATCTTAATCTTAATTTTACATTAAAATTTTATGCAGATGATTTTGACATTGATGGTGACAATATTAATATCAATAATGATATTAAATTTTTCAAGTTATATAGAAAAATTATGTATAACCTAGCCTTATTAAATTAAATTAAATGTAAGAATTAAATCACGTAATTAAATAATATAATTCGGTGTTTTTATGTTATGAAAGTTTGAACCAGGACAAGTATTCCACCCTGCCGTTGGTTCTTTGAGTTAGGGCTGCTATAAGTGCTAGTGCATCAATGAAATGCTATTAAAAAGGCCTCTTGGACTAATAACGTGGCTACTTGTTAATAATTGGAATATTAATTAAATATTGATGTCAATTATTTTTTCCTAATCTATCTAGCCCTTCCCAACCTACGTACAAGCATTGCTCATCAGCACATAACTCAACAGACAATGCATAACTACCCCCTCAATATTTATATATAAAATATTTTTAATCGAATTATATAAATTAATAAAAATTAATTATTAAATTAAATGTATAGTAATATTTTTATTTTATTTTTAATTATTATAACTAAAAAATGAATCTCTTTTTTAAAGTAAATTAACATAAGTACTTATAGTTTTTTAATTTAATAAGGATATAATGATTTATTTATTAAAAAAATATGTTAACAACTTCTTATATTTAAAATTTTTAAAAAAAATTTAAAAAAATTCTTATATATAAAGACAGGGAGTAATCTATAACCAACTTAATTAAAATTTTCATCCAATTTTTGAGCCTACTGGATATAGAACTCACAAGTCCCAACCATAACACCTCCGATTAAAGGAAAAGAAGATTCATGCCACTCGACCAAATGTTTAATTAGTATTAGTCATTCAATACACCAGTTCTGCAACTGAGTACCAGTAACATATGATAACGAATGAGGTGTCTAGTATTATAACATATAAGAAATCTCACATATAAATATTAAAAGATAGATTATAAATATATAAACTTAAAAAATATTTAATCAAATAATTTAAACTATTTTGATGGAGTATATTATCTTTAAGCATACTTATATATAAAAAATCTAATATAATATTATGAGCCATTTGATTGGGGACAAAAAAGAGAGAGACAAATTAAAAAATGAAAGATAAAAAACAAGAGATTAAAAAAAGAGGGAAGAAGAAAAAATTGAATAAATCAAAGCCTCTGAGAGAGATATTATGTTAAGCATATTTTTGTATGTGTGTGTGAGAGAGAGAGAGAAATAAAACATCCAAGACCTTTTTATGGGACCTCCATTGAATAGAGCAGGTAGTTCAAGCAGAGTGGGCTCATTCAGATTGAACTCAATTTTGGCCGGCTTATTTGGATCGAGTTTGAAGTATCATACTTTTTTTTAAAAAGCCCATATAGCAAAGCTCAGTCCTAAATTTTTTTGGGTGGGTTTGAGTTAACTCGTCGTGCTTAGCCAACACTATCAAATTTATATACATATAGAGCTGTAAATTTTAATGGTCAGATTTATTCGAGTCAAACTTATTCAGGTTGGGCTCAAAATATCATACTTTTTTTAAAAAAGGCTATTTAGCCAAGCTCGGCCTTGACTTTTTCTAGTGGGTTTGGGCTTACTCCAATTATCAACTCTACCATTGAGGGATGCCTTTGTTGCCTCTCCAATGAAGCATAAGCTTAATTTCGATCGTCCAAATTTAATATTTTTATTATTTATTTATTTTTTAAAATAAATATATAAAAATGGTAAAAAATAATAATATAATTATCAATATGGTAGTTCAGAGTTAATATGAATTGTTCAAATTTAATATTAAAAATTTAAATTAGCTTTTCATCTATATTCTGGATAGTGCATATATATTTTGAATAGAATAATAAACTTATTAAAAAAATTAATATTAAATTTAGACTGTTAAATTGATAAATATATTTATTAAAAATTTTTACAATTATATATTTTTTATTTTAAAAATAT